CGGTGACAGGATTTTCGACTCTAGCTTGTCAGCTAAGTCTAAGCACTACTGTAGCAAACGGGCCACGACAGTGCACGATCTTTCCTTCCTCTTCCTTCTCCTGTCCTCTGCTTTTACACACACTAACATGCACTGCACTTCCCTACATGCCGGGAGACCGGTGGGAGCTTAGAGCTTGTCCCGGCTGGAGCGGTGCACCGCCGATGGGAGATACCTGGTGGGGAAACCTCTCTAGCCTGCAGTAGGTCGGCGCCGGATCTTGCCTTACAGCTTGGGAAGACCACCGACCACCGTCCCGAGCAAACACTGGCATTACACTTACTTAGGGATTAATGACCCTTGTAGTTGACGCGCCCGGAATCACTAACAATCAACCATTCAAGTATCCTATTCCCACTACACAGCTTATTTGTCGCCTAACGGCAATGAGGTTTCGTTCTTCCCGTTACTGTGAACAAATATATTTACAAGGAAATTTACATGGATGCGAGAGACAGACGAATTCGAAATTTTAGATACCGAGATATTTGACTTGTGGTTCAAATTATAGAGATTCTTAGAACTCCTTAAATACAAATTTAACATCTGATCCGAGATGTATGAAAATAAAAAATAAAAAAAAATAAAAATAAAAAAAATAAATAAAAAATAAAAATAAAACAGTATGAAAATAATTTTTCATATTGCTCGTCTTGTTTTTTCTGAGATGATTACTTCATTGTCGCGTCATAAGACTAGTAGGTGAAGGTCACAAACACATTTCTTTCGCATAAGAAGCGCAACCTTTTTCGTTGAACCAAGACAGACTAAAAATGTAAATGATAACACATTTTTATATCTCTACATGCGCGACTATGTCAGAAAAAGCACATGCCACATATGTAGCGGATCTGGCTAATGGTCTTGTATCTTTAATTTTTATGATGTTAGCTGTTCCTGGGAAGACATTTCATTACGTTCATTTTGTTCAGCCTTTATATCCATCCATGCAATTACTGAATGGTTTTGTTCCAGAAAATGGTATTGATATTTGGTTTTTAATGTTCGGCCTTAAGCCACCATCATCCTTGAAGTTCTTTCTGAGATGACTCAATCGCTTAAGGTGACATCTAAAGCTACCAGTGCTCGTGACCTCTCTTTCTCTCTCATTCTTTCTCTTACTCTTTCTCTCTCTCGCGCGCTGTCGCTCTCTTTCTTACTCTCTCTAATTTACCTGCGCCGCTGTCCTGACCTTCTCGGCCTCACCCTGGGTCACAGGGCAACGCCCAGCAACAATGAAGGCCAGGTGGAGATCAGTATGATTGGAAATTGAATTAAAATAAAGCGCTATTTGGTGCTGCTGCGCCGTGTAGTGGAGGTACATCAAAAATAAATTTTACTTTCAAAACTTCTATTTTCAGAAATTACACAAATGTATTTTTAAGATACATGTCACGTCTTTAATTTGCACATTTCCAGCGATTTGTATAAATCATTGCACATGTGAGTAAAAGTGTTTTATATTAATTCTAATAAAGAGTTTTTGTAAACTTAAAAGGTTTTGGGGGAAAAGCTTCAATTTTCGCATTTACAGTAACGCTTTAACAGCATTTTTTTAAACGATTTCAAATTTTTCAACAAACATTTCCACATACATTTTATTTTGTTCCTCCTCAATATTTTTAAAGTAATATTTCAACTCTGCCATTCGGAAACCGATAAATGAAGATTTTTTTTATGAAGAAGAAAATGGAGAAATTTTAATTTGAGCAGAGATAATGTCAACTGGCAAAAGGGGCCAAAGATCAGAACAAAGACATTAGCAAATTTGCTAAGAGAAAGTATATGCTAAGTAACCACTAGTTACTCCCCACACACACTCCCTAAATGCGTTTTTCTGTTGAAATCTCAAACTCGATTTTCCACAGCATTACATAACTTACTCAATATTGCGTATATTACTCCGAATATACGTACGTATAAGAGAAAGTAACTAGTAGTTACTTGGCATATACTTTCTCGTAGTAAATTTTCTAATGTCTTTGGTCTGATCTTTGTGGATCTTTGAGGGAGAGAAAGACGGAGAAAGAGCGAGAAAGGGTGAGAAAGAGCGAGAAAGAGTGAGATAGTAATGTCGCTTTCAAGTTTCGTTAATATAAAATGTTTTGTTATAAGAAAAGTGACCAGCGAGTTGACAGACCAGCGTCAAACTGTTCATCCAGGACTCGGTGAGAAGCGGGTTCGATTCGCAGTCCACATAGATATTTTCCATTCTACATCGCCATAAAACCCACTACATTACTATTAGTATATCTTACATACATCGTGCTAGTTTGTTTCGATGGTATGCTTAAAGCAGCCAAAATTTGCTTTCACCAGCAAGGAAAATATGAGAAGAAATTACACAATGGAACTATATGAGTACATGAAATTAAAAATAATGCATGATGCAGTGTGGAGATGAAGATTGATTTTAACCGTGCACAGTGCGCGCAATTGTTATTTCCCGTATACGTACGTATATACGTATTATAACGAGGTTATGTAATGCTGCGCGAAAAAACGGGCAATTTACGGCAGAAAATCTCTTATTGCCTGGCCCTGATAATGTAAAAGAGGATAAATCCAGATGCTAAATTTACAAGAAAAAAATCCTGTCACGTGGTGTATCCAGAATCCCTGCATTGTGGGTCCTTGATACCGCAAAATCAAATCTCCTGTCAGTGAACACAACTAGCCGACAAATGACATCAAATCTCACATCTGCGGTACGTGGAGCAAACGGACGACGAACTGGATCAAGTCGATCAGGTTTTCGTCCAGTTTCCCTGATCCTCGAGCAAATGCTGAGATGGCCCCTTATTTTACTTTTGGACATAAATGTAACTCCCCATAGCACATCACACATAGTTTTAACTGTTTTTGACGTAAATAATAAAGGCACGCGCGGTGAACGCGACGCCGCGCCCCACCTTCCACGCCACCCAATGGGCCCGAGCGCCACGGCACTTTGAGCCAAGTCAGTGCCGTGACGAAAAGTGCGTAGTAAGTGAAGCGCGAATGAATGGTTATGTATATAACGAAACTAGTATGGATGTGTGAATGTAGAGAAAAAGAAAAAACTACCTCACCCGTAAAATAACAATTTATGTAGTATTTTAGTATAACAATCCATGTAATTTTGCCTTAGAGGCAATTTTTAATTTTTCTCAAAACAATTTTTACTTTCTCGCACTTACTAATGAAGGAAGAGAAAGTATTGTTATCGTGCACCGGAAAACCGGGAATTTTCAACAGAAAACCTCTTATTGCAACCTGGTAAGGAAAATGTTGATAAATCTAGTTGCTAAATATAGAGAAAAATCCTCTAACACGTAATGTAGCCACAATCTGTTTTGTGAATCCTTGGTACCAAAAACTTGATTGACGGCAAAAAGGCTATCGGTCCGTCTCTGCACAAAGCTAGTACTTAAACCGTTTAGCCGATATTCTCCAAAATTTTATTCCCTAAACGTTCTAATGCCGCGGCTCCTTGAATTTGCAACCGATATTTTAATTTTGGAGATACTTGACAGTCTCTGGGACCTTCCAAAAAATGACTTCAATTTTTTAAATAATTTTGTTATTGAATACGCCGCTAATTTTCGGATTTTTGTCTTTTTTTTCTTGAAAATTGTGAAAAGGAATTGCTATATTTTATCAGACTATGCCAGATTTTATCAGACAGTTACTAAGGAGCGAGAAAATAGTGCTCTTTTAGCTCCATTAGTTACTTAGTTTATTAGTGAGAAGTAAAAATTAATTACTGAAATTTGGGAGGCGGGGGATTTGTGTTTTTCCTACTCCAGTACTTTCGTTATCAGCGTTGATTCTGGGAAACTTAGTCAGCTTCTTCAAGACAGAAAAAAGCCTTTTTTAAAATATTTTTGTGACTATCACAAAAAGTGAAAAGCTAATTGTCCAAGAATAATGAATAATTTCTTCAAATATTTTTAAGGGAGGTTAGTGAATTGTTGCAAGAAATCTCTCGATAACACAAAGAAAAAACGTTTTTAAATTAACTGAAGTAAAATAGCTTGAAATAAATGAACAAAAATCAAAACGCACTAGCTTTCAATTCTACGGGAGTTAATTTAAAAAAGCAACAAAATTTACAATTTATAAAAAGAAAATTAGAAACAAAATAGCACAAGTAATTTGACAACAGCCAACAATCACAATTACTCGACTCTAGATATAAAATGGGCCAATCAGGGCTCATTTATCTCAAAAAGTTTATCACTTTTCTATCAGATTTTTCTTTCACAAAATCTGTATTGGCACATTCTACCAAAACATTTTTAATTTCCCCTACCAAATTTTGTCTGCAGATCAACACCTGAATAAATAAAGGAGATATCTCAGCAAAATATCCATTGAAGTTTTGTACAATTTTCCAACATTCGCATATTACTTTAGAAGTCCTACTGTGTAAAAACACCCTAATTTAAAGATTTTTGCAAAAAATTGCACAAATTCTGAAAGCAAAGGCAGCAATGATTTGTCTCAGGGAGGGTGATGGATGATACATATACTTGTACTGCACGTTACGCTATTCATTGTTGACAGTCTTTGTGAACATTCTGAAATACCAGCAAACTAAGCCAATGTACTTTATTTCGAGCGTTTTTATTGTAGGGTTTGTTGCCAGTGAGGAGTCAAAATTGATTTTGTATGTGCATGAAGGAGGAATAGTTTTGCACACAAATGTTATCCAACATGGAGAAATTTCATATTTCAGAAGTTGATGCTCATGTCAGGAAGAGAGTAGACCTCACCATGAAAATGGGTTTGAGTGTATTCACATTAAATTCTATGGTAAAGCAGCATGAGCAAAGTCTAATGTGCGACATGAGGAATTGGGGGCCATTGTTTCTAAAGTACAAATCTCTGAAGGAAGAATTAGAAACTTCCGTTCTACCTTCTTGCTCACCCTTGCCTCATTTAACAAAGAGAACATCAAATTACATTTCATGTTATTCTAAATTTTAGAATTAAAAAATGTAGGTCCAACCCACCAGCATATACATGGGTGAACTGTATAGGGGCATGGGTATAAGTGTTTTTGATAAGATGAACAGAAAGATTCCATTTAAGATTGTAACAATTGTCTAAACACTCAAGTTACCATACAACAAACAGATGAAAGTAGCAGAACGAAAAATTATGGAAAGGGTTTCACCTGTTTAGTAGTCATAATTACACCATGTCTTATGCGTTTTTTTATGTAATGGCTTAAATGGCATAAATTAGGGTTTCACTGCAGCTCATAGCAACACTTTCAACATAAACAAAGCATATTATTGCAAGTGTTGCTCTAATATTTTACCATTTACAATCTTATTTTGAAAATACTGGACTGGCAAAGAAGCTTGCTTTGTTTTTCTTTTCCACGTAGGATCCTGCCATTTCTCCCTCCCCACCTCAGGGCTACTAGCAACTATGCAGCACATTTTGAAGGTCATTGATAAATTCTATTGCTTCATTTTAAAATGGCCTTAGCTGGAAAAAAAAGTTCTTTGACATGAATGGTGACACGGCAATCACTTTTTCATTGGCAACGATAACTTATTAGGTCAAAGATCATATAGTGGAAAAAGAAAATTAGCTGTATGCAAGACCAAGATGGGATCGATTTTGAAGAAAACTACTCCATGTGGTGGAATTACATGTTACCAGCTAGAAGTATCTTTGATTCACCTGTATGTTTGCAGTGAACCAAGTCGAACAAGGCATTATGCAGGAAAAGTCCAGTTTACTAATAGTACAAGTGTCGTGCAATAGCACAACAGCCACTCAGCCACCAGTCTCGCTGAGAAGCAATGCCTGATGTCATTCAGCAGACCTGGTAGTCCTTGTGTCCAACAATGACAAAAGGTTGTAAATAAACAATGGTCAGTATGCGATTGGTTGAAATAAAAGTGTACCAAATGTTTTCTTTCATACCTAAAAAGCAATCTTAGTAGCCACCCCAATTTCGAAACCTTTCCAAACAGAGTTTCTTCCAATTTTGAACATCAGATTTCCCATGTTCAGAAATGATGCTGACAAGCCCACGAGTAATTTTCATCAAAATCTGGAGATACATTTTTTAGCAGAATTACACCTTGTTTACCGAATATGCAGATTTTCTGCATATTCGGGAGTCGCAGGTCAGTTGAGTATCAAGAAAACTCGAACAACTATTGAACACAGCGAGTTCAAAGAAGGGTCAATACCCTTACATCAGGCATACTCTGTTCTGGAGATATTCTATGGGGTAAATTGGAACTCTTTCTAGGATTTCCAAAAAAAAATTACAACAAGTCATTTCAAGTCCTTTATTTTACTCTTGATCCATTTCAGCCAACAATTCAATGTTACCTGAAACAGTAACTGAAATTAGTACAAGTTTAAGAAATTTTATCCCAATCTTCTTAATTAAATATTTTCAGTCCTATCATTGTTCAACATGCCAATCGTCAGAATTAAATAAGGCTCTCAATAAGTCATCACAATAACGAAATGTCATGAATACATTAATCAATACAAACAGAGCTTAAGGCATTTAATGGCCAATACTTTTAACTTTATATTTTTAAAATTACTTACAGCTTATGCATTGGCAGCAGCCTCCTCCTTTAATCGATCCTTCTTTAATGGTCCCATAAAAGCAGCCTTGTCAGCAGCAGTTTGGAATCTTCCATGGCCAAATTTGGAAGACGTATCAATAAATTTCAAATTTATCTTCTCTAACGCTTTCCTCTTTGTATGGACAAGGAGAGACTGAAAAGTAAAATTAATTAGTAATCTTTAATAATAAACAGTGGGTTTTTTTAAAGATATTTAAACCATTTTTGTAGAACTTACCTTCCTTAATGTAATAACCCTCTTTTTAGGTCCCATGCAACATCCTTTAATCATAATGAAGTCATTATTAACTTGCCCATAATGAGGGAATCCACCCATAGGAGTGATTGTCTTCTCGGTCAGATCGTAATCTGTGGATGCATTGTTCTTAACAAGCTGAAAGCAAGAGAAATGATGTTACATTTTGCACTCTCATGTGCAAAATAAATGATGCTCACAAATTTTCTCAGACCGCCCTAGAGTTATCTTCAAGGTTAGTCAGTAAATTCTAACCATAAAATCAATAGAATCATCATTGAAATAAATATATAAAAAACATTGAAACTAGTGAATGAAACTGGCTTACTACAAGTTTTACTACAAGTTTCATATTCTTTTATAGTGTCAAATAATTGTTTCACTTAAAAATAAAATAATTTGCAATTCACACCTTTCCATCTTTGGCATGGATACCCTGTCCAATACGATATATTTTCTTGTTCATTTCTGTGCGATGATGGTAACCTTTCTGACCAGCTCTTGCAACCGTGAATGAAACTCTACTAGGATGCCAAGCTCCAATACAAGCAACTTTACGCAAACCCTTGTGGGTCTTGCGAGGCAACTTCTTCGTGTGCCAACGTGAGGTGACGCCTGGAATGAAACAATCCCTTTATTAACGTTGCAATGACAAAAAAAAATAATAATAATGAAAACCACAATATCAGTAGGAAGGCAGCTGTATCTTCAGTTGCATTCAGCATGCGCAATTTTTTTTCATCACATGTTAAGTTTTATGCATTAAAAACTTGCATCTATAATTAGATAGGCATTGTGCTATGAGGTGTACAATACAAAACATTTTTAAACATTTGACACCATGCTTTATCAAAAAGTCATACGGATCTAGTAGTTTGCATTTCATATCTGTCATGTCAATTTGAAAACTATAAGACAAAATAATTTTATTCAATTCAACCTTAATCGTTTTCATGAAAAGCAGAAACTTAATTTTGACTTAATTTTGCTTTATGGCAAAATACAAATACAAGCAAACATTAAAAAAGCAACACTTTTTTAAAATGGTTTTATCTTGACAATCAGAACAAGAAAAAAGTTAGACCCAGCCAGATTTCCTAAAAACTACCCTCATTCCCCGTTTTACACTTAAGTTCTCCACAAACTTTCGATGTGAACAACTGTATTTTGTTTCATTCTTAAAGAGCAATCGGGCTTTGAATAACTGAAGGTTAAAAAAATTACAAGCTAGCTGGAGTGCTTAAATGCACCCACCTATAGGCAGCCCCTCCAATGAGATCCAGATGGGATGGAAATACACAAAATATTTTTCTTTGTAACGGATGTCCAAGATTACCTGCTAGCATTATATTATTGCAACATGTTCTACTGATTTTTCAGTAAGTCTACAAGAGATTCAAACAAGCAATTTTTAAAGTTTAAAAAAGAAAACTATGATCATAGGGAATTCTAATCCTATCCAACCTAGCTGAGCAGTCTCACTGTGAACACACACTACAAGAAATAGTTATTTTCACAAATTTTGAAAAATTAAGACAAGTTTGAAAGATTATGAAAATTAAAGTTTCAATGGAACTGGACTTGAAATTTCGGCCAGTAACTTTTCAGACCATGCAAATCAACGAAAAAAATTACAGTATAACTTCACTCATATGTTTATCTGAGGATTAAAGAGGAAAATGTATAAGTGAGGAAACGACAAATTGAAAGTTAAGAGTAAAACAAAAAACATAATAACTTAACATTCCAACATCACCCTTAAATATATATAATTTATAATTACAGTCTGAATTGGTTGGTGATGCCGACTGCATCTAACAATAAGATTGGGGAATGAAGGAAGTAAGCGTAGGCGAGAGAAAATGGTATATCTCAAGCCGTGCATATTCTGATGACCCATAGGTGAGAGCCCTATGTACATCGGTACACAATACCAATATAAACGAAATCTAGAATATATAGTTTTGAATCTTTTCTTTGCAATTCTACAAATTCAATAAAAAGATTGATAAATAAAGTTTCCATTTATAGTAACAATATGATCAAAATTATTATTTATTAGTTTGCAAAACAAATTAGTGAATATTTTGAAGTTTTATTGCAAGACTTCATAATAAAAAAAATAAATGAAAGTTTTAGCAAATTTTGAAAAATGTAAAATTATAAATTTTACAAGTCCCCTAAGTCCCTACATTAAAACACCCTATGTTGCAATGAAATTAAACAACTTGAATACAGAATTCAACACAAAAAATCCTTGGGCTCTTCCACAATAATGTACACCTTATTTACTGATCACCTGTCATTATCATTTGGGCGTTATTTGGTCTCAAAAGAGATTTTCACAACAAAGTTTGAAGCATGAAAAACATTTTAGCTGAGAAAGTATAGGAAAGCAGGACTCAAAAAAGACAAATTTGAAAGATATGCAAGTGCAAACCATATAGTTTTACACGCTCATATCACCTTTTCTACTATCCCTTCCTTAGAAGGTAATTTTTGCTACTCTTATTTACAGAGAATTTTGATAACTATGCATCACTAAAGAATCATGACCGTTTTCCTTCTTTACCTACTGTCATAAAAAATTAACCTTTTTTAAAATCTAATTGGGTAACTACTAAAAAGTAGCTTTGTTTTACTGTTTTCCGATTTCAAAGGTTTAGTGAAAATCAGATCACAGCCTAATATGCGCATTTACACTATTGAAAAAAGCACAAGGAGCTTGTTTTGAGGAACATTTGAACATTTTCCATCGGGCTTATAACAAAGCACCCCTAAAGAAATTTAACTGAAATTTGAAAAATCAATGCACATTCAGTTTGGCAAGGTAAGTAATGAAACCATTTTAAGGAGAATTGATCACAGTTCCAGTGTTAGTGTTTTTAATGGATGCATCGAAGTTTTGGGAAATAGAAGCCCTTCATTACTATTAGTCCACATACATGTTCAATCAAAATCTCAACTATTTGACTGACCGGAAGAATAGCTGGCCCCCTTTTACAATATACCAAGGCAACACACATTAAATGAGGTAAGAGGCTGACGTGACTTTTTACAGCATTAATCACTTTCAAAGAAGTTCATGTAAGTGAGGGTGGGTATAAAAATAGCATTAGCACTGGAGTGAGTGGAGGAACCAGCATGCTAATCCAATGGACAACTTTGCACCAAAATGCATTGAACTCTAAAATTGCACTTCACATGAATGGTTTAATATCCCTATTGGTATCCGTTTGTATAGTGAAACAGTCATAACCACAGATTTACAACTACAAAGGGCTTTCACTCGGCAGGCAGCTATTTTCCTGATCTACCCATTGGCTTTTTCATTACACAACTTCCTCTATTCTGCAAACAAAATGAAGTACCTTTATATCCTTTGCCCTTTGTCACACCAATTACATCAATCATTTCATCTGGAGCGAAAACCTGGGACACAGGTATAGGCTTCTCAAGGTGCTCCCTAGCCCATTTTACTTTGTCAGCAATAGTCCCACCATTGAGTTGAATTTCAATAATATGAGCTTTCTTCTGACGATGAGGAAGAAGTTTCATCTACACAAGACAGTTTGAGATATTTAATTAATGTTGAAGTAGTCCAGTTACAAGGTACAAGAAAAGAGTAGAAAAACGTGAACCATTAGAAAAAAAAAAAGTAGACTGAAATGCAGTTTGTGGTATAGTTTACCAGCTGTCCCATGCATGCATGGAACCAAAAAACAAACCGACAGAACAAATCAAATTATTTTGAAGGTTAAATTTGCAAAAATTTGCATAAAACACCTTGATAATTCTGTGTTTGACTCGAGGACATTTTATATTGACATGAGGGCTGACAGCCTGAGCCTAATAGTCAACTTTGCCACACATAGCAAAGCGTCAATTCAGTGCGAAAGTATGTCAGCCGTGCCATGATAAAGTCCTTTCCCGATTCTACAACAAGCAGGAACAAAAATCATACCGCAAATTGCATTTCTACCAAAAACTAAAACTATAGTGGGAAGCAATATTTACCTGAGTGTGTGCAATCACTCTGATAACTTTGCAGTAACGTTCTAAAGTTGAGAAAGCACTTTCAATCGATTTACGGCCAAGGTCATCTTGCCATTTCTTAGCAGCCTTAGTAAAGGCCTTCTTTTTGGATTTGTACCTGCAAATATTTAGCAATCCAGGAAAGGAAGTAGGTAGAAGGAGAACACAGCATGTCTCTTCAGCGAGAGGAGACACAACTGGTAACTTGGTCAAAATCTCAGATTCATTCCAAGCATTTTTATTGCCCTCATCTAGCGAGAGGAGAGCTAACCACATTTGTTAGTCACGGGCAAATTAACCATAATTAATACTTAATACAAAAATAATTTATTACCAGTTTTTATAGAAACGTCTTCTACAGTCTTCAGATAGATGCTCTGCCCATATGGTACGCAGCGAACGTAAACCATGAGGAGTTTCAATGTAGCCAACTACACCTACCACCATTATTGGGGGTGCTTCCAAAATTGTCACGGCTTCCACAATTTCCTTTTTGTTAACCTCTGAAATTTAAAACCAAGAGTAAGTTACAGAAAACGAGACGGCCAAAATTCAAATTTTAATTTGACTACTACTAGCTTTTTGCTGACCCTTCTTGCTCAGAATAATTTCACACTTTTGAAAACCTTAAGAAAAATCCTGACTTGCCTCAAGCAGTTTATTACCTACAGCTAAACCTCCACACACTAAGTGGGATCAGCATTATCATGCAATTAGTTTTCTACTGAATTAATGTTTTACATCCATGGAACTGTACACCATACCATTCCTGGCAAGCATTGATGTATTCTTTACTGTTCAAATAGATTTTCTAACACACTAGCCCAAACCCACCTCTTTTTGAAAACTTCTGAAGAGTTCAGTATTTCAACACACACACTCTCCATTTAAAAATGCTGTCTAAGAGAGCATCAATGCATTTGCAAGTTTGCATTTGTCAAAATATAAATTAGCTGGTAGTAACTTTGTTGTCCTGATTCAATATTAAGTGATAAAAATAATCCACGTCAAACCCAGATGTGGACATGAAATTACTTGAGCAAAGTATTATTGGGTTATTTTAACATAAAAATATATTACAATTTGGCAATATCCAGAAACTGGATACACTCAGGACATCTTTACTTGGTCTGCTCATACAGGAACTCGCACAAAAAATACATTGTCCCAGCGCTAAGTTAAGCAAATTATAATTTGCATGATAAAAATTTCCACTCACAAGCCATGTGTAATGAACTTACTGGATCCAGGTCTATCTGCTTCTCTGACCACGTGCGTCATTCCAGCTTTGTAAGCAACGAACGCAGTGAGATGGACAGGTTTTTGGGGATCATCCTTGGGAAAGGCCTTCACCTTACCACGATGCCTCTTCGCCCGCTTTTTGGGATAGAATCCCATAGAGCCATGACGTGGCGCACTGAACTTTCGATGCGACTGAAACAAACCCATCTGTTATCCATCTTTCATCAACTAAATACATTTTTATGTCCTTCGTAATCGTCAGTCCGCTCGTCGCTAATACCATCATTTTGATCAGGCATTTGTACACAAAGTTTTTACTTTCATCATTGGTTCAGGTTATTTGAAAAGCAGTAATTTAGGTTGAGCAAGATCACACGTCAGAAGAGCAGCGTGAAAAAGTCTACGATAAAAGCGGAAAAGACTATTTAATTTACGCATCCAACCCCCAATGAACAAGATTACGAAGGTAGTAAATAATATTAAATATATCGAAACGTATCTGCTATACGACAAGAGAAGACCGCACACAGCTTATATACAACAATTAGAAAAGTTTTAGTACCAAGATTGGTAATACAAAATTCGATAACACTCACCATTATTCACTTCGTACGCAAGCTAAGTGGGTCCAAATGGATTCAGTTTTCTCTTATATACCGAGAGAAAAACATCCGACAGAGTGCGTCAAATGCATTTCCGGTATATCTTGGAATTTACAGTAAACTCATTTATTCTTCCTACAAACTCTTCCTACTAAACTGTTCGCAAAGATCTTACAGCTACACTGTAGTTATACCACCTTTGACTACGTCATTCGCCATATTGCAATTTTGCATATTTGATATCATATCCGTAATCAGTAAGCTCGAAAAGTCCAATTTACAAATTTTTGTTGCAATTTCCCACAGTAATCCTCTGAATGATATTCACTTTTATGCAACTTATACATCCCTCGTAAAATTTAACTTTAAACTTTAAGAAAGAAACTTAACTTTAAAGTTTCTTTTAGATCCTCTTGAAGACCTTTAGCTAATCGGCACGCAGTGAATGAAGGAACTTACCTCAGCCTTTTCAACCAACCAGTGCCACAGCTATACCGCGACAGAGCTAACTACCACTTATAGTATTATATTTCTACACTACCTCGCGTTTCACCTACACACGTGGCAATGTTTTGAAGTCGTGAAATATCTGGTTGTGTAACCCGCGTGTCAACGACATCGCAATTCTAAAGCACACACACGGCATTTTTCGTACGAACTTCGATCTTAACACACGTCTTTATTATAATCTGGGTTGAATCCTGCACTTCTGAATGCGATGGCGTAAGTAAATTAGGTACTGAAAGTTGGCAATAAATTTAAAAAAAAAATCGAAAATCCTTTTTTTGAAATCCAATTCCCACGTTTGCCCGGTTCCTGTGCCCAAGCGATTGACGTATTCCTTAGGGGGCCTTCCCACGGCGCGACCGCGTCGCGCTTCCTTCAAGGAGCAGAGCCCTTCTGCTGACGCAGCCACGGCCGCACCGCCGCCCGCCGTGGAAGGGGGTGGGGTCTGGAGGGGTAGGTTTCGCCGACCCTCCGGCGGTGGCTGCGTCGGAAGAGCTCTGCTCCTTGAAGGAAGCGCGCCGCGGCCGCGCCGTGGGAAGCCGCCCTAAAGCTGTGTTCTGCTGGAGATGGCGCGTGGCCCCTCCTCCGCTTCGCGTAGCTGGAGTTCGGCGTCAGCTGCCGCAGCAGCCACCACCCGCTGCACGTGGGAAGGTCTCCATTCAAACCAATGCTCTGCTACGAAGCGCGCCGCGGCCGCGCCGTGGGAAGGGGCCCTTAAGTTGCATTTTGGTCAACGAGCTAGAATAAGAGTGGCAGAAGCGCCTTCATCCTTTAAGCAAATTGAAGCCATGTTTTTTTTGCAGTCAAAGCAGCTCCCTCTGGAAAACAAAGTATTCTAGTATTTACGTTTGGCGGTGATTTCAGACGGCTACACCGCCCCCACATGTTTTGACTTCAAAAAACATGACGGCCACTAGTTCGGCGAGCCTTCACCAGGAGCGCCCCAGGACTTCAGCGGTTTTTGTCAAGAATGTCTTACTTAAGGGAGGGAATATATTTTCAGCAAACGCCGCTGTCTATAACTACAACACTCGACGTAGTAATCATATTCATCAGGTGACAGTATCAACAGCTCACTACAAAAAAATTCACATACAATATATGTCCGTTATTTTACACCATTTTGCCAGACGACATTAAACTTTTGTATTAAATTTAATCGTTTAAGTCCCTAGTAAACTATTTTCTATTGCACAACTGTTTCTAATCAATTAGATACAATAGAGCATCCAAAAGGAGAGTAATATTAATTTTAATAATGGATTGTATAATTGTAAAGAACCTGTAACAAGTATTGTACTTCTGCTTCTGGGTTAATGACCTCCATCTCGATCAGATTTTCGTTCAGTTTCCCTGAGCCTCGAGCAAATACCGAGATGGCCTCTTGTTTTGCTTCTGGACATAAATGTACCTTGAAATTAACTTCTCCCCATAGCACAACACACACAGTTTGTAACCAGTTTTGACATAGACAAATAAAAATAAATATATAAATAAGCTCTGAAACTAAAGGGATAGCCACTGTGTAGTATATTCTAGCTTGTTGATTTTGGTCCCCATTTAATAAGGTGGAAATAATATATATCAGGGCAGGGACACTCCATACACAATTCATTCCTTTTCCTTTCTAATAGTTGATGAAGTTTAATAAATGGGCAGGCAGGGTATTTCAGATAGTCTAATTTAAAATTCATAGATTAAATGAAAGCGCACATTCACTTCAACTCTATTCACAGGCAGATATGGGATTTTATTGACATTGGAGTTGTTGAACTGTAGATTTTTGGAGCAAATTTGAAGAAGCTGATGCAACACAGGTATTACAGTGAAAAAAGAAATGAAATAATGCATTTTCTTTTCTTTTGCCGAAGTATTATTAAACACCTTTTTAAAATTATAATACAAGATTGAACATGACGACATAGATTATTGTTACAGTATATACACTTTTATAATACATACTACTGAATCAATAATGTCAATTCAATAACATAACAAAAATGTATAATTAAAACAAGTAGCTCTCAACATTCACATTTTCATTTTTTGTCATGTTTGTGTTTCTTATGCTTTGATTTGGATTTTTTGTCTTTATGTTTCTTTTCCTTCTTTTTCTTCTTTTCCTTTTTTTTCTTGTGCAACGATGTTCTTTCCACCCACTCACTTGTTAAAGAGTTATGTTTAGTAGGAGCAACCACACTGGGTAATGTCCGCCCTGTACTTGCCCCAGAGGAAAGGCTGGTCGGCGGCCGAGGACCATACACAAAGTTATCTTGTGGAGGAACAGTTGCTGAACTTGTCTTTGGTTCATCACGTTCACTGTTTTTTCTTTCAGATGCAGGGAAAGTGCTGGTAGCTGGACAATTCAATGCATCCAAATCAAGGTTTGCGAACACACCACTCCTTGCACTAGAGGCAACGAGAGGGGGTCTCTTCCGAGCTTCTGAAGATATGACTGGAGTCTCTGCTGGAGCAGAGGCGACTAGGTGAGAAACTTCCACTGGCGGGTGAACTTCAATTACTGGAACACTTTCTTTGTCTTGTTTCGCCTTTTCTTCTTCATCCTCCGATTCACTGCTACTCAAGAATATGGCTTTAAATAAATCAATTTTTTCAGCTGGCTCTGGGAAGAAGAAGTCCTGAAACAAAACAGTGATATTAATGAATAAATTTTAACAATAGTTTTCAAGAAAAAGTTAATTTTATGTATTCTGAATGTATTGTTCTAAAATATTGTCACCTGGTGCAGATTACTTTATTAGAAAACTTGAAACTCTACAACATAAATTCTTTTTGAATGTTAAATTTAAAACAAACATACAAAAGCCAACGATTAATCATAAGTATAATCAAATATCAAAAAACTCAAATATATCAAGATTGCAATCCACATGAAAATATCAGGATATTTTATAGACATAAAATAATGGTAATAAACAAAATACAATCATACTTGAGCAATATGATAATTACACAGCACATCAAGATTTAAAACTAATCACACCTAATGTGATCTGTGATGTACTGTCTCTTAAAAATACCCTGCAAGAATCGAACTTCCACCAAACATTGTAGAGAAACTTACTTCCAAATGACAATGATGTTTAACGCAATGATGCCAATAAAATATTCGCAACTAATTAAATCCACTAGAGTGTATTATTTCATAAAATATTGATCACAAGAAATTGACTTGAAATTTACTGGTTACACATCATACCATTTAAAAATGCATGCAACTACGAAGTTTACAAAGGTTACATGATTTATTTAACTCCTAAGGGTCCTAACCCATAAAAATTTAAATATTTGTTTTATTTCCATTAACTGAGTCTAGAAATTTTAAATATGAATTTTTTTAAAATTAATATACTCATCAGAGGACACATTTTTGAACTGACAAAAATTAGTTTCAAAAATGTGAAAAACTGAAGAACAGTTGGTCATATCATAAAACTAATGAAATTTGACTTGACAAATGAAGGAGTCCATACTTTATTGGAGAAACTTGCAGAGGAAGGTAAGCAAATATCTGTTAAACATAATAGAAACCACAGAAGATGGAGATTGAGCCAAAATATTAAAATTGACAATCACAAGGAAAAAAAGAGAAAGATCAAAGACTTCAAACCACAGAACACCTTACAATGTTCAAAGATGGTGTCCATCACTTGATGCCCGAATTTCTCATATCAATCCTGTGTCATCGCGGCTGCCTACTGAGAGATAAGAGCAACTGACCTGCACCCCAGGGAGTAAAACCATGGTAGACTTTGGGTTAAACCAGTATTGATACATACATTGTCTATTTGGAATTTAAAAAATGTGAATACCTGAAGAACTGCTGGTCAAATGAAATTTTCGTTAAGTGGATAGAGAGCCCAACACAGATTTTTATCATTGGTAAACACATAACTATAAAAATACAGCAAAATTGGCACATCTGGGCTCACTCAAGTCCTGTTGAATGTCCTTCTAAGATGTTTGTTTATTATATAAAATTGTCAATGAGATGTTCAAATCATTTTCAATGAGAGCAAACATATCAACTTAGAAAAAAAAACCCTCACAGTTCAAATGATTTAAATTAATTAATAGTGAAATGATCCCAGATCTAATTCAGTCCAACAAGATTAACTGTTCAAGCAAAATTGCAAATATTAACTTATTCTATTTTTTATGACATTCTCATGGTTCATATCCCCCACTCTCCCTCTCCAAGTCCCATTAATAGGAATAAAATAAATACAATAATAATTACCTCAGATGATTCTTGGGTCTTTTCTTTCTTACTTTCAGTAAGTTGGATGTTCTCTGGGGCAGATGCCAACTCAGGCTCAGTCTTTACCTCAGTGGATGTAAGGGCAGTTACATGAGACTCAGTCTCAGTCCCTAACTCAGTGGATTTAAGGACAGTTTCATGTGTCTCAGGTTCAGTCTGGGCTTCACTCGCTGAAGGCACAATGGCAGTAGTGGCAGCAGACAGCTCAGCAGATGGGGCAGTTTTCACTTGAAATTTGTTTTGCGGTACTGCTTTCAAATAGTCAAATACAGAAACGTTTTTGCGACTCCCAGTATTTGCACTTCCACTGAAACAAACAGGATGCAATTTTTCTATCAAATAATTAGTACCTTTTAATATACATATAATTGAAGACCAAGTAACAAATGCTAACCTGACAATGGGTTTGGCTATATTAAAACGTTTACAAAGTAAGTCACAAGGTTGCCACGGCTCTTCTTCACGTGTCAATTTTCCAAACATTTTCATTTTAGCAGCATTTTGCTGTTCGGCTGTTCCGCCCATCAACTTTTCAACAGGAGTCATGGTATTGGTAGCATCATCAGGTTGTGATGCAGACACAAAACGCTCCCCCATCTCAGCAGACAAAGGTTGAAAAAGGCGAGCTGCTTGCTCAAATTCACCCTTTTCTCTATGGCGCTCCCACTCATTCATGTTCAGAGGCTGTAGATGCATCAGTTTCTCTGAGGAACATCACAATATTATTAGAAAGATCTATGGCAAATCTGAACAACCCACTCACTTATCAATTTTAGTAAAAATTATTTGAAAAAAGAAAAAAAAAACAAAAAAACATAACCTTCTTCCTAACGAGAAAAACATTTACTAAGTCATTCTAAGTCACGAATTCTCTCAAAATCATAGTGTGTTTTTCCTAACCTGAAATAGAAAGTTCAATATCCATTGCCAAATTTTAACAACACATTTTTTAAACACACATTTAAATTTGGCTGTTTTCTTGACAATGCCACCCGAAAGATAAAATCATCGTCTACCAAATTCTAATGACAAGCATTTCAGATATTAACTGGGATTTGTTACAATGATGAAAATTGGTCACATTATTATTAACTTGTAACAGAAACTTCACAACATTTTCACTCTCCTGAAAAATCGCAATTTTTGAGAACTGTTTTCACAAATTTAGCCACTAATATGAGATTTCTCAAGATATTTAACATCTGAAATGATTAAAATCTTAAAGCAATTGGAGTGCCAGCAGCACTGCCTACCATTGTAGCATAGACAGAAAGATCAGATTGAAAACATGATAGAATCTGCATATATCTAAAAAAAATTACGCAATTTTGATCAGGTCTTTCATCAATCTCAGATTGAATTTTTCCAATAGATTCCAGAATCATTCAGAACACATTCCAACAGAAGTAACGATACAGTGAAACTTTTGAACCGAGAAGTATCGTGACTAGATGCTTCATAGAAGATAATATTCTAGTCCCAGAATAAAAACATTTGTTTGATCAGAACCTCTCTACAATGGTCATTTTTTTCCAATCCATTACAAGGAGATTTCAAGGTAATTCCTTTCCAAAAATGAATCATAAATGGAATGTACAATTGGTAACGTGGAACAGTATGTAAATCAAGACAAGATGGGTTAAAAACACGTCATTCGGTTGTGTGGTTGCATGAGAGAACTTTTGCAGTTCCACATTCAAATTCAATCTTGTTATACATTACGTTTCACCAATTCAACATTGACTGTTAGTAATTCCAAGCTCATCAACACCTGAATCTTTAGTCGCGTAAGCGTAGCGTATTCTTTTGCTCAGGAGGTGGTTGTGGTGGTCTTTCACCTGCTATGGCAAGATTTGTCGCCAACTTTCTGTCAGCTAGTGGGGTATTTCCCAACCAGGTATCTTGCACCAGCAGGGCACCGCCCCAAGCTCGCCTAGCCAGGACAAGCTCTAAGCTCCTGACTGGTCTCCTCGCATGTATGGTAGTGTAGTGCATGTAAGTGTAAGTAAGGGGTAAGGATAAGATAATGGATGGGAAGGAAAGATTGCATGCGGTCTGAAACCCAATGGGTCCTGCTCCGGCATTTGCCTGGTGTTGATCAGAAAAAAACATCAGTCAGATGGACTACAGTGACATCAGCTGTTGCCCTGAGCCATCTCTCCCGGACTCACCAGGTTGTCCAGCTCGCTTGAGGGCCAGGTACTGCTCATAGCGACGCTGCTTCTCAGGGTGGGCGGCAAAGGGCACAAAGGAGCCGAGGGGCTTAGAGCCCCTCTGCTCCTGCTGCAGCCCCTCAGTGAGCTTAAGGGCTGCAGCACGCAACTGCTCTCGTTCCAGCTCTTCCTCCTCCTTTCCACCCACCAGCACTGCGCGATCATCAGTGGTGAGCACACGGGGCACCTGGCACTGGTGGGATGTGCCCTGTAAATATACACACATATCAATTCTTTCCAATAATAATTAGTCTTAAAAATGCTTAATTATATTAGTTTTCAATACCCATTGCCCAAAATTACCACTCGAAATGTAAGGTAATGGTGAAGGTGCCCTTTGCAATTGCACAAAGGCCGATGAGGCTCAAAGGGAAGGTAGAGCAATAAATACAAATTATATACCCAGCAAAGAACTGAAATGCAATCAGTCAATAATATTCAACTCAAATTACAACTTTTTTTGGGGGGTTTAAAACTACCTTTTGATCTTTTGAGGAACATCCATCAAAAATATATATCAGTTTTACTCCTACACCTCATACACCAATTACAGACACATAAAGGTCTTGAAAAAAACACTTCTTCAAACTTCTTCACTTCTTCAGGGGAATACAAAACGTATTTTTGTTGAAATCTCAAATTGTTTTCACAGAAAAGTTTTAAATTTTTCGAGAAACATTTTACAACATTGTTGTTAACACTTGATCACACAAGTGCAGTAATGTATACAAATAACCTGTAGTGTAAATATTACATGTGAGATACCAAAAAATTAAATTTTTGTTGTAACTTTTGGAAAATCAAACGGATAGACAAGAATGTACTGTCTGAATAATTGAAGGTACCTATCGGGATCTGGTGGGATTAAATATTGCACTTGGAGGCAAACTATTTTCAGTGTTTCTTTTCTAACTAGTGGTGCTAAAACACCATGTAATTTCTAGCATGTATTTTTGCTCAAAATTACATGAAAAGTACTCTAATTTTCCAAAAATTGTACATGGCCTTATTTCAAAACTTATCTTTAAGGAACAGATTTAATTAAGGGAAGAAATCTCTATCATTAATATTTTAGTTGTAGGAAGGTGCCAAAAAATGTTCAACATTTGCAATTTTTGAAAAATAATGTTTTTCAACTAACACAAGCCCTGCACTATTCACAAAAGTGTCATCAGAGCGATGGTTCTTTTTTTTTTTTTTTTTTTTTCTCCCTTCTTCTTCTTCAAATGTCTCAGGGGTTTCATGTACAGTATCCCCAAAAATTGAAATATCATTTTCATATTCAAGGGGCCGCAACATCACCCAGATCGATTACTGGATATCAATTGCGGAGAAAGTCGGCTGAACGGTTTGGCCACAAGCGTTAATCACAGACAGACATTTTGCTGTCGTTCTATATTATTTTGAGGAGTCTCAAAACACATTCTGGTTACAAGATTTTTCGCTAAATTTAGCAACTGGATTTATCCGCCTTTTCGTTACCATTAATAAGCGAGTGGCTCCGTACCTGCGCCGTCGCGGGCGGGGGCCCGGGCTGGTCGAAGCGCGAGCGGCGCCGCGCGCCTTCGGGGCGGAACGCGCGGGGCAGCGCGGGCGGCGGGAAGAAGTCCTTGACGGCGGCCGCCAGCTCCTTGCAGAAGTTGTGCAAGTAGTTGTCGTGCTGGGCGGGGGCGGCGGAGGCGCGCGAAGCGGCGGCGGGGGCGGGGCCGCCCAGCGCGAAGTCGTACTGCGACATGTCCTCCGTGGAGTAGATGTCCTCGTCCTCCTCCTCCAGCGCTCCCACGCCAAAGGCCTAGCACACGCAATCAGCGCCGTGTTATAACAAGGCGCCCCGCATCCCCAATTCCCCGTTTCTAAACAAATATTTAATACTAAATTTTGCAAAAACTGAAATTAAAAAAAAAATATAAAAAGGGATGTATGATTAAACTTTATGTAAAAATATGGAATAACAGAGTGATGAGTCACGCATCATTGGATAATATTTATAATATAGAACATTGCACGTTGATGCACTTTAATATTACATTGTACAATTAAATAATAGGCTCAGATCATAACTTACTGAAAGTAGTACTGTATTTTTCCATTCTCTAATGACAGCAAAGAAATTTCGACAATGGACGAAAATATGCTTCAAATTATCACAAAACAATATAATTTTAAAAAACTAGAAAATAATTCCATTAAATTTATGTTTAAAATACAACTTTCAATAAAATTACATGAAATAAACGCTTTGAATATGTATGAAGAAATCAAAAATTAAATCCATGAAGTAGCAAACCAAATCTTAGAAGAATGGAAAAAGAGGGAGATTTAAATGGAGATATTAAGAAGAACATTTACCACAAATGGGTTTCAACAAAACAAGATGATAAAAAACAAGACATGAAACTTAACAGAGAGGTAAAAGGAAGAGTAACAAAAGCAAAAAATGATGTGGCAAAAACTATGTGAAAGATGGAAAAGTGCTTCGGCACCTCTCGGCACCTCAAAACAAGTATGGAAAACACTCAAAACTATGAAGAACTGGAATGAAAAAGGTAATTTACAAATTATACAGGCTAAAGAATAAAAGGAATATTATGAAAAGATGTTCTGGGAAGATTGGAGAGAATTGTTGAATATAACACAAACTCCTGCAGATAGTGATGAAAACATTAATGAAGTCAGTAAAAAAGGAGTCCAGTGCAAGATTGATGAAAAATGAAAGATCTGTTTGACCAGATGGTATACCAATAGAATTAATACAAAGTAGCCCAGATGTATTATTCATGCAATTGGCCTTTCTTTCAACTATATGATAAGAGGTGGAGATGTCCCTACAGAATGGAAGACATCATATATTACAAATATGTATATAACAGTGGTTAACTCAAAGAAAGAAGTAGTGTGGCAGACCGAGAAAAACATGGAAAAATGTGATACAAAAGACGATGAAGGAACGAGATCTTTGAGAGGAAGATTGGGAAGATCGAAGAAAGTGGCGACTGTGCGAAAGTGGCGAAGTGGCGTCAACTGTGAAGAACCTTGTTGTTACAACTTCTACAACTACAACAACAACAGAAACTACAACTACTACCAGTATAAAGAATTAAAACTATTTACTTTGCAGTCCTTTTCAATTTAATTATTAACCTTCCTTAGTTATACATATTTAATTTTTTTTATTAAAGTGTTTAATCGAAACAAAGAAATACTTATAAAATATATTAAAAAATACAATGTGAATTGTTGTGTGAAAGTAAGAATATCATGGTCTCCAAATTAACCTAGGCCCAAGGGCCCCGAATGCTGTTAAAAGGGTCCTGCACACAACACAGATCACTCATGTCTATCAGGACAGTCTTTGGGTTAGCAGGGGCCCCAATATTTGGCTTCAAAGATTTGGCGTGCCTTAGTATTATCTGAAAAATCTATTAAGTCATTTTATGAAAATTTATTCTGAAAAGTTAATATAAAAATTAAAATATATGTTAATCCTTCCCTTTATTCTGCCCAACAATGGCCCTGACATCAATGGCTATGCATTTAAGTGTTTGAGAGAGTTTAGGACAAGGAAGAGACAGGAATAATCACGCATGGTCTATGGCATTTGCCAGATAGTGAGAGGAGAGATCACAGAAGACTACCAATCAGAGCAGCTGCTAGTCCAATGCATAAGGCATGTCTGGGTGCTTGCGTGTGCGAGGTGCGCAGGTGCACACACAGAGGGCGGGGGAGTCGGGAAGGTTGTGTCCCTTTGAAAATGTTCCCCTTGTCATTTTGGGCTACGCATCCTATGGTGATGAGTAGAAGGTGGGTTTTGATGACCTAAAACATTGACAGTAATGATCAATAAAATGCTCTTAAAATGTTTTTAAAAGTCCTTAAAAACAAATAAAAGTGATGTAAACAAATCGATCAAAACCACTTCACATTAACAACTCAAACTGTTGGATATGTTACTGATGTAATCAGGGATTCTTCGTTTTATTTAAGTGAACTAAGCTTGCAAACTCTTGGTTTGGACTATTCTTTAAAAGAAAATCTGCCTTTATTTATTGCAAAATTGGCCAAACTAACAACAGCGCTGTTAGGTGTCACAGGAACCTTAAGAGTACATAGTACACATGACTGATATTACAATAAATATATGAAGAAATCGAAAAGACTACTCAGGAATTCTGTGGTAAACATTTGTTGCATCTTGTAAATCTTGTTTGAAACAAATACCAATAAAATGATATTAAAATCGATGAAATCATCAAAAAATCATTAAAAATGATGTACAAAGGTAAAAAATGACTTATTAGTCAAAATCGACAAAAAATGGAAAAAAAATGACATAAAAATGTGTCATTTCCTTTTGTGATAGAATAAAATGAATTTCTATACTTTAGTATAGATTAGTATACTTTCATCTAGCATTGTTCTACATTCAAAAGAATAACAATCACATTGCATTAAAATCCACCCCTAGTGATGAATGTGTGTGTGAGTATGCAAATGTGTATTGTGTGTTTGAAACAATTTGCTTGTGTGAAATTATTAATACATGACACAAAGCGTGAGTGTGTATGTTCCCAGACTTCCCCTTAATGCAGAAGTGGCCAACCTGGCACCATCTTTTTTCATGTACAAGTTTAGACACACCATACGACTCAAGCACCTTCTTTACCTTGTTACGATTACGGTTGGGTTTGGAGAACTGGGTTGGGTTAGAGGTTGCTTCAGAGTAAAAAAGGGATAAATCAATAATACAACTATATAGACATACACACTCCAGTTAAAAAGACACATAACACGGTTATTAGAACCCCAGTAGCCAAAGGGAAAAGGTCTCTTGGACGGAAGGGTGAACGCTGTGGAAGACCCCACTGATGGTGTTACAGGGGAGCTAAGAGTGAAACAGAGCTACAAGAGCAGTAACAATTTCAAACTTGAAGTCTCTACTCAATCATATGAATCGTATGAAAGTGAGGAATTTTACGTATCGCTAGGTGTAAGAGAAGTGAATTTCTTGATACATCTGGCGTCATGTAACTACGTAATAAATTTTGTTCACACTAAGATGATGAACAAATATGGTATGTAACAACAGTAGTAATGGAACAAAAAAAATTGATTCTCAATTAAAGGATTTTTGTATGATCATAGAAAAAAATTGTTTATATTTTGTGAATGAAATAGTATATTATAAGAGTCAACTAGTTTATAAAGTTTAGTTTTATTGTGCAAGTACGTTTTGAAAATAAAGATAATTGAGAGTGAGATTTTTAAAATGTATAAGAATGAAATATAGCAAAAGTACCATCAAAATGCATAATCTATAAGTAAGCTAAGCTAAGCTAAGCAGAAGCTATACTAGTAAAAAAGTATTATACATGTGCGGCGGCGGTGGTGTAACGGTTAGCATACTGTACTGTTGTACCCAAGTTGGCGGGTTCAAACCCGATCGAAGCCGTGGATTTTTAAGGGCGAAAAATTCCTTCGTACGCCTTCCTTCGGAGGGGAAGTAAGGCCGGCTGTCCCATGTTCGTAGATTTACTTGCATGTAAAAGATCAAGCCTAAATGACGCCTCTGAGCTAAATTCAAATCGCCTGTTTCTCGCCTAAGAAATACCTTCTTTCTCTGCTATATGAAAGGCGTGGTCAGACGGAATAGCGGGCCTAATGACCCGAGTCTCGCCACGTAAAATAAGGCATATTCAATTCAATGTGTTCAGAAAATGAGTGTGGGAAAATTCGGAAATAATGTGAAAATGATTACTAGTGGTGCAACAGAATGTCACAGACAATCTCATACTACAGTAGAATCCCTGGAGAACTAATTGGGGGTGTGATGTTTTGATTATCCAAAAAAATATACTGTACATATACAAATACATGTTAGTACATTGTTTAGAAGAGTTGAAGCACAGTTTGCATGGCTGCTGTTAACGGATATTCTACATACGATATTCCGAATTGGGTTGACTTATATTGTGTTCATGCCTTTATCGTTCGTAAATTAACATAATACAAATCAGGTGTTTCTTTTTTTTATATTTCTTCCATCCCAACTTTTGTTCGAATTATCGTGTTTCTCCTGCAGTTAGTGTTCCAACTGTTTTGGACGAAAAGAAATGCTTGACCTTGCGTGCCCTAGTGCTGTATAGTATACAGGGTGCACGGCCAAAATCCGGACAAATTGAACATTTTTCTTTACACTATATTTTTTGTTGTAAACATGAAAAATTAAACAAAATGTTTTTACCACGTAATGTATAGGATCATATGGAATAAATTTATTCTATATATCCCCCACTTGCTTGAACGACCGCCTCCAATCTGGGTCTGAACCGCTCGCAGGCACGGTGCAAGGCATTACGGTCCATTTCGGCGAATGCTGCTTCAATAGCGACTCGGAGAGATGCTACGTTCGGGTGTCTCGACTTGTTTGTCACTCTCTCAACCACGCTCCATACATAATAATCCAACGGATTTAAATCTGGGCTGTTGGGAGGCCAGAATTCCTTCGACCAAAACATGTCGATATTGTCCGATAACCAATTCTGCACCAAATGACTCGTATGGGCGGGCGCACCGTCTTGCTGGAACACATATGGCCTTCCAAATGCTACGTTGTCCATCCACGGCTTCACAACGTTAGAGAAGACATTCACATAAACCTCCTTGGTCACATTTTCCCCTTTTTGGAAGAAATGAGGTGGCATAACATCACCTTCGGACGAAACAACTCCTAGCACGTGCACATTGGCCGGAAATTTTGTTCTCGATACCACAGGGACATCCTCAGGGTCGCGGGCAAGCCAGCGGTCATTTCTTCGATTAATTTTTGCGTCTACCGTAAAAATTTTCTCGTCGGAAAAAAATCTGATTCGTCCAGCCGCCTTGTTCCGTAAGGAGCACAAAAGAAGATTGCACCGTTCAACTCTCTTCGTCCTGGCGGCTTCAGAAAGCATCTGTCGAACTTTGATGGTGTAGGACTTGTAACGGAGGTCTTCCTGGACAATCTGACGCATAGTTGTCTCACTTATTCCGACAAGCGACGCAATTTTTCGGATCGATTGTCCTGGATCCTCAAAAATCAGTTCTTGAACGCGTTGAATGACTTCTGGCGTCCTGACTACGCGCTCCTTCGAGTGCACTTTTCTCGCGGGTGTTAGGAGACCTTCCTCTGACTTCTCCGACTCCTTGTATTTTGCCACGACATCATACACTGTCGATCTCGGATATCCGAAGAAGCTGATAATCTCCGTCGCTGAGCGACCAGCGCGAACACTTTCAATTATCGCTGCTCTTCGATTGTATTCTTCGCTTTGTCTCAACATTGCGACTGTTTTGAGGTTATGTCTGCTTAGTAGATGGGTATACGATATTCATGTAACAATCGCGACATCTTTAGGTGGCATAAAAGCGCGGGAGATTCAAATCTAATTTTGTCCGGATTTTGACCGCGGACCCTGTATTTTGCAGCTGCGGCTGCCTTTACCTGTCCGGTGACGGCGACGGAGCCGCCGCGGGGGCCGTGCAGGCGCAGTGCGCGAGGCCGCTGGGCTGGGGCGGGGCCGGCGGACAGCACGGGGCGGCGCGCCAGCGGCTCGTAGCCCAGGCCGAAGGCGTCCGCCTTGGGGCGCGCCAGGAACGGCGCCGCGTCCTCGGGGGCCAGCGTCACGCCCGCCGCCGCCAGCGCCGCCGCCTCCTCCTCCTCGTCGTCCTCCTCCTCCTCCCCGGCCGTCCCCGGCGGCGGCGCGCAGCCCAGCACACGCGGGCGCGGCGGGCGGGGCGCCTCGCGCGGCCCCACGCCCTGGCCCGGCCGCCACCCCATACGCCGCAGCAGGCGCGCGCCCGCCGTCTCCCTGCGAAACACACGTCACACGCTCCGACACACAGCCGGCGGAGAAGGCTCGTGGCACCGCGGCCCCTCTCACTGCTAGCCCGCCAGGTCCAAGTCAGCCGCTGTCTGGAGAATTCCAGCGGCCGGAAGTTTTCAATATTTTCTCCGATCAACATCAGGCGAAGGCCGGAGCAGTCTTACACTAACATGCACTACACTACCACACACGCCGGGAGACCGGTCGGGAGGTTGGAGCGTGTCCCGGCTGGGGCGGCGCCACGCTGGTAGGAGATACTTGGTTGGGGAAAACCCCGCTAGCCGACGGTGGGTCGGCGCCGGATCTCGCCATACGGCGGGGAATGGCCACCGCCACATCTCCAGCACACAACATGCATTACACAAATGACCTTAGTAGTTGAAGCGCCCGGAATCACAATTAAATCATTAATTACATCAATTAATCAAATATCTATCAATCGGGTGGGATGCAAAAACCTCTTATATGCACCACAATTTACTTTCGTGGTGATGTGAAGCTTTCTACACTTAACAATCACTACCCCTGTTCAGACTTTCCTACCCCTGTCGCACCACCATTAGGATTTGCTTCACAGAGGGCGGTCACAGCAGCTCTTCCACCAGTGGGCCTTCTTTGTTACTTCTCTCTTTTCCTTTTTTATAATAATATTTAAGAATCCTGCAATTTGTGTTTTCCAACATTTCTGTTGATAGGCATGAATTGGGCTTCGAAGGGTAGTGCCATGTGTAGTCCGTGTAAGCGTAGTGCATGTTTCATTGCGGGAGGTGGTCTTCTCCTGGATAGCAAGATCCAGCATTGACCTATATCAGCTTGCAGGGATTTTCCCCCACCAGGTATATGCCACCAATGTGGCACCACCCCAGCTGAGACAAGCTCTGAGCTCCTAACCGATCTCTTGAATTGTGGTAATGTAGTGCAAGAAAGAGGTGAGATAGGACAAGGAAGGAATAACTCATGCGGTATGTGACCTGTTTGTTAGGGCACTGTCTGACATTCATTCACCTGGTGTTGATCACACAAACCATGGAAAACTACCAATAAGAGCAGCCAGCCACTACAATTCTTCTCCAGTCAGTAGCTGAATCTTACCTGTTATCTAGCTAGTGTTAAAAATTCTACCCGCATCGTGGTTGGAACCCTAGAACCTCCTGGTCAGAAGGACTTCGGTGACATCAGTTCATGCCTTGCCACCTTTGCTGGTGAATAATCTCATATTGGAAAACACCGATAAAGACTACTAACAGGAGGAGACCCATTAGAACACAGAAATGTTGGAGATTCCACCTCAAACCCTCAGAAAATGTAACCATCCATGAGAAGAATCTGCTGTCATGGACCTTTAACGTGTATTTACATAGTTAAGCTTGAGAACAAGAGTGAGTAATGCATAATTTTAAAGTATGATACTTTTGACATAACTCTAAGATTTAATTATTTAACAAAGGAAACTTCTGAAGCATTTTTTTCATAACAGTATTTTCAAGCAAATGCAAAAATATTTTTTTCATAGAAATAAAAAAAATTGTGGCATTTCTAATGACTAGCAAATTGTAAGTCAATTCACGAATTTCCTGGTCTGTCACCAGCCCTAATGAATAAAATATTTTCAATCCAATCAAAAATATTTCAGAAAGTTTAGACCAATTTAACATGAAATTAACCAACAAAAATAACTCACCTTACAGGCTCCAGAAGCAATTTCAAAACTGGTTCACCCGGAATAGGTCCATCAAACGTATGTTGGTTTCGCTCTCTAGTTCGTTTTAAATGACTGAAGTCACTTGTAGCTCGCAAGACTTTAGGCGCAATTCCAAACTCGCCAGTATCCTAGAAAACCTCATACTACTTAGATAAAGACGTAACAGATAAAAAATCATTGCGGTTTTGCAAGTCATAACAGAAGATACATAAATATCATTGACCCAATATCCCATTGATCAAATACCATTGACCCACCCCATTCCATGGCCCAAGTTTTTAATGTCTAGGCTACCTGGGAAGAGACGCATCACTGTCATGGGTGCTGACATTTTTATTGTTGCCTTCCTTAGATCGTACTGCTGGAACGAATAGGAGTACGCTCCGAGGAAGGCCACAATATGTTGGCTGATGATAGAGTTGCGGCTCATCTCGGGTAGCCTATTTAATAAACATCATTAACTGAATATGGTTCCACTTCTATTCAAATAATAAATTTAATAAAAGGATGTTATCCAAGGAAAAAAATCCACATTATCTTTCTCATGTCTGCTTTGTTCTGAACAAAACAACGGATGACAGAGCATGACTGAAATATGAAAAATATTTTAAAAATTCAAAGAAATTTCAAATATAACAAAATATACAAGATTAAAAGGATTAATTATAATTGTGTAAAATGTTTGTTTTATACATGAACCAACAGAATGAAAGTGTCGCAATGAACCTAGATTTATAACTTAAATGATCTTGATATTTGAAAAATTAAGTAATTTTATTATTGCTTTAGGATCCAGGACAAACTCTAATCTAGTTACAATAGAAATCTCAACAAACATTATGGAGTTTGACAATGCAATATTTGGTAACAAGTTTTGGTGACACTTGAATATCACATAAAATTAAGCCAAGTAAGATCTTCTGACATAAATTGCATAAATGAAAACACATTAACTTAATAAAATAATAATTTAAAATATAAATGACATTTAATTTTAACAGACAAAACAGAAGACACAATTCATACTTCATCATCCATAAAATCTTCAGGTCTTTGGGTCTTGCTTTCCATTCGCTCTGAACGAGATGATTTGAATGATGAGGGTGTCCATCCTTCCAAAGATCCAACTGTGTTAAAAAATCCCGCAGAAAAACCTCCAGTAAAGGCTCCATGAAAACGCCGCCTTCCCTGTGCATCTTTAACCACTTGATCTTCCAACGTCAATGCTCTTTTGCGAGGAATATCATCTGAAAATTATTATTTTCCGTTAACTCAACTACTCAATTATTAGACAGAAATATTTCTTAATATTTAGTCATTATTCACACACCTTCATCAAGAGGCTCCAACCCTGTACCATAAACAACAAATTCGTCATCGTCAGAATCTGACATCATAAGATTTGAGAAAAAAATAACAAATTAAAGCAATAGTCTTGCAGTGGTGTCTTTATCTACAATACAGGTCCCTGAATTGGAGTTTATAACCTAAAAAAGATATGTTGATATAAATAACTACACCCAAGACACTTGAGAGTAACACTTAAATGAATATAGTACGCGTTAATTCTTAATGTATGATACCGTATCATACATATTTTCATCCCATTAAAGAAACTATTCAAAATAATTTGAGAAAGCTTATTTATTTCGGAAAGTACGCATGGATACGCCTAAAGATAATTCAGGTGTTGCTGTCAGTCAAAAACAGCACCATTACTCTTTGATCAGCAATCTAGCAAACTCTTTGTCGCTTTGTATCGTGCTTGCAGCCAACTGTTGAATTAAATATGAAGCTTCTTTGTTGAATACTAAATTTAATGTCCGAAGCACGTCAAACGTTTCTTCCTTTCTAAATATTGTTTCATGAATGTTCTTACAAGAAAAGCAGATGAAAACATTATTTTCATTGAGTAACTTTTTATTTAGTTCATGTTTAAATTTTCACCCGAGCCTTTGTTAGCGGTTAGTTTCAGTCAGCAGTTAATATAAGTGGTATACGAATGGATGAATATGAATATGACTGTATTTGAATGAAAAAAAATATAGGTTCACAGCCCAAGAAGTAGGAGCCTGGGAGAAGTTGCCCTTGCTGGCCGTTTCTCTGGACTCCCTTAATAGCATGCCACTAATGGTGGAGATAACCACCATGATGCCACTGAATAGTAAAATTGCTGGCACGAAAGTGGCTGACAACTTTTAAATTCTCACTTATTACCGCGCATGTAGTGCATAAAGACCTTCAATTCTTATTTGGTTGCTCGCATGACGGCATGGTTTCGCGATATTCTGTCGATATCGCATGTTTAGCTTAGAAAAGGAGAAGGGAGATCAAGCATTAGTATATACAAAATTTAAACAAGTCAAAAGTCAAGCGCTGTAAAAAGGATTGTTCATTAATTTAATTATAGTGACTTTTGACGTTTGAAAATCGCACTATAGTATCTTGTCCAATAGGAAAAGATCGTACAGTGCGATTTGTATAACTATGCGCCTTGGCTAATAACAATGTCACTGCATTTCGCATGTTTCATTGCTGTGCCGCTAGATGTCGCGGCCGTATCAAGCAGTGCAGTGCTTGATACAGTCGCGATCATGCGATATCTAACGGCATGACTAAGAAATACGAAATCCAGTGACAATACTATCGCGAAGACACGTTCAGGGGTATAGTTATAAAAATCGTCCTGTATTCTTGTCCGCTTGTTTAGGCGCCAGAAGTCACTATATTTAAATCGGAGGGATGTCGTCAGCTCCCGCATGGGATTGGTGTTGAGTTGAATTCGAATTGCTCAGCTGAGATTGAAATAGTTGGACTGATGTTTCGTGCCCTTGCGTGATGCTGGTTAAATAATAATATTTAGAAATCTTAGAGTTTGAAATTTGTCCATGACTTTACCAATGGATAAGATAACATTTGTAATTTTCAACTTGTTTTGTTTGCATGCTTTAATACTACAGTTTGTGAAATATTATGTTTTTGGATTCCACAAAAAAAGTAGTTGTTGATAAATTTGTTTCATTCCCTAGGTCATTCCGGATCTACTATCAAGGAATGCTACAATTGGAGCTAAGTGGTGTCCAGGGAATAAATTAGGGGTATTTTTTGGTGCTACTCCAAAAGAAGGTGAGCTATTAGGACCTTTTTTTTATTTATTAAAGGGTCATCCCTTAGAAATTACAAATAATTATTGTAGACACATCACACAGGTCACATGACAAGAATACTGGCAATAAAAATACCTAAAGCTCATTACATGAATATAAAACAACGACTATCTCACAGCAAATATCAGAGGATTACAAATATAAATAGTGAATGCACTCGTAGTATGAATCAAATCATAGAATTAAATATGATCTATACATTTAGAATCAATGAGTAAAAGAACCCCTTCCCCTGAACGTCTCTTCTTTTCTCTTTTACGAAACTTCCCATTCACTACTATGTACAACTTACTCAGTACTATTAATGTTCGGCCCTAAGCCGCCATCCTGATTGAGGTTTTTCTGGGTTTACTCAATCGCTTAAGGCGTATGCCGGGATGGTCCCTAGGTCTGTTCTCCCAGACGTAAATGTACAGCTTGTCATCCCCTCTTAAAATGTTACTATTCTAAATGTATGTAAATTCAGTGGTTAGGCGGAAGAGCAGGCCCTATGGCCTGAGCCTCGCCATTAATAAAGACATTATTATTATTATTATTATTATTATTATTATTATTATTATTATTATTATTATTATTATTAAAGAAGTTTAAGACAATAAATACATTTTTAAAGTCCTAATTTAAAAAATCAATCCTATCAGAATAGTAATTGGCAGTTATTATTAGAGATATCATTATACCTTTAGTTAGTTGAAGATGCCTCCATGCAGAAGCATGTAGAGTTTCTCGTGTTCATATGAGGATATGAAGAGATATGACAAAGAAGTTCAGGGCCATCAATGAGACCATGTAGTATTTTATAGAAGGAAATTAAATGATAAAATTTTCTCCTATCCTGTAGAGTTTCTGGTTTAAATAAATTGTAGAATTTGGCAAGGTCATAATCAAATGTTTGAATTTGTGTTTTGCTTCTGAAGCTAGGTGGCGTAGAAATGTATGTTGTTGATCGGTAGATAATTTAGTGTAACGTGACCAAATGTTAGAATTCTAAAATTGAATGATTCAGAGTTTCATAAAGAATTAATGAGTTGTCAGTGGGCCAGAAGCATTTGGTGTTGTACGAAATGGGACGCAGGGAACACTGAGCTTTATTCACTGCAACAGTAATACGTATATTGAAATCAAGTTTGCCAAAATAACTCCAACATTCCTGATGTTAAAGAAAGTGCACAAGAATTTGCCATTTGAGGAATATATGTAGCTCATGACATTATGTCTCTGGGCCAAGATTATTGCACAATATTGATCAGTGTGGAGTTCCATTTTGTTTGAAGAACACCACTCCGAGAAGGCAGAGTCTAAGTGGTAGGGGTTATTAAAATCAGTAATCCTGGCATAAATATTGGCATCGTCTGCAAACAATAAGATTTTTCTATATTTAATAACTGATAGCTGATCATTAAAGAAAAATGCTAAACAAAATCGGACCCAAATGAGTGCCTTGAGGTACACCTCGAAACTAACTGTAAATGGCTTGGACACATGGCCATTAACAATGACATACTGGCATCAACCGGAAAGATATGAGCATATCCGTGAAAGGAGTGGAGCATTAATGCCCAAGTTTGACAACTTGTCTATCAATAGGTCATAATTATGGTCGAAAGCCTTGTCAAAATCCGTGAATGCATCATCTATCTGAGAACCGCATTCAAATGCTTTAATGATATAGATTTTAAATGCAGTTAGATTAGTTGTAGGTAGATCTATTGTTAGTAAACCATGTTGATAGTCTGAAATAATTGAGGGAAGGTGTGGTGCCAAAACATTAACCTCAAGTTTCCTGAAACGTTCTGAGACAGCACTGAGAATGGAAATAGGATGGTAATTTGAAATATCACTTTTGTCTCCTTTTTTAAATATGGGGACAACTTGACTATGTTCCCAAACTGTGAGGAAAATCCCCAGGTCCAAGGATTGGTTGAAGATATATTATTAATCATGTGATTAAAAATCATTATTTTCAAGCTCATGTGATTTAAATCAAATGATTATTTTTTAAAATTAATTATTTAAATCAATATTTAGTATTTGAAATATTTGAAAATATATTTGTATTTTAAATGCTTGTAAAATAATAATTACTCAGATAAAAAGTTTAAAATCATTTGCAAAGTTGATATAAAAAAATATACTATATTTATTGTTAATGTTACATTATTATAAAATTTTACATTAAAATAAAATGCAATAAAATTAACAAACTTATGAAACAAAGACCAATAAACAATTTGTTGTAGAGTTATATACTAATAGACTTTGATGTTTGATTCGTTTTTATTCAGCATTTAATTGTCTTTGGATAAAACTAATTTAGCAGCAATGGTGCCCTAACACCCACCATATTAGTTTCAAGAAAAGGTCAATAGAGTCCATAATTCATTTAGTTGTTTTAAAATTTTCACTGAAGCCTTTATTATCTGCGTACGTTTTCTTGAGCCCTCATTTCGCAAGGTGCAAGAGGAATAGGGAGTTGGTTATTGTGACAACAGGACTATTATAACAAACCTGTAAATGGTTTTTCATTATAAAATAATTTCTAGTATACAAGAGCAAACCTTTTTGATGAGGTTTTTTTGAACAACGTTCATTGGGAACATTTATTCTTAATTAAACTAATGTTAGTAAAGGGTTCAGGGTGGGTATTCCAGGGCTCAAGAAAATGTGCGGATGTAATACCAGAGTTCAAATGACTAACAACAAGGAAAATTTCAGACAACATGAATTTGATATTGCTGCCGTAGAATGATATTGAAACTTAACAATAGTAGTTGGAATGTTAGTGTGTTTTGTAAATCATGTTAAGTTTATTGATTTAAAAAAAAACATTTTTGCATATAAATAATTTATTTTATTCTCAGATAAAAGATGCAATATTCATGGACCCACCAAAGTTCATCAAGTGTGCCAAGAAGTAATTTTATTTAATCCCATATCTCGAAAATTAATCAATGAAGCAAATGGAGTGTTTCTTGCTCTCCAGAACGTTACTAGTGAAGAAAGTAATCCTTGTGGTAGACGAGCAGAGTTATTGAAGCTCAGTCGGTGGTACAGGTAAGACTAAAACTTCAATCTAATAGTTTTGGAGTTGAATTAAATTAACACATGGCCTATTATCATCTGCAATGGTTTACCCAAGACTCGTAGAACTTATTCAACAGACACACCCTCCTAAGCAGCTTATATCACGCATTCATAAATACAGTTTTTACTATTTTGAGGAGTAATTCTTTAATTTTATTAATGAAAGTTTTTCAGTATCTAAATTGAGTATGTAAAAAATAACATACATTAACAAATGCAATATATAATTCAACTTAAATGAAAATATCTTTATTAGAAACCATAATTTTGGCTAAACTCTGCAATAGGAGTTTTAGTTTTTGTTTGGATTATGGCCCAACGGTAAAGACAAAACTTTTATGTAAAACAACTTTTAATTATCTCTTACTTTTGTATGTATGTTTGCAAATTTGATGGATTTTTATTATATTACAGATCAATTATACAGGCTTGTTTGGAGAATTTGCAAGATGCTGCGAAAAATGAAGAAAATGAAAAAGACACATATTTGAATCTAGTAACAGTTTGTTACAACATTGAATTCATTTGGCACCTTTGTGAAATTTTGTTTATAGATGTCATTCCTGGTAAGGAAAAAAACACAAATTGTTTGCTTATTAAGAAAAATGAAATTCATTGCATAAAGCAACTATAAATTGAAGAGCACTATTACTTCTTTCGTTATACATTGCATACGCGGTTCTGTGATGTGTGCTCTTATTGCGGTTTGTTTCTTGCTACTGTTGTGATCTGATGCGAGAACAACCGCAGGACCATGTACCTGTCTACTGAATAAGTGGCAACATCGCTCTGCCCCCACCCCAGCTGTCAAGTAGACAGTAATATTATTCGGACAATAGTGGAAAGGATTGAAAAACCTTAGTAATAAAATTTAGTTCCTGTACTGCGATTTATTCATGTCAGCCTGTGGGAGGTCATCAGTTGTTATAGCCTGCTTTTACAGCTTTCCAATCCGAGAGCTTACACAGCAGACAGGCCGTCACTCATTTTGTTACTCTACTTGTCTCCTTGTAGGCTGTTGAAGGCTCCTAAATGCTGTTAGCAACTTTGACTTGCTGCTGGCATCTCTACCCTGTGATTGATATTTTAAAAAAGAGTGGGTCCGGAGAGTACTTTGTCAGAATATACAATATTTTCACAATACAACAGATTGAATAGTCTCTAAATAACCGAGTTTACATATCCATATGGAATGTAGAGTAAATCACATCTTAGTAAAAAAATCTATCGCTACAGCCATATAAACAATTTGTGGAGTAACAGAAATACAATTTTACAAAGTAATATTCTATGCATGAAAGTACAGTATATTTTAATATCTTAGTGAACCCATTCAGACTCTGGTCTACTATGTCAATGTTACCATGGTTGTTAAGTTTATATGCTCTTGAAATCCAATTGTTTGATGTAAAGTTTCTGGGGAAGTTTTCCAGTGTAAATGTACTAAAATGCCTAGATAGCCTCGTATTCCAAAATTCAGTTGCAAAAGTAATGACAGACTATCTATACAATATATAATGTTTCAGGAAAAGGTAATAAACGTATGTTTACTAGGCTGAAAAAGATCATTTAAGAAACGCCAAGTTTAAAAACCAAAAAGCAAGAGGTCCAAATGAGTGCCTAAAGGAATCTCTCTAGAAACCTTGTTCTTATATTTGCAGTCTGGATTCTGTCCTGCAGATAGTTTGCTAGTCATTTTAATAAGGTAAAACAGATAATCTTGATAATTCAAGTGATTTAAGTTCAATTATGAGTAGAATGTAATTGAGTCAAATACCTTGCTGAAATCTGTGTAAATGCTATCAGCTTGGATCTTCTCTGAATAATCCATAATGCCCTGGGTATAGATGATCAAATTACAGTAAAACTTCACTTATGTTTTTCAGTGGACTAAAAGGAAAAAATGTGTGAGAAAAACGCATAACTGAAATTGAATAATACGAGGAAAATTAAAAGGCAATATTTTTACATTATCGTTTTATTAGAAAAAATATTACCAGAAAAGAAGAATTCAGTATGCACTTTACACACACATACACATGTGTACACACACATATAAAACACGCAATTTACACAATTTGACTGCTTTTTTATTTCTGAGTTAATTTTTCTTTCTGAACAAATATATTAATTTCTTTTGTAAATAAACAATTTACATGTTGGAATCTTTATATGCTTCTACAATGCAAATTTTTGCGTAGAAAGCATTGTTTCAAACAAACTTGTGAGTCTTTATTACAGTTCAACCATTCGGAATATTAAAGTAGTTTATTAGACAAAATATACTTAAAATTGTCATTAGAGCTTAGTTTCAAAGTTTCAGCATTTCCTCTCTGGACAGCCTGTATAATAGACAAAATATGTATTAAGCTAATAATATCTTGTTTGTAGGTGGTGTGGTGTTGCCTCAGTTTTTAGAATGGATTAAATTTCATTTCTTTCAACCTGAAAGAAAAGCAATTGCTTTAATAAATACATTATATGGCAGTCAGAATCAAGATGATGAACCAGAAACTCACCCTGACTATTGGAACACAGTTACACAATTAGTACTTCAAGGAAGACTTGATCTGGCAAAGAGTTTACTCTCTTTGCATTCAAAATCGTATTCAGAGCCTATTAAGAGACTTGAATACATGCTGAAAACAATGCCTTTTTATAGAGTGAGTTATGATTTATTTGTTGTATTCTTGTTAAAAACTAAGAGTTAAATGGTCACCAAATCAACATTTGTGAGGCAGTAAAATTGATGAAATGTGTCTTATATTTCCTTAGCATTGATAATAAATACTTGTTTGTTTGTGCGGTGTTTTTTGAGGAATGATGTTGTTTGTATGCATTAAATCTATCCATAATAATTGTGCTGATTAATGTATGATAGTAACTTAGTTGTTTTTTTTTTATTTAAAGTTATCAGAAGGTTTTATTTCCTAGATTGTAATTGATGTGAAGTAAATTTTTGTTCTTAGGTGTATGGTGGATTGTCTGTTACTGAATTCAATATAAAATGGAAATGTTGGCAGAATGAATGTATTAGGCATTTAGAAGATGGATTGTATTCTTCTGATAAAAACCTTGAATTAATAGTTATGGTGAGTGTTCATCACCAATTTTACAAATTTCACTAATGCTGCACGTAATTGATCTGATTCAGCTACTCTTGTTAATTATATTTTTTAACAGTTATTGGCTGGTGATAATAGAGGATTCCAGCAAATTCAAGAACTGTGTGAGACTTGGTACCAGTATATGGCTGCTGTGTTGTTATACACAGAACCTACTGTTAAGTGTTTTGATCTTAGTTTTCATGCTAATCGATGCATTAATCAGTTAGGACTTGCTGACACATTAAAAAGTCTGGATGTCATATTACTTGCTCTTTTTGATTCAGATCTTTTAGAGGTAATGGCATGTTACATTTATTTACTGTTTTCATTTATTATTCTACTACATGTAAATCTACATCTTTAATGTTTATGTCTATCTTAAATCTTTAATGTTGCAGGCCATAAAGCTAATTGGTGAAGGAATAGAAAATGGATGGTTTGCAGCCCATTTAACTGATCTTCTTTACCATTGTGGCTGTGTGAGTTTGGTTGATAACCAACAAATAAAGTAAGGGCATATCTTAACTCACAAGTTTCAAAGTATAATAAATTTATTACACATCCTTTGTGGATTATAGCTCCTTACATGTTATGTTCATAACTTGTAAGGAGCAAATTACTCTACTGTATTAAGTTTAGTCCAGGTTGTATTAATGAATCTTATGCACTGTTAAAGTTTCATGATGTAACCTTAAACAAAATTTGTTAAGCCAGGATTATAGACAAGGATTTGGTTTCCTCTTCGGGAACTCTGTAATTACATAACAAAATACAGATATTCCTAATGAAAATTTTCAAATATTGTTGGCTACATCATATGAAAATGAAAGGCAGAAAGTTTTTTTTTTTTTTTAACCAAGAGTGAAAAAGAATAAAAAGCAGGAATTAAATAATTCTAAGTACGAGCATACATACCAAAAATATTTCATAAATTGCCAATAAAAAATTGAATAGTCTTTTCTGTGCCAAAGTCCTTGTGAAACATGCATTTCTAATCAGGTGAAAATTTGGAGATCGAAAGAACTTTCAAAGGAGGGGAAAGGGCGAAAGGAAAGAGGAGAAGAAAAAGAGTTTTCTGGAATATGAGTAGTAGTTGTTGTGATTGTTAAAGTTACTAATTACTGTTCTTTATTGCATGAACTGAATTTTTATTTAGTTTTGTTCCTCATGATCTTGCAATGGATTTGTTCATTATATGAAGGTCACTCCAAAAGTTTTGAGAATGAGCAAGAATGAAAGTATTTCCATTGTTAGGTGGAACTTTTAAGTAAGAATCTCACGCAAGTTTGAACACACTCAGGTAATTTATTAACTTTGAAGGGCTATTTGTGTTCTATTAGTTGTTGTTCCTCTGCCAGTAACGATGGACCTAAAGAGAGAACATTTCAGAGCTATGATTTTGTATGACTTTATGGTTTTCTTAGATAAGAAATCATGCCTCAAGAGATTACAGTGTGCGTTTGGCAGTGGTTGCTCTTCACAAGCCACTGTCTATCGGTGGTTTGCCGAATTCAAGAGGGGAAGAGACTCTCTGGAAGATGAAGACCATTCTGGCTGGCACAACGCAGCAATGACGGATGGAAATGTGCTGAAAGTGGAACATTTGCTAAGGGAAGACCCTTGTTGTACATATGCTCAGATTCAGGAAGCTTTAAATATTGGATCAGCAGCAGTGAGACAGATCCTGAAAGAAAAGCTTCACGTTAGGAAGCTGTGCTGTCGCTGGATTCCTCACAATCTGTCAAATGAACAAAAAAGGGTGCGAGTGGATTGGTGTCGTGAGACCCTGGATAAGTTCAATGGAGAAAGATCAAAAAACATTTTTAACATCGTGATGGGTAATGAAAGCTGGATTTATCAATTTGATCCAGAAATGCAATGGCAGACATAAGTATGGCTCTTCCCAGATGAAAATCCTCTAACGAAAGTGAGAAAACCCAGAAGCGTTGGCAAAATTATGATTTGTTCTTTCTTCTCTGCCAGTGGCCATATTGTGACAGTACCACTTGAGGAACAAAAGACAGTCTCTGCAAGATGGTGTACTACAATTTACTTGCCCTGATTGTTTGAAGAGCTGAGAAAGAACCGTCCAAAATCGGGTTTGCGTGAAATCCTGCTACACCATGACAACGCCTCATCCCACACAGCCAGAGCAACAACTGAATTTCTGATAGAATCAAGGGTTAAACACTGTCTCATCAACCCTACAGACCAGACCTGGCCCGTGTGACTTTTCTTTTTCCTTATGTGAAAGAAAAAAATCGAGGTCATCGTTTCGAGTCAGCTCACTCTGCAGTGACTGCATATGAAGTTCAGATTTGCAGTATCTCTAAAGAAGTGTGGCGATCGTCATTTGGTAATTGGTTTAATTGAATGAAACGTTGCATAGAGTGTGGCAGAGAGTACTTCGAGAAGATGTGAAGGTATGAACTTGTTATCTCGATTTTAAATATAGTAGTCTCAAAACTTTTGGATTGACCCTCGCATTAATACAGTAAACACTCATTAACATGAATTTCCAAGGACAGAAAGAATCTTAGATCATGTTACAAAAACTTGTGTTATCCAATTCAAAAAGATATATATACATTCTAAAAGATATAATACATACAGACCAACATAAATTCTGATATGAAATCTACACTGACAATTCTTTTAATTAATGAACAATAATGCAGTGAAACCTGTCTTTCATTCAGAGCACATGTATACAATCATACCTTTTCAAGACAACAGCAAGCCTATCACTCACCAAAATGGATCTTCTTTCCAATAATTTCATTTTTCTCTTACAATTATTACATTCACATCTCGTTGCAACTAAAATCAATATCCAAGTTACTGTTGTAAATAGTGTGTGTGTGTGGGGGGGGGAGACTGTAATAACCATTCTCAAACAGGAATATTCCAGATTAGACAATTGAATGTAAAAATAAACACATAGTTCTCTCCTCTCCCCTCTTATCCTTTACATAAGCAATTCTATGCAATGATGAACTCAATCTTAGATCTCAGTCATCCTCTGGTGGCCACAGCTAAACTATTGTACATTGTACACTTGATACTGTAATGTAATGCTAGGCAAAAAGAAGTCTTGAAAAGTAATTATTTTGTAAATATATAAAAAATTATGGTTTTAAATCACAGCCTATAGTACTCCTGATCTTCAAAGGAAGCTCACATAAAAGTTGCATTGATTTTGGTTCGGTTCATTAATTTGATTTTGAATCAACTCGTTACTGCAACTATTATTAATCGACTCATTATTGCGATGTATCGCAGCGCAATTGTCTCTTTAACATAAGTATTGACTAAATAGTTACCAAAATATTGGTGTACAAAAGTATTATCTTGAAGGTATTTTGTGCAATTCTTTGTCTTATGATTATGTATGATATATTGTAGAGACTAACATAAGGGGGTCAATGAATGAAATTGGGGGATCCCTGATGTAGATAGATAACTTTTTGGTATAACAAGTGGAATTTTTTGAAATATTATTGGGATTGGTGAACTAACAATATTCTTAATTTGTATTAATGGTTCTTTACAGTTTGACTGCTGAAATGAGAGAGCAACTCTTACTGGATTATGCCTCAATGCTTATGTCACATTCTTCTTTGTGGCAAGTGGGAGTAAGCTATTTAGATCACTGTCCTACCCTTGGACGAGAATATCTTGAGGTCATTTTACCCACCTTGCCTTTAACCTCAGAGAAACGGGCTCTCAAAATCTTACAAGTAGCACAAAGTAGAGATATGCCTGAAACAGGTAAAAAGAAAGTTCTTAGTGTTTTCTTCTCAATGACTATTCAGTTGAACGTGTGTGAGTGATTGCGAGAGAGAAAATGAGTGAATAAGACTGGCTGGTGATGTTTATTTTGCTTATTTAACTACAGTAAGTACAATAAAATATACAAGACATAGATAGGATGAGGTCTAATAATGAGGGAAAAAAAAGCATAGAACAGTAGCAGAGCATCAGTCCTCTACTAGAGAAAGGTAAATCACCTTTCGGAAATGATACCAGAAAACATGTTTTCCTGGTTCATCCTTTGGGTTCTAAGTGTTTCAGAAATTCTTTTCTTCTGAATTCCCATGAAAGTAATATTTTTTTTGTAGCTTACTTTATTTCTGCGACTGTCTCTTCATATAAAAGTACTGATTACCTGGTATGAGGCGTTACATAAATTATGTAACGCAAATTTAGAGTATTTTGAATACCCTCTCTGCCCCCTGTAATGCATCCATAACACAGGATTGAAGTCCCCCTAAATAATTATGTAAAGCTTGCAACCCCCCTTATAAATGCAAGAAGTGTAAATAAATCATAGCTCAAAAGTTGTATTCATTTTATTTGTGTTATGTATTAAAATGTATGATAATTAAAGTCTGAATTAGTTATCGATGCTAACAGCACCTAACAATAAGATTGGGAGCAAATTTTCAGTGAAGAAAGGAGGCACAGGCAAGAAACTATCTGATCACAAGCCATCCAAAGGCCTCCTTTTTGGTTGGCGTGTGGGCAAGAATCTACTGTGCCAATTTAATTGTATTCTGCAAAACACTGCAGATCAGTTTATAATATTTTCTTCATAATCTTACAAATTCAATATCAAGCTGATGAAAAAATTCCATTTATTGTAAATGAACTTTAAATAACTTTAAATTATTTATGTTTTAAAACAATTTAATTATACTGTTTTTTTTGTTTTTGTATAAGACTCAAAAAGGAAGAATTTCAACAAATGTTAAAAAATTTACAAACATATCAATGTGAAGTAACACTAATCGAATACCCCCCCCCCCTTCCCTTGTGTAACTGAGAAATGCTGCCATAAACCACCTCCCCACTATTTGGAGTTCTGTAATTAATGAGCTAGCAGCTGGACTATGTCATTAACTAGCAGCTGGTATTACTTTTGAACTGATTTGGCAAATGCAGTTTAGGTTTTGGTAATTGTGAAACCCAGATAAAAATGAGGCAATATATCATATTCTGACATTATTTAATTTGAAGTTGAACGTGACATAAAAAAGAAATCTAATAATCTTATTATGAAGATTCATTGCAACCCATTTTTGTGTTGTGTCTGTAATGATTATTCCGCAATTGCATTCTGATGTAAATACAATATTGCAATGGTCAAGCATGGTTCCAGATTGAGTGTCTTTCATGGAATTTTCCAAAACTTCGACGCTATATAAATGCTTAGATAGCTCAGCAACTATCTTTGGTTTTATTATTCCCAAAAATTATTACTGCATTATTTTTGCTCGGTTTCTATTTTTTTATTTTTTTCCCCATTTGTACTTTATCACAATGAAATGAGAGAGCTGACATTAGTTTTAGGCTTGCTTTAATTTTTTTTATTTAATGTTGATGTCAGATATTTCATATATCACTAATTATGATTCATTAGTTAATAGTAAACTGAGTTTGTTCAAGTGTTTTGCTGTCTGGTCTCCTTTATTGGGTTTGGTTTTAATGAGATGGAATTTATTTTAAGAATGAGTATTTGAGTTTCCTTCTTCATTCTTTCCTTTTCATGAGTGATGTTAGCTATTCATAGGAAATTAACATTTTATCACCACAGATTATGATAGAGTAATGAGCATGCTTTGATAATTGATCCAAAATTATTTCTATTTTTTTTTAACATTATCTGAAGATTTCCATTAGGTGCTTGGTAAATGCTTCGGAGGAAGATGTTTGGCTTTTGAATTTTTACAATTGAGCATTCTATGCCTGAGTCACATATAATATGTTTAATTTTTGAAGTCAATATTATTGGCCAGGTATATGCATGTACCTCTGTACATATGACTGCTGATGGTTGGTTTGATCTTTTAGCGAAAGTAAGCAGCTAAGTAGACACAGGAATTTGTGTCACTTTCATTTGATCCTCCATAAGCGACTGTTCAGTTCCACTGAGTGCAGTTGTGTTTTAACATAATTTATATTTTAGTATTATGTTAACAATATTTGGTTTATTTTATTTTTTAAGGATAGAATATTCTGGTGTAGAATCTGAAGGGTGCTGCTCATTTCTGTGGTAACTGGTGTAGAAATGGTTGATTGCATGCTTCTGTTTTCACACATGTTCAATTATTTGCCATTATTTAGTGATAATATTAAGTTTCAATTTATGGTTAATGTTTTACTCGGTGAGAATGGTTGCAAGAGTGTAAAACTATATGGCATTGTTATAACCTTTCTAATATGAGATTTCTCATTTGTCTTTCTTGAGTACTCAAAGTAGAGATTCTGAGAAAAGAAAATTTAATATTTCTGGAATGAAAAATAAGTTTCCTGATGAATTTCAGTCTCGTCTAAATCAATATCATCAATTAAAGTATTTTGTGAATTTTAAACAATTCTTTTATTAATATATTATATTGAAAATAGCACATTAATATGCAGGGAGGAAGAAACTGTTTTATATTGTTTTAATGATTTTCAGTTTGCAGCATTTGTAAAGTATTGGGCATGAGATCTTTCAAGCAAAACAGACTGGGAAATGCCTTAGCATGGGCTCTACGATCACAAGATTCAGGATTTGCTACTTACTTGGCTGATCGTTTTCTGGAGCGATATAGCCGTGATGGCAAATTTGATTCAACAGATTTGCTGGAAAATTTGGGATCCTGTATGGTTCTCAGTGACAGGTTGACATTTTTAGGTATGTCAATAGTTTATTTATTTAATTAAACTACAGGTTAACTAGACAAATACAAATAGTATAATTCAATTGCATGGCATATTTTTGAAAAACTTTTTGTTTGCAATAACCATATCAGTGAAATAGCATAAAAAAAAAATTAATTGAAAAACAAGATTGTAGAAAGGATATTATCAGCTACAAACATCAAATAAAAAAATAATAAGAAATTAAATTTATACATTCGCTGCTTCATAATTTGGAAATTCTCTAAGTCCTTTTCAAGACAATGGTTAAAGGCTTTCAAAATGCATTCTGGGTATTCTTTTACAACTATCCCCAGGATCGCATTCGGAATTCCATAAAGTCCCGGAACAGTTCCAATCTTGGTATTCTTCATTGTCTAGACTAGTTCGTCCTTCGTGATGTGGTTGGCTTCGTCGAAGAGGTAGTCAGATGGTCTGCTCCTTACCCAGCATTCTCTGCTAGGGAAAAGGTCTGGGATTATTGCCTTCACCCATTCGGGGTCTTCTAGCCCCGCGGTTGTTGAAGGTTTAAATTTGCCCATAACAATCTTGTAGGCTTTTCCCCAGGGATTGTTGTTCACATTGTTTAATAGGGCCTTCCAGCATTTTGTTTTGCCTCTTTTAATCTCCAATTTTAGTCTTTTGCGGGCCGTCTTGTAATTTTCCCTCAGCAGAATGTCCGTTTTAGCTCTTGTTGCAAGTCTTCTAGCTTTAACACATGCTTGACGAAACTCTGCAATAGTCGCTGTCTACCAATACACCTGGTTTTTCCCTTTTGGGGCTCCTACGTCTAGGCATTGAGATGTCACACATATTTTTAACGGTTTGGCACGTTTCCCGTACTACCTCTTCGAGGGACTCTCCACTTTTACAATTACTCCACCCCATGGACTCCAGCTTCGTCAAAGAATTTTATAGCATCAGCTTCTTTTAGATTTTTGGTGTTCCAAGATGGACCAATGTTTGGCTGATTCCTTCTTCTAGCTCTGTTTCCAGCGGATGAAGTGGAGAATTCAATGTAGTGGTGATCGCTAAGTGTTTCAGCGTAGAGAACCTGCCAATCTAGGACATTCATGGCAATCCTTGTGGTTCCTATTGTTAAGTCTATTATCAAAGAAGTTGCGCCCCTTTTAATGTACATGAGCTCCCTGTGTTTAGGACTACCAGGTCTTTCCTAGCCAGGAATTCGCAAACAATATCGCCTCTGCGATCAGTTCTGCTGTCGCCCCATTCAGGGGACTTGCTGTTAAAGTCTCCAGTCAATATTATTTCACCTGGGGCTGAGTTCATGCTTGCCTCCAGTTCATCGATTCGCTTCTTAAATTTCTCTATTTGGTCGTTTGGGGAGAAATAGCAACTATATATTTTAAGGGTGTCCATTTCTACCCATACAAAACCTTGGTTTGTAACTTTAAATTTAGACTTATTTTGGAATTAAGTATTACAATTCCTGCACGTCTAGTCATGTTCTGGTAGAGGGATATGTCGTCTATATCGTGCTGCTCACTGACCAGTAAGACATCCACCTGTCTTTCCCTTGCCGTTTGAATGAAATCTTGGGTGGTTTTTCCTTTGCCTAAATTAATTTGAAGGAACCTAAGCATTCTTTGTTTTACCGAGTTTCCTTAGTTCTGCAGTGAAGGAAGGGAATTTATAGCTACCCAGCTTATGATTGTCTTCTAGGTTTTGGTCTTTGCAGACAATACATTGAACTGGCCCTCTGCAGTCCTTGGCCAAGTGTCCTTTTTTGCCACACTTGTAGCATACTTCACTCCTGTCGGGGCCCTTGCAAGAGGTGAAGATATGGCCAAAGCCTAGACATTTAAAGCATCTGCTGACCTGGTGCTTCATCCTAATGTGGTAAGTACGCTAGCCAATCTCAAAATTCTCTGCTTTGAGTAGAATTTCTGCCTGGCACGAAGGGAGCAGTGCAGTCGCTACCTGTCTGCCTCCGTACACTTTGTTTAGTCTCCAGGTCGCCCGTAATGCGTGTTAACAGCATCTCTTACCTCATCTGGGGTAACAGACTCATCTATGTTCCTTAATTCAATTAAGGTTTTTGGGTTAAATGTATTGATGTTTACCCTGTCTCCTATTACATGGGTGATTGCTTGTCTTTCTTGTCTGGCCTCTTGTCTTGAAGTGGACTTGGAGCTTGTTTCTTCTTCTGGGACTGTGCCGTTTTCACAGATTTCTCATTTATCTGTTTGTCATGTTTGGTATTCTCAGCCTTTTTGTCATTCTTTAGGACGATTTTTTTCTCATACATCCCCTTTTGCTCTTCTTTAATGTTTTCCCACCTATTCTTTAGGGCATCCACGTCTGCTAGAGCTATAGCCAAGGTGTCCTTCACTATAACTGGGTTGTTTTTCAGGATGTTGTTGCTGACGATAATTAATTGACTCTGTAGATGGGCAATAATCTCTAAATTGTCTTCCATCAACTTTTGAGTCATCACCCAGTTATTTGATGTCCAGCCCCTCGCATTACTATGCCCTGCCGACGTGGGCTCTTCTTGGACCAGGGTTGCCTTGTCTCCTGTGGGTACACCAGTTGTCGTGGGGGTACTTTGAGATTTCCGCAGTTTTGACTTCCCAGAAAAGGGGTTAAAACCTGCTTGCTCTATGCTTTTGCTTGTCGCAGTATAGCATTTCAGAGACGCCAAGCGGTCCACGTCTCTGAGATTGCAGCCAAGATTGTCTTGAATGACCCCAAAACAAGACAAAATGCTTCTGTATGTCAGTTGCAAGTTAAAATAAAGACCTGGTATATTTCACATTAATGATTTATACTTGTATGCCGTGTTTTCATGTGCAGGAAACCAAAAATCAGACTAAAATTTTTATTTTATTTTCTTATGTTTTAGGAAAATACTGCGAGTTTCACCAGCTTTATCGGCGAGGGGACTTTCAAGAAGCAGCTAACCTTTTAGTTTCTCTTATGGTCTCACGCTTAGCTCCCAAATAGTAAGTACTAGCTAATTTCTGGCATTGCCCAGACTTACCCATTTATCTCTAGTGACCAGAACTTTAAACTAAATTTCAAGGTAGGTTGGCAAAAAGGCACTTACTACTAGTAAAATAGTAAAATCAAAAATACAATACAAAATTAATTATTTTTTATAATGAAATTATGCTTACAGTTTAACACAATATTGTAAAGTGTAGATTTCACAAGTTTGAAGAAAAATAATATAAAAACTTAGATGAAAAGACAATTTATATTACGGCATCATGACATGATATGAGATTATGAATTTTAATCTTGACTTTCCAAATCTTAAATGATTATCTAAAAGTGTTGTCTTAAATTTTCTCTAGTTAAAATGAACCTTTTGGCCGGTAAAATATCCTTCAGTTGAGATAAAGATCTCTTCACATTGACAGATATTGCTGCGGCAAATCTTGCACACAATAGGGCAGAAGAATTCATTCATTCAGCAATGTCACCTTTCAGAATTTTCAAAATATCTTTACGTTTTCTTAAATAAGCGTTTTAGGAAAACAGTTAACGTTTCTCAGCTACCCCTAGCATTTGTTGCCAAAGTTCATAAATCCATATACAATCATCAATAAATTTCAATAACTTTACTAGATGTCTCCTATCACCAAGTCAATTAATGAAATTTGGCAATAAACCAAAATGGGCCATAATAAAAATTATGCTGTTTTTTTATTATTATATCTAAAGAATCAAGAAGATTCTTTGCTCATGTGACATTTGTTTGACTGTAGCATGTGTTTTTGAACTAATGGTGCTACAGAATGGCACAGACTTTCTCTTACTAATTAGTTTCCTTATCTCTTAAGCCTGAGCAATTTTTTTGGTTTTGTCCCAACCTCATCTCAGCTGCCATCTATTGGCGCCTAATGGCCATTTTTCAATTTTTTTGTTTCCTAATGGTAAAATTTAAATATCACTTTAATAATATTATTGATTAGTAAAATTCGGCCCTGACATATTCGTTGAAAAATTTGAAGCCATTATTGAGAAACTATTGTTAGTGTAGTTTGAGCTCATTTTCACAGAAAACTTGTATTTTCGAGAAACATCACAAAATGTTTTTTGGAACAGTTGTACTCACAAATACCATAACGTACAAGAAATACCGGTAATATTAATGTGAGAAAAAGAGAAAATTACATTAGTGTAATTTTTTTAAAGCAAAAGGAAAAAGCAAAATGGCATTTATGTCATCTTATAGTGTATTTAGCACTATCCTTAGAAAAAATTTGGAGCCGTTTTTGAGAAAATCCTATTTTTTAAAATATTTTTTAATGGTGCCTTATTTTACTCAAAATTACAACAAAACTACATTTATTATCAAAAAATGTAAATAACATTAATTAAAGAAATGATTGTGGAGAATGAATTTCATTTGCAGAAAAATCTCTTATTTTCTTTATTGTAATGTGAGGCGTCGAAATATTTGAAACATTTGCAAATTTGAAAAATTTAGAGGAACAGCCTAAATCTGATTAATGCCATCTTTGTAAGTACATTTCACTCTGTTCTAACAAGCAACTTTAAAAAAATTTGGAGAAGGTTTTGAAAATGGCCCCAGAGCTTCATGTAAAACACCCCCAAAATGTAAAGAATGTTATTTACAATTGTAGAGCTTCGAGTTGAGTAAGATCAACCAGGGAGTATTCTGTTTGGAAAAAGTTCTTTCACGTAGTGAAAGTGCTAATGGACAATGATGGAAGGACATTTTGAAAAAATCTTTTTCGTTATCAGGTATCCCCTAAATGTGAATTTCCATTGAAATTTTAAAATTGATTTCATACAGCATTACATTCTCTACACTCTCTCATTACTTTCTCTACACTTCTGATATTACTCTGTGTATATGTACATATATGACAAAGTTAAAATTCAAAAACATCTTAATATTTGCATTCATATTGTCCACCTCGGAAATAAATATCTCACCTTTTTTTACCTCTCTGTGAAATGCATGAGCTATGCAAGTGATATGAAGCATAGTAGGGAACATCACTGAAAGATTTGCTGCTTTTTTAATGTATGGTGCTGCATTAGTTAAAAAAAGTATCACATTGTTGTGTTACATTTCATGGGAACTTATTAACTACAATGAATTTGTGAATAACAACAATATTTGAGCTATTGATTTTTTCTAAACATTGAGTGATGACAAAAATGACTTGAATAGTTTTCTAATGAAGAGCTCACTGGGTGAAAGATACAATGAGCTAGAAAACATGTGGCATTTGTCTCATCAATAGAAAAACAGATTTTTATATTTTTAGTTTCTTCTTGAATTTTTCTTTTCACTGCAAACAATAATTGACCGCAATCAGTGGCATAGAAATATTTTTCCTCGCTTTGTTTTTGTTGCTCTAACAACAACAATGTAAGGGGCAGGAAGAAATGACTGAAATCTGTTGGTGTTTTTTCTTTCTTCTTAATGTGTGATGAAATATTTCATTATCTACTGTTTATGGGATTTAATTTTTAAAATAGACGAATTATTTTTTAAATGTCCAAGAAATGCAAAATACTAATTTAGGCAAAAATAGGCATTTGCGTTTAAAAATAGGTGCTTTTTTCTCAAAAAAGAAAATCCCTATTAGAACCACAAAGGCATAATTTGTTTAGATTCATTTTAAAACTAGCTAACTGGAATGAGAAAGGAAAAGAAAGAAAAATCGCATTGTGCAAATTCTAGTCTCTGTTTATCGCAATCGAGCAGCATCGCCTGCTTTGCCTCTCTCCCTCGTCCACACTATCTGGCTTGCTGTGGCGTCCTGCTCACATCTCCTACCCCACCCATATAGCCTCTTCTGTTCCTCCTGCTTCTTTCACTCATTTCTCTAAAGCCCTTTCCTTCCACTTAACTCACCATGTACCTGATGGCTGTTGGTAAATAGCAACCTGCTGTAAGATGCTTCCTGTAAAATTTTCTTTCTCCAAAACAAGACTTTAAAATTGCAGAGGTGCCATTAGAACTCTAAAGAAAGCCCTCTAATTCAGTAAACCATTTTTCATTAATAACCTATCTTTGTAACAAGAAGTGTAAGGAAATGTCAGCTACTGGTACCAGCTATTTCCTTATTTAATAAAGAAAAATCACCACTAACACTTCTGCTCTTTGTTGTATTTGTGTTTTTTGTATACGGTGAGGAGACATTTTAGTGTTAATATTTACTACTAAATACCTTAGTTAATTGGTTGTTGAATTTTAATAGTATTTTGATGGCCAAGTTTGCTCTTTGGGATTGAAATAACTGTTTGGTCTAAGAATGGCATTTGCTTTAATTCTTGTCTGTGTAAAATTTCGCATAGTACAGTTCTTGCTATTGTTACTAGAAATGAAAAAAGGCTAATTGGGCTTGAAGACTGATTAGGAATCACATAACTTAATGATTAAAACTAAGTTCAGATTTCTAATCAAAGTACTGAATTATTTTCAATGCAGAGTCACTGAGTACTACTTGCAAAATATAGATTAAAAAATATGCACATACTATTAGAAGACTTGCAAAATTCTGTATTATAATAAGAGGAAGGGAATTCTTGTATTCCATTCTTCCTGAAAGCCATGGAGGTCACCCTATGCCACTGGTCAATTACCAGTATGGCAAATGCCAAATAGCCTTCAATTCTAAAAATATTGACCTCAAAGGTGCCGATGGTTGCAGTTGCTCTGAAGGGGGCAGGATCATTGCCAGTTGATTATATGTCGTTCCAAGACCAGTTGTTATTAATCATCAAAAAATTATTTGTTCTCTTTTTCAGTTTTTGGCTGACTCTCCTCATGGATGCTTTACCTCTTTTGGAGTCAAATGAAATAGTTCTCTCATCAGAAGACACATATGAACTCTTGGATTGCTTGGAACGACTTACCCTTGGTGGAACATCCAGAACAAAATCTTTAGTAGACACTTTAGAACTTAATAAACATGTTAAAGCTTCAGATGTGGACTCTGAAGATCTTCTTAGAGACAAAGTGGACTTAATTCGTTTAGCCTTAGGTCGCAATTTAGCTCGTTCTCTGATACATGAAGCATGCAATATACCAGATCAGGACCAAAAAATGGAAAAAGATTTTTAACTGGTCTCTGTGATATCTTCAAGAACACTTGTTTCTCTGAGGGACGAGGGTCCTCAGAGACATCACCAACTGAGTACAAGAAAGACTAAAGCACCTGACTTAGGAGAGGAAGGATAAATGTGTTTAGCAGCAAAGGGTTTTATAAACTATTTTATTTGTTCCAGCCTACTATGGACTTTAAATAAACAGTGATGTACACACATTGTACTGATCATTATTTTGTAGTCATCAAGAAAGTGATTGCAGGCGCCAATGACCTTCGCTGTCAATGCGCCCTTAAACTTAATTATCAATCAATCAAAAAAGTGATTGAGAACCAAGTACTAATGTAATATTTTTATATATGTAATATGTAATAGTTAAAATGGTCTTTGGTATTCGATTTTTTTTTTTTTATTGTTTGAATCCAGCTTGCAACTGCAATCATGTGTAACTGTGTCTCTGCGTCTCTGCAGATACTACTGTAAGTGTCAGATTGAAAAATAAATGATTTTGTAAACCTTTGTCTTGTTCAATCTTGCGAACAATCTCACGATCAAGTTCGGTACCAGGGCGCAGCTCTAATTGCCACTCCTCCCGCGTTTACACCTCCAAGGCGTCCCGACACCTACGAAATGCACCGAACACTCGAGGATAATGAAAGGTTTTCAATCAAACGCTTGACCCTCTGTCTGTTGCGAGCACTGGTCGCCGTCCCAGCAGCCGGCGAGGAGTCATTAGCAAAGGCTAGGCCATTCACCCCATATCGACAAAGTAATGCACATCTGCAATGCGATCGCTCCCACCTGGCCGCCCGGCCTCTTAACCGGCACGCCAGATGCCGCGCTTCTCGTGAGAACCAAACTTCAGATATTACAGACGACGCACAGCCATCGCGGGCACCACACGTGTCACCGCCACGTGACGCTCCTCTTCCCGGACTCAATAGCACCCACAACTATAATACGGCGGCATCGCCCCCATGCGACACTACTGACAACTGTCAAACTATTACTCACTATTCGCTAGTTGAGACTACTTGGACAATTACGAAGACTACAATGAGAAGAACTTAAGTTCTGTTCAATACTCAAAGTATATCTTCTGTGTTGCTGCTCAGAACTACTCGCAGAACTAACACACCCCGAATGCAACTCACTTGCAAATTTAGGCATTGGTCTACAACTGTGTTAGACGCAGCCGACTTATCTGTCAATGCTACGAACGAGAGTAACAACACTCGCTCCTCTGGCAGACGGCTGCCGTTGCTTCGCTACCAAGGCTTCGTCAATCAACCAGCGCGGTCGACAGGCCGCTAACTCTAAATTCGGGCCACTCGCGAGACAGACTTCGCAACCGGGCAGCTCCAGTCTGACCTAAGTCCGAGCTTGCTGCGCCATCCAGTTCTCACCGCCGAATGGCCAACCTCAACTCTGACGGCGTCCACACACTCAGCCGTCTGATTTGGGTTGGTACTTGTAAAACCGTAAGTAAAGTGAACGTGGCTTCAAGAAAGATCAATCATAAACTTTCATTGGTCCTCCGGCTTACTCATAATAAACTTACAATAAACAATTGACTTCTACATAGCAAATATTCATTCGCATTAAAAGGAAACAATCCCTTGAAACCCATTCTGATCCTGTATGTAGTCGCATTTGCCTTTCGGCAGTTATTTCTTCAATATCTTTCAACCAAATGCATTTTTTTTTTCAATTAGATGACGATGGCGGAAGACCTGGACAATCATGCATTGACAGGAAATTGGCTACACTGGAAGGAAGCCGAGGATTTTTTTTCATGGAAAAATAATTTTTGAAGCAATGAACATAAGAAATCGTTATCATTTAGACGGTGACTGAAAATGGCATACAGCAGTTTCGCAAAGGAGGAAAGTCATAATTAATAATTAGAAGTTTTTGTTTGGTATTTTGAGGGCAAATGTATCATTTTTAGATCATGGAATTGAGTTTGATCCAGTTTTCAACTAGGTGCACTTTTATTCTAAGCGAAAACTACTGAAAGGAAGGTCACCCAGCCTTTCATCCTGCCCTGTGTTGATTGTCCATATCTCACGGTGCTCCAGTAACCACAAGAGGAGTTTGAAGGGAGGAGTTCCTTCTTAATTATACTCTTACTTAAATATAGTGCCCTTCAAGGTCACGAGGTGGAAGGAGGGAGGGAGCACTGTCAACTGATTGAGACGTTTAATATGAAACATTTCAGTCGTAAGAAAGCTCTCGATTGGATGAAAGGGTCCCTTTCTGCTTCCAACTCGTGACCTTCGTAGGGACACTTCGTTGCAATGAGAGTTTAGGGCTATCTAGGGATGACTTCAACTCAATCAACCCGTCCCGAGGCGTTGCGTTGCGATGAGTCAATGGCAGAGGTTGGTGCGGGTGTAACTATGGTGGAGATATGGGTGAGATATTGCGCTTCATATCCGACTTACATTAGATACCCTAATTAATATTATATTTTATTGAACCAAGCTTTTTAAAATTTTCATTAAATAACTAATGAAATGCCTGAAAAGGGGTTATCGTGATAGGATAAATCATGTAATTTATTATTACTTTCATTGAATTTAATAGAATTAAACTATTACTTAATTCAAAAACAGTCAATGAATTTCTGGCTCCAGTTTGCGTCACAATATTAGCGGGAATTTTAAATGCAGCCACATACCAAAATCACCTTGTCATTTAAACAAATATATGAAGCATTTTAAACATTGTACATTAACATTTAAACATTAAACATCTTGTACACCATTGTTTTATTTTTGGCAGTGGCGGTTTGTGGTATTGTTGCAGTATTGCACAACAACCAGACATTTTCGACCAATGTCCCTTGACTCGTTAATATTAAAACGAAATCGCTTTAATAACGCGCGAGTGGTCTATTTTCGAATGAAGTTATCTACAAGCGTTAACAGACGAAGAGAGGCCCCAGTGAGCTGACGTCATCCAGAGAGTTGGATCTCAGCTACAACGGATGTCCTGGCGTACGATACAAGCCGAACTTCATTGTACTATTCCATACTCTTTCTAATGCGTCATAAATTATTCCCAACACTATCACGTGGAGCAGTATCTCTCAAGCCCGATATGAATTTCATCCACCCAGGGAAAAGGAATTAAGAAGATAGATGGCACAGTTGCGTATGCTGGTTTGCATCCTGGACGAGTTGTGAGAGCTGTTTTGAGTGTGCAGTGAATTACGGTAAATGGTCAAACGCCATTTATTAGGTTAATTAATCGGTTTATGTAACTTGTACATGAGTTTTTGATACAATGAATTATGTACAGTGTTTACAGGATAAAAGTTTTTCTTAGCTTTCTACTGAAGAAAATCTGAGAATAAAAGACATCGGCACACCATTGCCAGATTTAAATGTAGTGCAAATTGTAAAGACAGGAAATAGAAAATTTGAAAGGGTTTATTAAAGAAATGATTGTTTGAAAAATCCGTGTCTCTGTGGATGTGGTGTGAAAAATGGTTTTGCTTTCCGGGCTTTTGGTTTGGAGGAGTATTAGAAATGACCTTTAGATGTTTTGACAGGCTATGCACGAGACTCGCTCTACTCAATTTCGGGAAGTTCTACAATTACGTGATGGTGTGACCAATCATTGCTTTCCAAACTGACATGTCTTTCTTATGTATCCAAAAACCTTTGAATGTTGAATGTGAAAATACTGAAAATATAAATTTATCCATATAAAATTGTCCGAAATATGTAATAACATTTGATTTGACGAAAATATGTATTTTTTGCAACGAAATTAAAATATTTATTTTTTATTTGATGTACGATTTGGTATACGATTTTCCACCGAACTTTAACCGCTCAAGTTTAAAGGGGGAAAATATGATTTTATCTGAAAGTCCGAGGCCAAGGACATACGTACGTATACAAGCCCTTGAAGGCTAGGGCCTCCTGGTTTCCCAGGGAAATTCTGCACGGGCATGAGCCCGTGGAGTTCTGAATAGTATTACACATCTACAAATATGACTCATGGTAACCATGTATGTAGCGATGAGAATGAAACGCAAATTTCAGGACTCGTGCGTTCGAAACTGTAAATATTGGACGTTAGATTCTTATGATAGCAACTAAACATATTCTTGATTTGGGATATGTGTGATTTTAAAATATAAATCCCTGTGCAGTGAGTAACGTCCGTAACGTGCGCGGATGTGCGGTATCGTCACACACGGTTTGACCACTTCCCGTCCACCAGTCGTGACGTATGAGGTGGCATTCGACGCGTCTCAGTCTCCTCTTGGGGCACTGATAATTTGTTTTCGAATCCGGGCAGAAAATTCTAATATATTTCCCAAATCGTGCTTTTGCTTGTTTTAGCATTGCGATCTTAGTGGGTAGATGAAGAATTAAACTAATACCACCTAAATAGGTCGATATAGTTGGCGTAGATTAAACCCATGAACCCCAATGTTATTTTCAGTCCACGGAACCATAATTTTCGTCCATAAGGAAGGCGAGCATTGTGAAATGAAAATCGCGCGACAGAATTTGTTGTGAATTTGTAATATTCGAAGTATTTCATGAGTGTTTTACTCGCCTTCAAGAAGGACTTCTTAAGAAGAGAAAGTTACGTAATGCTGCGAGAAAAAGCGGCAAATTGTCGAAAGACGAACTCTTATTGCCGGACCCTGGTAACGAAAGGGTGAATACATTTAGTTGCTAAATGTAGAAGAATGTCCTCTAAAATGTTGTGTAGGCAGAATCAAAGTTTTCTGATTCATTGATACCGAAAAATATATTGACGGCAAAACATTTGGGAACAACACTAGCGTTCCGATTCAATTTTCTCCAAAATTGATATTCTCGCGATAAGGAATAATATATGCAGTATAGGGAAATTTATGTAATGCTGCGAAAAATGGATTTCGAGATTTCAACGGAAATACTCGTTTTGGAGTCCCGATACGAAAAAAAGTGTTGTTTTTTTCCTCCAAAACGTCCGTCCGTCTATCGTATGTGAACACTAGCACCTGATCTATGCCTAATCTGGCCTGAGTCGAAGTTTTGCGATTTTGGAAAACATTCATTAATTTTCAGAGGAAGATTACATGAAGCCCTTCGGACAATTTCAAAATTTTCTCAAAAACGGGTCCAATTTTTTCTTTAAATTCCTTGTAAGAATGGAATATCATACACTTAAAAAAGTGGCATAGGTCCGATTTTCACGGTTATCTCTGAATTTTCGAAAATTTCAGAAATTTGAATCACTGTCAGCGTTTAGGAAACCGTACTATTAGGAAACTGAAAAGTAAGGCAATTTCACAAAAATGTACTGTGTACCCGTCCGTATAATGTACCTGCCCGTCGTAATTCGCGGGTGACTTGTGCGTTCCGAGTCTAGCGGGATCCCACCATGTGTCGAGACGCCGTGAGTGTTCGACATAGCGGAGAAAGTCAGGTCGCTCGCACTATATTTATTTAGATGTGGGTGCCAAGCGCGATACCAACCTTCCTCCTGCGCCAGCTCTAGAGATCTCAAGGGGGTCAGGAGGATGCCCATGCTCTTAACTTATTAATTAAAAAAAATACTTCCAAGTGATTGTTTAAGTGTTGTCCGTCAGAAAGGCGGGAAAACATTTATCAAAATGACACTATTTGAGTACATGGACATTTAATCCCCTTCTTTATCCACTATTGTGACAGTCTCTTAATTCTGGACAGGGGCCTACTGTGACAAAGTTTGGGTTACCTCACTGTAGAGAATTGCTCGTCGCCGTCCCGGATTCGCGCTCAAATTGCGATCCGGTGATGCCGCTAGAGGAGGGGCGGCGTCTATAATCGAAGGGCTCGAGTCTGGATCAGTCCTGAGTGCGCAGCACGCATCGATGATTGGACTGAAGGCTCTCGCTCTCGTACTGATGATGAAGGTGTGTGTTTTGCCTCGCTTAGAGCCGTCATACGTCACTGCCGCTTAGGAATGCATGTTGCGGCAGGTTGCTCACCGCGACAAGTGCTTTTTGGACTTCTGTCTTGCGCTCGCAGAGCGGAATAAATTTCGTTGACTTGGTTATTTCGCTTGACAACTGTTCTAAATACTGGTTCCAGAGAGGATAGCATCCGGTGAAGCGAGAACTTTATAGCTTTCTAGTTGCGGATTCAAAATAGTCACAGATTTCAAAGTTTTTCAAAGAAACGCATCTTTGCTCGAAATAAGAACATCCTCTCTCGATGGATTTCAGACAGCATCTGTCCTTCTCATCCTGTTACCATCCTTGTGTGTGTCGTCCTATGCTGCTATTGTTTCCTTAGCTACTTCTAGAATGCTCTCTGGGGTAGTTGGTGCCTATTGGGCGGCCCAGTTCCCACTTTGTTGCCCTACGTAATCTGATGACCGGTGGGGGGCATCTGCGGGGAGCCGGCGCTCTGGCGAAGGTATACAGCTAGTCCCAGAAGATTAGCGAGGGAAAGATAATCCGAGACAAGAGTGCGGAGCACGGTTTGACGAATGTTCTTGGCTTTTGGGAGGGGAGTCCCAGAGGGGGGTGGCTCTTGGGAGGGTTGGAAGAGCGACGCTGTCGCCCTTTGTCGTGTTTTATGACCTTCGGGTCAGCCGGTAGCTGCACGTAGATAATGTGACGGGAGGATGGAGGGGGGGGGCACGTGGGTTTACGGCAATTAGCACACGTGAGATGTTGAAACTTCTCAATACTTTGGGTGGCAATAGATGGCAGCTAGTAAGAGTATTGGCAAGTTCGTAGAGCTAGCCGAGACCAAAGGAAATAGAAAAACGAGAGCGAATCCAGCTGATCATTTGGAAGGGGGTCATCATGGATTTTTGTTAAATAATAAACATTTTTATTATATTGTTTATTATTTTTGTAGTGAATACATACTGGACAATATTATTTTTAAATAATTACATCATTCTCACGTAAAGATTTAAATTAATTTTACCAAATAAAAGAAGGTAACAAAAGAAAACCCTAGGTCTTTTGGACGGTGCCATGCCCCACCCTCTGGATCCGCCACTGCAGAAAACTAACACGGGAAAGTATGTGCCACTCTGTAGCACCGCTAGCTTAAGAACTGGACTTTTGTCAGGAGCTATTCAGATACGGAAGGTGACGCGAGTCGAAATTGGAATGTCCAACCGAGGTATTCGCGGATGCAGTCAAATGCAAAGAGTGTCTTAATATTATTATTATTTTTTTTGTTTTTTTAATTTGTTTAATGATATCGTATTATTTTTCATTTGTCTGTAAGTACTATAACGCGTAATTAGAAATTGTATTGGAGTGTACGTTTCAAGAGCAAGAACCGAAGTTTCTTGATAGACTTCGCACATTCGTCGTGGATAAATTTCTCCTCGGAATAGCATTCACTTGACGAATTGTAAGCGCTGCATAAAACGTCGGGTCATCAAAACTACTACATTTTTTCACATAAATATTATCGAGACATTTGAAAGGCCTTACGAAATTGTTTTGATTAAAAAAGCATGCAAAAAAAGTAAATGAATGAGCTAAATTATGTAAATTCATTATAAAAGTTATAAGTATTAATTAATGTTCAAAGTGAAAGAATGTTTGAGTTCAATAAATGTTGTGAATAGTATTATTAAGAAAAGGCTTATTGATTTAATAGATTCAGCTGACCAATATTTTTTTTAGACAAATTTTAAGAGTACCCAGTCTGTACTAGATGGGACCTGTACTCAGTATTGTTCAACAATATAAGTAATTAATAAGTGGGGCATTAATAGGAATTATACAATGAAATTGTTTAAAGTCAAGTTTCGATTCAAAATCAGAGCCCAACGTGGTACCGCGTAAAGAAACGTTTCAATTTGTAGATTTTTTTCCAAAATGAATACTCCTTGGTCAACCTGGCTCGACTTAACTTTTGAATTTTTTTGATTGGTTAGTAATTATGGTCGCGGAAAATACCTAGATCATTAGCCACGTAAGTGCAGTGCATGTTTTTTCCTCGGGAGATGGCGCTGATTTTCCCACGATGGATGGCCATATCCGGCGCCGACCTACCGTCGGCTAGCGGGATTTCCTAAACCAGGTATCTCCCACCAATGGGGCACCGGCGGCCCCTCCGGGACACACTCTAAGCTCCCGACCGGTCTCCCAGCACGTGTGGGAGTGCAGTGCATGTAATTGTAAGTGTGCGTAAGTAAGGGGTGAGCATAGGACAATGAAGAGGAAGGAAAGATCGCGCGAGGACCCTGGTCCGTTTGTTAGGATACTGCTCGGAGATACCGATCAGCCGCATCAATTCTCCTCGCGACGACCGAATGCGACCTAGCTCTTTAGCTCGCGTCGAAAATCCCGGCACCGTCGGGACTCGAACCTCCGGTCACAGGGACTGCAGTGACATCAGTTGGTGCCCTGAGCCACCTCTCCCGGTTGCAATTTTGAAAAACATTCTTTAAATCCTGGGGGTACTTTACATGATGCCCCCTTAGTCATTTTCATTTTTTTTTCAAAAATGACTCCAAATTATTTCTGTAAATTTCTGGAAAGAATAGAGTGAATTATCCAGTTGCTTTTGAAATTCGTCATCACTTAGCACAGCATACTGGTTTGTTTTTGGTAGTTAAGTGTGTTTATCTTCTTGACTTAGTGTTCTTACACCTCTACACTTTACACTTTTTCTCAATAGTGCATTCACCTTCTGAGTTGTGTCTTAACTTCAGTTTCCACGATGCCTCTTTGATCATGTGAGAGTGACCACAGTTCACAGTAATCTTTTTAAAGTAATGCACAATTTTTTCTTTTCGGTATTCGTCTACTTAATATAGATTCCTTTAATTTATTTATTTCACTTCTACATTCTAAGCACATTTGATTACTAAATATCTTTAGCTTTCGATGAAAAGTTCAGTGACAGGCTATGTAAACAAGGAAGTAAATCTCTCTTGAAACATTTTCATTGGTATGTAGTCTTAATGAATTGTATTGAACCCAAATCATTTTTCTATCGCACATTTATCTTGACTACACAACAATTTTGTCATTACACCTTGTTTTAAAATAATTTAGTTAATCGAACCCATACAATTTTTGAAAAATGGCGAAACAATGTTAAAAATTTCATATTTCCAATTATTACGTTTAAAACTGATTCCTTTTATGAGGAATGTACTATATGATTTGAGCAATTACAATTACGACAATACATCTGAAAAACCAAACATATTTGGATGTATTTTCTTTTTTATATTTATTCCTAAAATTGGGTTATAACTCCAATTACTAAAAGCAAATCTGAACCAAATTGTCTACATTGACTTCACATATTAACATTTTGTGACGTTAGTCTAAATCGAAAAAAGTAAATTCCATAAAAGTGTAGGATATAAGGGCTGTTCTAAACTAATCATTACCTGTACCAAAAGTAAAGTATGTCGATTATACCTGTACCAAAAATAAAGTAAACGTTGTCACCACAACTTGGGCAGGTAGGAATAATTTCAATGAAATAAGGTTTTTCCCATAAAAAGATTAGAGAAGGAACATTTTGCATCTTTTGTTAATCCAGCACAATTATTGCCCTCATATAGAACATCATTTAAAACTATTTTAAGGCGAATATATTGTCATTTACTGTTTTCAGCCTTTAACATTTACATTACCATATCAACTAAATAAAAATCGAATGACTTTTTAACCAAATTTTATTTCATAGATATATTTTATATGCTGTATTTATTGTGTGTCTTATTGCATTTCTAACAGATAAGAAGGAAGATGGAAGGAAATGCCCATTCTTGTTCTATGCCGGCACAGCTTTTGCTTCAGTCCTGCTCATTGTGTTGGTGAGGATGATGATGATGATGATGATGATGATGATAATAAAGATACTATTGATGTTCTTTCAAGAAGTTCAGGTTGATGAAATTATACAGATCGTCACAATAAACACAAGTTTTTTCATTCTGAAGTAATTGTCCAAAGTCATTATTCACGTAAATTCAGACTGCACTATTATAATTCCAACATTTTACTTATGTTTTCACTAGGTAGTTCATCTACAACAGAAAGGGTATAATGCCCAATTGTATCTTGATCTTTGTAAAAAAAATAACCTTTAAACATTTCACTTTTGAGAAAGAGTGGGAACCAGAATTTATCATCAGGCCACATCTTTGCGAAAGGTACATCTTGAATGGAAAACCATTGAGGTTTCATTTCTAAAACAAAATATAAACCCTGTTTAAATCAACATTAGCAAATTTTCATACATACATGATCAATATTATTAACTTTTGAGCTCACCATCACTCTCTACAAGTTGTCCAGTAAATTGACTTGTAGTAAATACATGAACTTCCAAAATTTTGGGGTCACCAGCAAATTCAAAATCAAGAATGCCAATGTACTTCAGATTTTCTACAATCAAGCCACTTTCTTCCCTGAGTTCTCTGGAAGTTATTTTGCAGATATTACATCAATGACCATTAAAAGAGCAACTCATATGCAAATGACAAATTATTGGGGCATTAAATGAAACTACAGAATTAACTAAGACGAAGTACACAAATTGCAAATTTACCTTACAGCTGCATCATGAATACTTTCACCTGCTTCCACTTTACCCCCAAATCCATTCCATTTTCCTTCACCAAAACCTCTTTTCTTTAACCCCAGTAAAACTTCTTCAGCATTTCGCACTAAAGCTAAAGTAAAACGTTTTCTGAAACTCATTATGAATCACACTATATACTCTGTTAAACTATTATCGAGGCCAACTGCCTATTTGCAAACGTTACAGCGATGCGATGAGGAGATGGCAATCAATTGCACGTGAAATGATATTAAAGTGAAAAACCGTTAACCGAGTAATAAGAGACCACTGAATATTATTTAAACTCAATGCTTATATCATTCTATCATATTGCAATTAATTTCGGTAAACATTCTTACGTTTCAGTCAAACAGTAGCCATTCAAAACAATGTTCTCAAGGATTAACCCTATTATCTGGTTTCGTCGAACGGGAATACATTTTTTTTTCAATTATATTGTAAAATATTATTGCTTTGGTTTCATCGAATGGTTAATTTAGCGTATAATACATCATTAAGTAGGAACATGTGAGGCTATGGTCAATCAAACTCCGCGCCTCGATCTAAATTATAGGAAGACGTGATTACTGAAAAATTCCATAATATATTAATAAGTAAACTCTAATGTACTGTTTATCTTAAAATACACTTTATTTAATCAAATGTAGACTTAACCCAACATCAAAATGCCGTTCTCGATCTAAAGGGGCGGAAACACGCCATCTTGATTAACAGGATGGGCTGCGACGGGTGTTGATGTGTATTCTGTGATTCGTCGGTAATGAATGGGATTGTCATAATTTTCTACATATTGTTTCTTTTGGAGTTTTAATGTTTCAAATGTTCCAATAAACTCTTCCAAGGTGTGTATATTGCATTTTAACATCATTTTTAACAAGATAGAAGGTTTTCTGTATAATGATGGTTTTATTTACGTGATAAAATGCCAAGCCCTTGAAACCTTTGGTTATGGGTCATAGTGACGTGTGGATTTCGTGTTATTTAATAGAGTGTGTCGTTTTTGTGTTTGTAAAAATAACAGAATAACCAGCCTACAATTATTAATAATACGAATGTTTTATAGTATTGGATTGTCAGCCAAGTGGTGGTATGTCAAAGTGGGACAGTGACTAGGAGGAACTTCCTGATTGCAAAGATTTTCCTTCTAGGATTTCCCGTAATTCGTTTCGTAGTGGATGTGGTCCAACATTTAAACAAATCGACCATGAAGTGTGTTCTAAGGTCTTGTTACATTTTAAAGGACTATTTTGTGTAGAAAGTGATGTTGATATTTCAGAATGTTATGTAAATAAAATAATTTGTGTGCTGTTATAAAGTGAAATGTTGCAGATTATAAATTTAAACGTAAGGATTATTTTCAATGTTCATCAGAATTGCTTTCTATTTTCTTTGATGACTGTACAATTACTTCAGTTAATAAAAGTGTATGTCCATTTGCCATGGCTCATTTTGTCACTTTTTCTAATGTTAGATGTATACTTTTTAAAACATTTCCATTCCTACTAACTATTTACATTTTTGATAATACTGGAGACATTTTTACATTGCAAGAAGTTTCCATGTAAAATGATGGCTAAAATTTGAAAATAAGACTTGCAGTTATTTTTTAATAAGATACTTTTTTTTTTCATTTATTTTATATTCTTTGTTGAATGTTTGATATTCTGTATTATTATGTTCGTCATTGTTTTATGTAGTGAAATTTCAATAATCTTTTGATGTTCAAAAGAGCTGCTTGTTTAATTAGGTAGTTCCCCCATTTCCTTGGAATTTGTGTAATAATTGATATTTTCGATTTTCTAACATTTAATTCTTTCAGTATGAAGTAAATTAATTTTAGGATTTAAAATTGAACAAAACATTTTAAAAAAATATTTCATGACATTTAATGATTAGAGAAGTGGAAACCCTTTATCTCCAAGTATCACATCCTAGAGAGATTAACAGATGTTTATCAGCTTCTACTGATAATATGAATTGTGGGTGTTGCTGTAACAACTGATGTTATTTCCACTTCCTGTCTTATACTGTTAGTCTCAGTAAGTTTATCAATAAAATAAGGGTTCTAGTCATAATATTAGTTCTAAATAGGGAGTTAATTTAATTGTAAAATGTTAACCCAAATATTCAATGTATAAATTGTTTTGTCTGAGCTTTGTGAAGCAAATTTTACTTTCTTTGCCTACATATTATAACTAGTGTCATTTAATGCTAAGGTTGCAGAGGGCAGGGTTTTACATTGTAGGGTGAAGCCTTGCAGGTGTTAATCTGAAGCCATGCATTCCACATACGGTTTCTTTGTGGAAGGGGTTTGCAGTTCTTTGTGAGTTGGCAGGAAGATGTGATGAACTGATGGTTACAGTAATTCTCTGATTCATATTGTCAGTACATGGGGCCTAAGTATTCATAAGTTAATTCCGAATATGCTTTAGGCTTGTTATATTATTTTTATTGGTAATGTGTATAGTAATATTGGACTTGTATTGTGAAATATATTTCTTATATAAAATGCCCTTGAGAGATGTGACCCTTGTTTTTAACACTGTAGTTAGCTCACTAGTAAATAAAGTAGATTTCTTTGAAGAGGATGCTTGTTATCAAAGATGGAACAGCAAGTTAGATAACCTATATATGCTTTTTGCAACATTTGTTGTTGTTTTTTTATCTGAATACATAAAAAGAACAGATAGCTCGAACATTGAGGGTATGTGCATGAAAATAGTTTGTGGTTTTTGCTTCTTCTTTTATATTATGTTTTAGTGGTGATCTTCATTACAGTGTTCAATGGGTGATAAGAAAATTGTGATGAACTGTCTAACAACTTCAAAAAAAAAAAAGGAAATAATCATCCATTACAAACATAAATTCATTTTTTACAAACCAATGATAATTTGTCTTATTTATTAACTCGGACTGTTTTCATTAATGTTTTTGATGTATTGAGTTACATTTTTTTGAATTTTCCTTTACAGACTACTTGAATTAAAGTGCAGCACTTTATTATTCCCTGGGGGGCTGGGTTGTAAGTAGACTTATCATATTAAAACAAAGGCTGTGTAAAAAATTCATACTGCATAGAATATTTGTTAATGTTAATTTATTTCATTAGCAAGTAGATGTTTTAAAAACTTAAGTATATTTTAATAAAGGATTATATAATTCTGTTTAATAATTTTCATTATTGTGTTTATATTGCAGATGTTCAAATAGAAAATAATGCAAGCAAACATGGCGGGTTTAAGACGTAACATTGTGAATTTAGCCCACAATTATTCAGATGCTCAGGTACAGACATTTCTTTTGAGTAATATCTAGAGGGTGGATTTTGAAGATGTCATATTTTTTCTTTTCACTTTAGAACAATGCTGTGTAGTATAGAAATTCATTTTATGTTATGTTATGACAAAACAAAATGACCCATTTTTATATGTTTTGCTTTTTTCATTTCTTTTGGCTAATAGGTCATTTTTCCCCCTTTTTACGTAATTTTTTATGCATTTTTCACTGACTTCACTGATTTTAATATCAGTTAAATGGTACTTGCTTCGAACAATATTTACAAGATGCAACAAATGTTCACCACAAAATTCTTGAGTAGCCTTTCCGATTTTTTTCTGTCATATATTCTAATGTCAGCCATTGTGAGTACTATGTAATCTAAGTGATGAGTACTATGTGATACCTATAGGCGCTATTGTCAGTTCAACCAATTTTGCAGTAAATAATAGCTGAGATTTTGTGTTAAAGAACAGTCCAAACCAAAAGTTTGCTAGCCGAGTTCACTTGCACAAAAAGAAGCAGCCTCCTTTACATCAGTAACATATGTAAAAGCTTGAGTTGTTCAGCTGAAGTGGCTTTGATAAAATATTAAGTAATTTTTCTTTGTTTTTAGGGCATTTTAAATACTTTTAAGAGTATTTTATTGATCATATTTGGCAATGTTTTAGGTCATTAAAATCTACCCCCTAGAAATATTATATCAGTTTCATGTCTTTTACTTAAATATGTATATTAAAAATAATTGTGTTCTGAATTTTTACTTCTTCTTTTAACAGGTTAAAGTTCGGGAAGCCACAAGCAACGATCCATGGGGTCCAAGCAGTACAATTATGTCTGAAATTGCAGACCTTACTTATAATGTAGTTGCATTCACAGAGATTATGCAGATGATTTGGAAACGTCTAAATGACCATGGTAGAAACTGGCGTCATGTTTACAAAGCATTAGTGCTACTTGAATATTTGATAAAAACTGGCACTGAGAAGGTAATGCAAGAACTTATAGACCTGGCCAAATTATTAGACTTGAGAGTTATTGAATAAGACTAAATGTATTTGCCACTGCCAATATTGACACATTGTATGTACAGGGTTCTAAAGTTCTATAAACATTTCATAATTAACATACTTGTTCTGAGGTATGTTAAAAATAAATTTTTGTTCTATTCTTTCAATTTGTGGGATGCAAATGAGTATTTTTATGAGCTGGGTCTTATGGCATTCATTTCTTGAGTATCTTTTTGTGTATCAAACAAACATTTGCGGCCCATTGGAACCCAGACTGACCAATATATTGAAGATCTTTTTCAACTTTCTTTTCTGTTGTGATAGAGAGTATAGTCATTGTTTTTTTTCTTCTCCAAACGACTCGTTTATGTGAGGGAACCATTTGTTCATTAGCCCTCTAAGTATTGGTCGGACCTCAATGTATCATTAATTGTGTATACATTTCCAAAAACATTAACAAACAATACACTTTAAACAGGTACTTTTGTCAGGTTCTTCTCAGGACTCATTATAATCCATGAAGTCAGGGAAAAAAATATTTAGTCTACTAATTTGGCCACCTCTGTAATATAGACATGAAGTAGAACATTTTTCCTGCCATTACTTTACTTTTAGTTTTTTACCTATTTATTTAGTTTATTGATAAACTAATGATAAGAAAAACAATTTTTAGTTGTTGTTTTTTCAGTGAGATATGATACAAATATTTCAGAGGTGTTATATATTTGCTGGCCTTAAAACACAGAATTTATATTTTTTTGTTTCTCTCTCTCTCTCTCTTATTTATTTAAAAGTGACATTTCATCCTTTGAAAATCTTATTCAATTAGAATAAGAAATGAAATAATTATAAACGTTAACATTGCCAACAATAGAATTTATTGCAAGAGCAGCTTTCGATGGCTTAGCCATCATCATCAGTTGTCTGCTGAATGGAAGAAGGATGATGGCTAAGCCATCGAAAGCTGCTCTTGCAATAAATACTATTGTTGGCAATGACAATGTTTATAATTATTTCATGAAAAATGCCAACGATAACGCACAACACCACCTATAGAATAAGAAATCTGAGAATGATTTTGATTTTGTGTAAGATTTAATATCCTATATTGAGCATTGCCATAAAAACAAAAGCAACAGTTGCTTTTCTGTACTAGTGGGATAAAACCATAGCGATTTGTTAAGATTGTTTGTGAAGAGTAGGAGTGTACTGAAGGAAATTCTTACGTCAGGATATATTAGCTGCTTTAATTAACATGTGGTTGCATGAACCTTCATTATCCTACCATTGAATTGTGTTAATGGAATAGGTAAGAGGTGTCAACCCGCACACAATTGGAAGCTATTATGAAGTCAGTAGATCTGTCAATTACAAATGTGTCCATTAGTTGGAGGTTACACTTGAGAAATAAACCTGTAGTTTTAGAAAATTTTTTCAAATATAGCAAGTACAAGAAACATTTTTAATTTAACATGTGATGTTAACTTGCATTATTTTACCAACAGGTAATTTTTGAAGGACAGATTATTTTTATTCTGAATGGTTCCAGCATACTAAGATATTGCTTGGTTTATAATAGATAATTGGTTTTTATTTATTTTAGGTTGCTTTCTATTTATGGTTATAAGCAACCTCAGTTACATCAAGAAACATTTAATTCGTACATATTTTACCATTACATTAATACGATTGATTAATTTTTAAATTTATTTATTTGTTTATGGGATATTCTCTTGAATACATGTAATTATATTATGTGAGTACAAGACACACATTTGTCAATAAAGTCACAAAGAGTAAATTTAGGAAATATAGGAACTATAGGTTACAAATAAATTTAAAAAATGAGTGCTGAGAAAAATGGTGCCGCAACTTTAATGCCCAAGAAGATGGAAGATGGCATACAGTGGAAAAATTGAAAAATATTATCCTTAGTTCTGCTATACTCACAACCTGGACATTAATAAAGAAATAACGTATTCATTATAGCATAGGCAGTATCTAGCAGAGCTTAGGTTAACAAATGATCAACAGTTTTCAGTCCCGAGTTTTCAATCTATAATATAAAGACTACTTTAATGAATTGTTAAACTTACAGGAAGTTCTTGCAATGCTCTCTTTCTAATAAGACAACACTTACAGGACTGGTGTCTATAAAATCAGGCCTTTAATGAATCTTTAAATAGGTTCATGCAACCCAGGGTTAATTTCACACTTTTTGTAGATAAGCCAATTTGACTTTCTAGGCATCTGAGAGCATAGCTACGCAACTGCTTATAATGTTAAGAAAGTCAACAATTTATTACCACAATTTCTATGTATTGAGAACAATATTCGATCTTAGAAGAAAATACTCCCTGTTCTGGAGAAATGTTATGGTTAGTTTAAAAATACTCAGCATTTTGTAATTATTGCAGGGCAGCTGCTGTTTCTCTAAGGGAGTGATTACATGCTCTTATGTAAAAGCTGGATAAATCATGTTGCTATGATAAAATAAAAGTGGATAAATCATGTTGCTACAGTTAGGAAAAGAAATTCTCTAACACATGGTGTGGCCAGGATTCATGTTTTGTTGGTGGTTGATACTGATAAATCGACTGACAGCAAAACGTCCATCCATACTGAGGTGAATGCTAGTGCCTAAACCGTTCACCCGATTGTCTCCAAAATTGATATTTCCCAATCGTTCTGACTGGTGTTGCGGTCCCTGGAATTTGAAACCGATATTTTAATTTTGGGGGTACTTTACATGAAACCCCTTGGACATTTTCAAAAAAGGGTCTCCAAATTTATGCAAGGTAATGGAATCCATAATTGCTGCGAGGATTCGAGATCACACCCAATGGAATAACATAATCCCACAGGAACAGCAAGTTGTGTCCCAGGTCGGTCCACAATCACTAACTTACATCATTGGATGTTTGGACAAAAGCTGCAGATCTAAACCAGCCTATGGACATATTATATTTGGATTTTGCAGAAGCTTTTGATAAGGTACCACATAAATGTTTGCTACACAAACTGTATTCATTAGGGATACAAGGGAAAATTCTTGCATAGATATATAAATTTTTGTCAAACAGAGCCTTCCACATCAGGATTGGACAACATTTTTCAACAAGAGTAGCCCTAGTGGAGTACCTCGGGTTCTGTCGTGGGACCTCTGCTATTAGAATTATAAACCAGCGACCTGGGAAATGAGTTATCATCAACTTGGAATTGCTATGCTGACGATACCAAACTCTTGGCCAAGCCTTTGACATCTCATGCTGAGTTACAAAAACAACTTGATGCCATGCCAAACTAGTCTGAAACTTGATTGCTTTCTCTGAATACAGACAAATGTCTGACTCTATACATTGGAAAAAATAACCCAAAACTACCATACTTTATAAATGGACACATCTTTGCAGAGACCTACCAACAAAACGATTTAGGTATGATCATAACACAAAATCTTAAATGTGATAGTCAAATTAACAATGTAACTAAGAGAGCAAGGCTCTGATAAGGAAGGCTCTCGACCTTGATTTCCCCAGCATTAAAGAAAATTTTCTCTACATTCATAAGACCAATAATTGAATATGCCAGTGTAGTGTGGTCTCCATATCTCGAAAAAGGCAAGAAATACATACAGAGGATAGTAACTAGGATTCCAATTTCTGTTAGAAATCTACAATATTACGAGAGATGTGAGTAACTAACATTGCAGACATTACAAAAAAGAAGAGAAAGAATTGACATTATAGAAACATGCAAAATATTGCACAAGGTGTACAATGTCTCGTACTTCTACACACTATTCAAACCTGCTACAGATCTGCTATGAGGACATTCGACGAAGTTGATGAAGGAGAGAACAAAATGTGGACCAATAACGTATTTTATCACCAATCGGATTGTGAACCAATGGAATGCTCTCCCAGCAGGTTGTGTTGAAAAGAAAACTTCGGAGTCTTTTAAATCCTGTTTAGATAATTACTATCAAACGAACTAAGTTTATATTATAAACTCATACGTATAAATATATACATATATGTATGTAAGGGTGTGGGTAGGTGTGTTGTAGTGTGCATGTGTGTGATCATCAGATTAATTTATTATAATGACATCAAATTGTGATATAAAATATATTGATTTTATATTTCTATTTATTTTATAATAACATATAAACTAAGTCAAAATTTTGTAACAGATTTGTGCACATCAGCTTGTTGCTGCTTCCATAAATTAAGTAAATAAATGTTGTTATTTAAATGCAGACCTATGTATTTAAAAATATTGATAATTATATAAATATTTATACAATTTAATTATATATTTATAAAAGTAATAATAATATTTTTAAGACAAATAAAATTAAAAATGTTATAAAAGACCTGTTTGGTGTAAATGTATTGATATACTGTTCAATTCTCATAAGTAGAGCCCAGAAGTTCTGGCATTTATTTTATTGAAAATAGGCTGGCAATAAGGCTATGTTTACTAAAATAGGCATGCAAAAAAAGCATTAATCATTGTGTCTAAAGTAGGTGGTAAAACACAGAAAACACCATTTAAAAGTAAGTAACGTAAAAAATTAATAATAAAATGATTCAAATTTATATTCTAACTAAAAATTACATTAGCATTCACATGGAAGGAAATGACCTCCTCTTTGTAATCTTGATTGCAAATGATCATCCTAGATGACGATTATGCATTTATTTTACTTCCCTTGCTGGCTCTTCAAAATGCAGTTGTGGACTCCCTTTTTACTCTCTTACCTTATGAATTTTTCAAAAAAAAAAAAAAAAAAAAAAAAAAAAAAAAAAAAAAAAAAAAAAAAAAAAAAAAAAAAAAAGGTTATGTAATCGTGTTCTAAAAAAAAGACTTTTTAAATTTTTTTTAAAAAAGGCTATATTTTATGTACAAAAGGCTAGGCATATTTCCGGATTGTGAACCAATGGAATGCTCTCCCAGCAGATTGTGTTGAAAAAAGAACTTTAGAGGAGTCTTTTAAATCCTGTTTTGATAATTTTGTGTGTGTTTTGGTATGTGTGTGTGTTGTAATGTAATTTTTTTTAAATCTCTCACATGTTATTAATATTGATATTACCATCGATTTGTATTCATCGTTACCTTTGTTAGTACAAGTTCTTCAAATGATGTATAAAGTTTCTCAAAACCCAAAACTTTTCCCTGAAATTAGGCTAAAATTCAGCAATTTCAGAAATATGTTGTATGACATTTTCTCAAAAACAACTCAGAATTTTTTTCTTTTAACTTGTTAAATGAAAAGTGCTAAATGCACTTAATAGTGTGCTGTTGACAGTGCTGTTGATTTTTAAAAATGACCAAAAGTACATTTTTTCCATAAATCTCATGCCATTAATATTTCACTATGGAGTGTGTGTGTGTGTGTGGTGTTTTTTTTTTTTTTTTTTACATTATTGTGTTTGTGAGTAGAAGAACGACTTTTAAATTATTTTTTTAAGAATTTTCTCTACAACACAAAACCTTTTCTTTGAAAATGAGTTCAAAATTGCACCTTAATTGTTCATAAATGCCCAAACTATGTTTTTCTTAAAACCACTTCAAAGCCTTCAACGAAAATTTGCTTATAGGTCCAGGTTTTCCTCTTGTAGTATGCTCTTAATGTCAAATTTTATTACAACATTAGAGAATAGGAAAATAGTGTGAAAAAATGCCCTTTAGGTGCATTGGCGGATCCAGGGGGGCTGACACATCCCATCCCCAAAAGATTTAGAGTTTTGTTTGTTACCTTTCTTTATTTGACAAAATTGATTTAAATATTTATGTTCTAATTACGTAATTATTTAAACAATAATATTGTATAGTGTCATATCGACAGTACATAAATAACATACATTATAAGAATAACATTATAACAAAACTATAGGATGTCCCCCGCCCCCTAACATGATCAGTGGGATCCGCCCCAATATAGGTACAATAGCTGGGAAGTGGAGTGGGAAAAGATGAGAAGCTAGCCCAGACTAGAAAAGTAACATGTTCGAGGAAGTCTGTGTCATTCTGTAGCACCACTAGTTTTAGTCATCATGTCAGAAAATTATTATTCATGTTTCCTGATATAGTAAGTGTGAGATTCACTTATCCAAGCGTGCTATATTTTCTGTTTAGTGGTTTTTGATTGTCAAATTAAAGTAAATTTCTTTCTGTATGACAAGTTTTGAGGATGACTGACCATTTTTAAAGTTCTTTATGACTTTTTTTTACTTTTTCATTTGGTTGTATTTTGAACTTATTTTTCAAAAAGTCTTATACTGGTGGTCAGTAAGATAAAAAAAATGGTTGTTTTATTGATATGATTTTTATTAGCAGTATTAATAGTAGTAATTCATGAGAAATTAATGCTCAAATGAATTCATTTGGTCACTGTTTCAGCATTTACATTGTTGTAATTGCTTTATTTTATTCATTTATAGGTTGCACAGCAGTGTAAAGAAAATATATTTGCTATTCAGACATTAAAAGACTTTCAACACTTTGAAGGCACAAAAGACCAAGGGTTGAATGTTCGAGAGAAAGCCAAACAGCTGGTACAATTGCTGAAGGATGATGAGCGGCTGCGGAATGAAAGAGCGCGTGCTCTAAAAGCTAAAGAGAGATTTGCTCAAGCTGCTTCTGGATTTGGAAGTGATGGATCAGTATGTAATTTTTTTCTTCTCTCTTTCTTGCTTTCTCCTGCCCCTCCCCTTTTTGTCCTTCTGACAGTAGTTTTTTTTGCCAGTCATTTGTAATTGTTGTTGAAATAACAATTATATTTTGCGTAAATAAATTGGTGTTTTTTGTTGTATAATGTGTATTTTTGCAGTTTGTTTGTTGCATCATTAGTAATTAGTGTATTGATTGTGTTCCGCAGTCTGAGTCATCCTAGGATTGCATGTTATGTAGATAGGGATATAATGAAATAGTGTATAATGAAGTTAAGTCAGTTTCTCCCCTTTTTCATCCTTACAAGTTTTTATTTTCAAAATTTTCACATCCTTCTTCAATTTTCAAAAGTATTTTATTCACCGTGTTTGACAATGGTTCTCAAAATACCAAGGAAGACTCCATGGGTGAATCTTTCTCATAAAAAGACAACTTACCTTTACGTTTTATGTTATTTTATTTTATTTTTTGTATTGGAGTAACAAGAACAAGTATACTCACCATTTATTATGAGAATTCAGCTACAAGGAAGTTCACTAAATTTATTAATTCAAAGTATTAAATTTTCAGTATCTGCAAAGCGGATTCTATTGTGGCTAAGATTCCAGTTGTTGTTTTTTTTTTGTCTCCACTGGATGGCAATTGAAGTTTCATTACCCCGGATAGATTTTAAACCTCGATGTTGTTTGTTATATAATTTATGCAATCGTAAAAACACATTAAATTGCAATTGTAATTCTTATCTTGTTGTTTCATACATTTATGAGTTCCCAAAGTAATTGTTTAGTCCTTATTTATTAGTTTTCTGAAGTAGGAAGACTGATGTGCCTAAGGTTTGAGGCAGATACAAAGGTAAAAATAGGTAATACAAAGTAAATTGTGGGAATGTTGATGTGTTATTGATGTAATTAAGTGATGAAATAATTTAAGTCGTCATCAACTTAGTGGATTTATTCAAAGAGCTGGCTTTTGCTGCAATAATTATATTATAGCAATGATTTGAACACAAACATTTTATTAGTTTACCACCAACTACATACACCCTTAGTACTCAAAAATAACTGTATTTAAAATTTTTAATGCTATTATGCTTGGATTTAAAGAAAATTAAATTTAATAAACTATTTAAGTACATATTTCTTTCATTTTTCAGTTTTAAAAATTTTATTTCAAGTGTGAGCTGTACAAAAAATTAACAATTTTTACAAGTAATTTCTAAGGGAATTGAATCTAAAAAAAAATCCCAGGAAAAAATATAGTTTTAAATATTGTTGAAAAATCTGAATAAGTGAGTATTCATATTTTTCAAACTGGTGGCACTAGTTGAGGGGAAAAAAAAACTTTCAAAAAAATGAAAAAGTATTTTCTTATATTCCTTTGTTTTATCTTGAAAATCTGTACATATATGTCAAAAGAGTCATAAGTTGCACATTTTACTTTTATTATATGGAAATTCCCATTGCATGCGGGACACCTTTGTTGGAAATGCACAACATATGGGGAGGCATATGGTTGCCTAGTCATTTGACTATTGCGGTGAAGTTCCCTTGATTGGCGGTTCCTTAAGTCATGTCTTTGATTATATTTGCAATAATGATTGGCATGTGCTCTAATAAATTATTGGTTTCAGTATTATGCTGCTTCTCATATCATAAAAGTTTCCTTTGATTGGGAATTTCTGTTGGTCCTTTTAAAGTGCCCATGTAATCCAGCCCTTCTCAAATGAAATAATATAATTACATTGAATTATAGAGAACTAATTCTTATCAAAATGAAGTTGGAAAATTATGGAGACTATGTGGGTTGAATGAGATATTGCCATTACTGCCCCCACTACCCTTCTTTTACTTTTTCCAAATATTAATTGGACCAAATGTCACTATAGCAATATTCGCGTTACATATTTTGAATGTTAAGAAAAATAGTTCATTTGTAGAGAAAAAGAAAGCCAAGAATACCATTTGTTAAACTAAAAATTTCTTGTTTGTGCACTTGCCATTGGATTGTGTGTGCTTCTTGTATCTTATGGTTATGGTTTAACTGCATTTTGTGTGACCTGGTGCACAGTCTGTGTGGTTCTAACTTGGTGTGTTATGTTCTGTTTTTGTGCAGGAGGCTCTGTCTCCCCCGAGCCCAAGTTTCCCGTCAGTGAGTGTTTTTTCTTTCTTGCTTGTTTGATGCATGTTACTCGTAATATACTTTGCTACAAGCTTTGGTCAACCTTTTTTCAGTTCACATAAGGTCAACTACTTCATTTCACATAACGTCTGCTTGAACTTAGATTTTTGTGTAGTTGCCAATGACATTAGGTCATTGTTACACCTCCTGCCTTATAAAATGTATATTTTTAATTAATTCGCAAACATCCTTCTCAAAGGGGCTCATGACCTCTGAAATGTACGTACCACGGTTAAAATGATTAATTTTATTAGGCAGGAGATGAGACAATGAGTTAATGTTGTCAGCCATTATAGAAAAATCAAAGTATAAGTACCAAATCCTTTCATTATGGAAGGGTAATGATTGAAACATTTGAGAAATCAATTAACGGCATTTATCACATGTTCAACTCTGTGGTGATAGAAGGATTTAGAGAATTATTAGCCTTAATTATTAATGGCCCTGAAATACAGAGAAAAAAGTTTCCAAAAAAGAGAGTTTAAAGTACACATATTCAATTGTGTTGTATAGTTACACGATATTCGTTAAAACCAAAAACACAAATAAATAAATGACAATGAAAGTCACGATACCTATACTGCAGAAAATTTGGTTAAAAGCAAAATTATTTCTACGGTTCCCTGCTTTAACCGTGTGTTTAAAAATATTGTTGAAGCTGAGTAAAAGGGAATATGGTTCAAGACGTGCTGACAAATATTCAAACTAGTGGTGCTACAGAACGACAGAAATTTTTGTACTTGTCAAACTTTTTAAATTTTCTAAAATTCTGAGCTAACTGAAGACTTCTGACCTGAGAAAATTCTGAGCTAATGTGAAGATCAGATCTGTGTTATGTTTATAAGTTATTTCACTCTATTTGTACAAGAAATTAAAAGCAAAAATTTGGAACCATATTTGAGAAAAATTTTAACATATTGCAGGGTATCTAGTAAAGAACCCCCAAAATTTCAAATATTCTTTTCTCAAAATCGCAAGGCTCCAAGTTGGGCCAGATCAAACCAGAAATATTCACTTTGGAAAAAATCCTACAAATAGTTTCGGCACTAATGTTGTTCTCAGATGGCCGGACAGGCAGAGAGGGAAGAAAGAAAGAAAAAATTCCAGAGTTACACAACTTTTTCTGTACTACTACAGTACTTCATATATACATATTGTACATATAAGAGATAAAAATCATTATTCAAGAAATAATTGTCTGATTATAACATTAGTATCGGCTTACTTGAACAAAGCACACTTTAAAGATGCAACAATCCAACATTTCTGATTTATCTTTCTTTTTTTATGAATATAATGTCGCCTTTCTTTTTTGTAATATTGCAGCAAAAAACGGCGATTTTTCAACAGAAAAACTTGTAATGTGGGGTTTTGATACAGAAAATATATCAACACTAAAGTGTTCTGACAATTTTCTCTGGAATTCATATTCCATCACCAATCTGGCCAATCCCATGGTGTTGCAAATTTGAAACGATTATTTTGATTTTGGGGGTCTTTTCAGGAAGCTGTAAGAACATTTTCAAGAATGTCTCCTAATTTGATTTAACCTTGGATAGATCAAATGATGCGTAAAAAAATGGCACAGATCACATTTTTATTGAACTCTCAGAATTTTAATCTGCTCTTCAAAGACAGTTCTTTAAATAAGGTCACGTAAAATTTTTCAAAAATATGATAGTTTTTGCATAATTTTGTGTGAAACAGGGAAAAAAAAAAAATCATAAACTCCTTCAAATTTTTTCTTTAATTTTCTTTCTCTAATAGAGTAAAGTACTATTATAAAAATGACACAGATCCCATCTTGGGTGAACTCTTTTAAGTTCAAATATGACAAAAAATAAACATTTTCACCTTGTTGACATACATAGTGAAACATGAGTCAAGTTTTTGAGTCTGACTACATTTTTGTGTATGTATGTGTACCTGTGTTATTATGTGTTATTTCTCATTTCTTTGGTTAAACAAATAACTGTCTAAAATTCATCTTCTGTTAATCAGAGAGCATTGTGTAATAATTATATTTGGTTCAAATTTTCAAGAGTTTAAACTGTGTCTGTTATGGGGCCCGGACAACATGATTGGTAATGGTTTTACAATTGATGGTTGAGATGTGTTAATATGGATAAAGATTGCAGTATTATATTAATGTAACCTTCATTATCATTAGAAAGTATGTGCTGTAGAACCACTAGTTTTATCTTTAGACATTTACCTTCCCTTAATTTACATTTTCCTTTGAGTCCCTTTAATTTTCAGCAAATAAAATAATTGTTATAATTTGGAACATATTGAAAATGTTTAATTTAAATATCAAGTTGTGAAGATTTGATGTTCTTTTAATGCACTTTCATTGCCTTGCTGCTATTGTCATTTAATAATAGCTCTTTTTTTTTTTTTACATAGCAATTCCAGACCCAGTGGCCATCATCCTGTGAATCTGATTCAACATCTAGAGGTATAGATCAATGATTCTCAACATAAAACCACATAAAATAATTCTTTTATATTCATTGCAAAATTTTGAATTCAGTTATAAAGTCCTGCATGCGTGCATATGTGGGGATGTGGGTGTTAATTGTAAACAGTCCCTTTAGAACAGAGTGACATTTTTGTCAGTATTTGTGAGATAAGATGACACACATGTGAGGCTCTCTGTTTTCTGAATAGGAATAGATTCACTTTTGCTTTGCCTGACACATTGAGTTTTCAAATTCCTGTGCTAAAAGTTGAGTTGAAACCTGAGATGAATGGAGGATTTCAAAAAATAAGAGATGAATGCCAGTGTGGTAGCATGATATGCTTGCAGAGCTGGAGACAGCGCGGCCACAAACGGTTGGGGAGGAGGAGCTCCAGTTGCAACTGGCGCTGGCCATGTCGCGCGAGGAGGCTGAGCAAGAAGAGCAAAGGCGACGCTCTGATGATGTGCGACTGCAATTGGCGCTCTCTCAAAGTGAAGAAGAATTTAAGTAAGTGGAACTCGCATTTATTTTATGGCGTCTAATGTGAAAGGACATAAATACATGTTGTCTTCATAAAATTGTTTGTAGAATTTTCTATGTAAATTGTCTAAGGTATTTTATAGTGTTGAATAGTTAGTAGTGTAGTTACTAGACGCTTTTGTAGGTAATTGCAAGGTCAGTTACATCAAAATGTTCAATGTACAATTTTTTGACATCGTAGAAATCAACATAAAGATGGCCATGATAAGCGTAGCCATATGCTGGACCTTCTGGACGTAAATTTGGACACACGAGGTGCTGCAGCAGCAGCAGCAGCAGCTTCCTCAGCCTCTGCCAGTCCCATAGCCTCTGTGCTGGCTGGTCCTGCGCAGCCCCCAAGAGTCGTTGACCCCTGGGGGTTCCCCCAGCCCGTGGCTGCACCCCTGCATACCACTCCTCCACGGCCACAGGTAAATTCTCTCCTGTCGTGTGACTCTTACTGTACTTTTTAATGTAAAATGGTTTTTATTGTTACATTTGAAAGAGTCAATTACTTTTTTTTTCTCTCTTGAAAATTAGGAAAATTTCTCAGTTCTCAAATTATTTTTGAAATGTGTAATTTCATTATATGCTGTTCATATATGTATTTCATGTATGTAATGTAACATATCTTTGGTTCTATAAGTGAAGTTGAACTATTTATTTATTTAACCCTCTGAAAACCATGTGGATAAAAGTTGTGTGGGGTTTCCTGGACTCCACTCATTATCGGAATATAGATCGCATAATATTTAATTATTTATTTATATTATGTACGGATAATACTTTTCAGTTACTTTTGGATAAAATGAAACGAACATGTCAAATCAAATCATCATTTTACTACTTAAATACAAAGAAAAGAAAAATTGTAGTATTTTTTACAAACTTAAAGTGCACATTTCTATGGCTTAACCTAGATTTAGAGAAATATATTAGAAGCTTGTTCAAATTGTTTAATTTAAATTTATACATAATAAGAAACAATGAATTACAATGAAGAATGGATGCAATTTCATTTTCATTCATCTGATAAGCAATTTTGAATCCTAAGCAACTGTTAATAAAATTATAATCGAAACAAACAAAAATTTATGAAGTAATAGGCTATTTTATAAAATAACACTACATACGTTTTACATAACGTCCTGCACCACGTGGGGTCTGCGGGACCCTGACTCACTTTACAAGCGTCTGTACTCTTCGCTTCTTAAGTGATCACTAAATCGCAATAGGTAAGGGGTTTGGCAACACAGCACCTTCAGCTACACAAAGTGTAAGTGCCACCGCCCGAATATTCGAAAAGTTACAGCGATTTTTATTTTGTTGGGGTCTGTTAGGCCTAAAATACAAGATCAAAAGTACATAAAAAGAAAGATAATTCATATGAGCTTTAAGTAAGTTTCATAAAGTAATACATGAAGTAAGAGAATTCATAAGTACATAAAAAATTAGATAATTCATAATTTAATAAGATGCTACCCGCGTAAGATACAAATTTAATTTGTTATCATTTAAGTGAATTTTTAATGTGTTAGCTGTTTCCCAAAACCTGTTGATAGTATTGGGTGTTAAAGTGTGTCTGCAAAATTGAATAATAAAAATGTTGTTTCTAAAATTGAAGTTTTTGATTTGAAGAATTGAAGTTTGAAATTTGAAGTTTAGTACAATATTTGATTGGAAAAAAGCAGGCAATCAGTATTGTCATTTATCAATTTGCGTCGAAAAATCGTTCAAGCACCATTGAGAGATATGAGGTAGTTTATTCAATCTCAATACAATATCTATAATGGTCACGATAACAAAAGGATTGCTCAAACCCAGACATCGAGAAGAAAAGTGATCCACGGTTTGAAATTTGGATATATAAGGAGGGTGACAAACAAATGAAGAGAACATCTGAATTTTTTTAACTAGATCAGGTATAGTGATCTCAAAATTACAATAGAGTGCAATTCATGACATGTACGCATAATAAAATCCAAATTTGATTTGAATTGGTAATGATCATCTGCATATAATCTAACAAAGACATCCCAGAATTGTATATTGCACCAAGATCGCTTGTGGTGGTAAACCTTTCAAGCACTGTGGAATTCAGTTAGTAAAAGTGATTGCTTTGCATATTTTATTGTTGAGATAAAGATCATTGTAAGTGCACTAGTCTGACAATACATTTAGTACATTCTGAAGAAATAGTACTCTGTCAGTGTCCCAATTGGATCTTCAAAAAGATTTTAAGATCGTCTGCAAATAGAAGATATTCAACATCATTAATGCCTTCACAGATGTCTTTTATGAAAATGTTTATTAAAAGAGGTTGCAAATGTGAATTCCTGTCTCTTTGTGAAACTCCGAATTGGACATTAATAGTGCTAGACATACTGTAGACCAACTGTTCACAATTACATGAATAGCTGCAAAACCATTGTAACAGTGGTCTGCAAATCCCAAAACAATGAAGGTTCATCAAGAAGTCATGATTCAGTTCAATAAATCAATCAATAAATGTTTTAATCTTTTAGTTACGGAGTGTTTTCCTTCTGGAGTCCTAGTAGTAAAGTTGTTTTAAAAAGATGCAATAGCTTAACCCCAATGGATTTTTAATCACAGCGAGTGTGGATGAGGACTGAAGTTGGTTAGGCTTGTGGAGGAAGGCAATGACAACTTACAGGCAATGGACTACAGTGAGTTGATGTGTTTATGTATGAGCTGAAATAGATTTGGGAGGTGTATGCACGGTCGATTATATCCTAATACTTGGATATATTATGGCACTTAAATTATAATACAATGTATACTATATAATAGTGAATAAAATATTTAAATAGAGATTCAATAATTGAAATTCTTGTATTGCTGTATATTTGATTTTACCATACTAGGAAACCACTGGAAACCACTAGGAACCACTGTAAACCTAGAGAATAAAAATATTTTTTTCTGTCATAATTTAATTATCAAAAATGATTCTGAATTAAATTAAAACAAAAGATTTTGAACAAATGTGTGCAAGTTAATTGCAGTGCAAACCCTACATTTCCTACGGATTGCAAAAGGTTATAAAAGTTTATTTGTAAAGTTCAATTATTATCAACATCACCTTTCTTTTCAAATTCCACTTTTCTTTTCCCCTTTGTTCTCTGATATTTCAACAACATAAACGAGTCACTGAAAAGAGCAGTGTAGCATGCAAACACATCTGAAAATTATTGATTTTTTTGCAAATAAACTTCTCAAATCTACAGAAAGTTGAATGGATTTACAAGTAATGTCTGAAGTCGCCTACTCCTCTTCTTATTCTTCTTTTTAGATTTGTTTCTCATCTTCTTCTTCAGCTTCTTCTGCTTCTTTTACTTCTACCGCTTCTTCTTCTGCTTCGTCTTCTATCCTGCTTCTTCTTCTCTTCTTCTACTTTTCCTTTTTCTTCTTGGGTTTCTTCTTCTTTTTCTTTTTATCTTTCTTTTTCTTTTCATTTGTGTTAGCATTTCATCTCCAGGCAATTGTAAGCAATCGACATCTTTTTGTTGTTGTTGTTGTTGTTGTTGTTAATCAGCAAATGTTTTGGGTTGTGTTAATCAAAAGTTTATGATGTCAATCAGCAAATTGAAAACCTTACTCTTGATAAGAAAATTAAATTAATTGCAGAACTCAAACAAAACAACATTTCTGTCAAGATTTTGATAAAGAAAGTAGAGCGTAGAAAAACTCAGAAAACTCCTTAAAAACTGACAAAATTAAGAATGAGTGGATAAAAGAAATTTTTTATAGGTGGTTGCCAAGATATTCACCAGTAACTAAGCTAATAGCCGAAGCCTAAATCATCAAATGAACTCATCTGTTCCTACAAATCTTAAAGAAAATAATATTTCTTTTACTTTTTATGGAGTTCTTTGTTTCTTGAGTCTTCGTGTTTGCTTTTCTGTAAGTAATTTTCTTTGTCTCTCCTGGGATCTCTTTGTTTCTGTGAAGTCCCTTTTTATGCAAATGATGTCATTAAGTGTAATTCATGTAGAAGAGGTTGTCAGGGATAAATGATTTGAGTGGCTGAAAGGGGAAGGGATGAAGACATAAATAATCATGATGGTGAAGTAAGATGAAGTAAATACAATCATGAAGAATCATCAAGTAGTTGTAAGTTAGAGTATGAGTTTAATCACTTACTTATTCACTGCCACCACATATTACAAAACACAGGAGTGAAGAGGAGAGAAAGAAATGAAAGAGAGAAAGAATGTAATGGAAGTAATTGCAAGGATGTCAAGTGCATTTATGTTTGCATTAGCATCTTACCCTGGCTGGATTCTCCGGTTGGCATCTCGTTGGCATCCGGTTGGCCGTCTCGATGTTTTCGGGTGTTTGTTTATATATTATCTTGCTAATTGTGGGAATCTTCCTGGGAGTGTCATTTTAGAAAGTTGGATTTTCCAGCCCAGTGTCAGCATGTTTTCCAAAACTTTTCTGCTTGTTCGGTTTGGGCTGCATGGTCATAAAATATTTTATAATATTTTCAATTGTACAGGCACAGTATGAGGGGAATCAAGTATGAAGAAGATTTTTCCTACTGTGTGCGTAATTTTGAGCGGACTGCCACTAGAGGGCATTGGTGGGGATGTGAGAAGTGTGGACAGTAGGCGGCAACCTTTTCAGACTTGTTCCATAGTAGCAGTAATGATGTTAGAGCAACCGGTGCAACCTTCTACTGCGCAACGCACTATTATTAAATTTGTTACTCATGAAGGCATAAAACCAATGGAAATTTTTCTAAGATTAATTGCACAGTTCGGGGATACAACACTGTTAAGGACTTATATGTTCCTGTGGCATAAGGACTTCAAGGAAGGCCATGAAAGTGTTGAAAATTAAGAACAAGACCGCTGTCCTCAGACAAGCATTACGGAGGAGAACATTCGCTCGATTGTTGCATTTGTTGAAGAAGATTGACGCCGGATGTTTCAGACGTAGCAGATGTTGGAAAAATATATGGGAGCTGTCAAATAATCATGACCAAAGACCTAGGGTTCTGTCTAGTGTGTGCCAGTCGGGTCCATTTGCCTCTTGACAACAGAACAGAAGTTGGAATGGTTGCAGGTCTGCAGATTATAGGAAAAGAGATAGACACCACTTGAATATCCTCCGTATAGCCCTGACGTATCACCCTGCGATTTTCATATGTTTGGACCGCTTATAGAAGCACTGGAAGGCTAACAATTCCAAGACAACGCGGGAGTGGAGGCCTTCATCCAGAAATGGCTCGTGGCACAGTCCAGTTCCTTTTACGATGCCGGAATTGAAAATCTCTCAATTCACCGATCAAAATGCATTTCTAAAGCAGGAGATTTTGTGGATAAATTATATGTACTTAGCTGCTTCATTACAACAATATTTTTATTTTTAATAGTGTCTCACCTATATTAGATTTACTTACATACTTGATTATAATTTTTATTATTTATATTGGCTCATCACTTTTCTTTGAATTGTACTCGTAGTTTTTGGGTGAGAGAAACTACTTATTCCACCTGTTATTCCTTACCTACATTGTGATCGTTTTAAGAAATACAGAAACAAAATTTTGAGGAAACAGTACAATCTTTTTTTAATTGTTTAATTCATTAGAGCCAAATTTATTTGATAGTATAGCTTGATTTCAATTTTTATTAAAACTCTGAAATTTCAAAAATTATGAAGTTTAAAATATATTCAACACACTTCTACAATTACCTTGTTAAAGGTATATATGTCATCTTAATGTGCTCTATTCTTGAATATTAGATCTTTGAATCATTTCACAAACAAGTTGTAAAAATTAGTAGATTTCATGTCATTTGGAGTTACGTCATGTCAATTTTGCATCTTAGGTGTTGCAACATTAGGAATTGACTTTAGCAGTTGAAATACATATGAATCGCTTAGCATAGGCTAAGATTTTTGCTTTGAAAATATAAGAACTTAAGTTCGAATCCTTCTGGGCAATGTACTTATTTACTGTGCAGGCATTAAATTGTCCAATTTACAGATACATTACCACTAAAGAATAGGTTGGGCTTTACAGAAAATGTGTATAACAAGAAAAATAGATTTTTTTTTTCTTTTTACTTTCCTAAGAATAATCCGCACTTGTTTGGTTAGCAGTTTTTTAAATTGATGGCTGTTGTTTAAATAGAACTATCAACATTATAATTTGCTTAATTGTCATCAATGTTGCAAGAAAGTATGTGCTGTTATATGAACCAATAGTTAAAAATTGCTTGTGAAGAAAAGGTTTGAACCTCCTTCTCAATTATATATTTTGTTTATTGACAAAAACAAGTGTTTCAGTCCTGAAAGGCTATTGACTTTCTCAGTATGTGGATAGTTATTCTTACTATTCACATCTTCCAATGAGAGCGAGTATAAGCTAAACATTAAATATTAAAATAAATTTGCAGAATTCAAGTGTAATAAACTTAGGTATGTGTATTTTCTCTGTCTCTCTTGACTTACAGGTTCATATTTTTGTTTTCATTGTTTTGATTAGTGTTGTCCTTTTTGTTTTTGCCCAGACTTTGGACATCTTGTATTCATGTTGGGATGTGGTAAGGAGATGTGTGTTTCAGCTCCTCTTTTGCCATTTGTCCAGCAATTTTGGAGTGGTTTTCGTTTACATTTGTGTAAAGGTTTTCACTCTGCCAACTATGTGATATAACAGTTGACTTTTTGAAAGAAATTAAAAAGTGATTTTATATTTTACTCAAGAACAACAATTTCAGTGTGAGAATGCAATGATTTTTTTAAAGTATCATTCTTACAGGTCATTCAGAAAATGCGTTTGCAAAATTGAACTTTTTGAAAATCCCTCGCCCCTCATCATGTAACAAAAATATTTCCTGAGATTAACATTAAGTATTGAACCTTCCCTGCCTGAATTTAATCAAAAAATCTTCATGAAAAATTGTGTTAAATTTCATATATACTCGCTGTAATTTTTCTAACTGAAAACAGAACATAAAGAAACTTTTTAAAATTAAAAAGAAGATAATCTTTTATTAATATGAACATTGATTTATAGTTTCTTGTTAATATAATAAATATTATAAAATTTAAAGATCAATTTTTATTTGTTATATAACATTTTCCATATGAGATGGCTTAGGATAATTTGCAATTAATTGCCCTGCCTGAAAATAGCAAAACAGTGAATGGTGAAAATATGAATAAATATTGTGAGAGGTTTCCTTTATCACTAACTTCTTCCTCTTTCCTCCCCAGCCCCATCCCTAAAAGCGAACTTAATTTTTGAATGACCCCTACGAATTGTAATTATTTAATATCAGATTTTAGAAATGATTTATCTGGATTTATTTTTTCAATGTATGTAATATGACTTCAGTGTGGATTGTGTTTTAATTTTGTGAATGAGAATGATACATAATGGTAAAATAATAAAATGTATACGAGAACTTCTCTTATATTTATAACTGGCTTATAGCTTTCATCATTGCTGCTATTTGTTGTTTGTAAAATGTGTTCTTTGCTTGATACAGTGCTGGTGTTTAGTGTATTATCTTTGTGTTTTCATTGGCTGTATTCCATTGAATTTTAATTAATAATGAAGCATTTGCAAAGAGAATTGTTTTATTATAATCCCTCATATGGTAGATAATAAGTGAATGTTCTGTGAGGCCTATTTTAAAAATTAAAGAGTTTTTAGTGTAAGGTTTGCAGAAAATTCCAATAACATTCTCTTAGTTAATATGAATGAATTCACATTCCTATAGAAACTTCAAACAGTTGTCAATTGATTAAAATGAAAGGACCGGTAACATTAGAATAGACCAGATGTTGAATACTATTCTTGTTAGTGCTAGGTCTAATAATAGATTCCTGTAACCTTTTCGAATACCCTGAGGATGCTTTTGAAAAGTGTACTGAGAAAATGTAAACCAAAGTAGTGCTAGAGATCTTAGCCACAAATCTATAGAACATTTTTATTTCAGTTTTGGAAATTAATTCTTCATTCCAGCTTTTAACACTTATAATTATTTAGGAATTAATATAAACACACTAAATCTTCAATTGCAAAGTAAAGCTGCCTGCCAATGTATAGTATTGTTTCTAAATTCTCCTTTTTGTTGTGCCATCAATGCCCATTGTGTATTTTCAATTATGTGACAGAATGACCCATGGAGCAGCCCCGCCTCTGTGCCCAGTGCCTCTTCTATGACTTCTCCACAATCTGGTGATCCCTGGGCACCTGTGCCGAGAGAACCTACTCCTAAATCAGGTACAGTTGGCAGAAATTAGATTCTTTGTATTTGTAGGAAGTTGCCTTGCTCACAGTTATGGGGAAAGTGTAATATTGTGGTGATTGGTGATACCAGTTGAATGACCGCACAAATGTAGTTCAGAATGGGTGCAAATGGTTTCTCTTCTTTAGTGCCTACCCCCTGGCCTCTGATGAAGTGACGGTACAGAGTTTTTTAAGTGAAATTATTTTAGTGTATTATTGATAAATGTTAGAATATTTTTCCTCCCACCTGCTTAGAGTTACAGTAAGTTAGATCTCCTTTCTATATTAGCCTTTTGTCATTTGTTTTTTCCACTTCCATGACCCTCTGTAGATTAATGGGTCATAGAAGATCTTATGTAATTTTGGAAACGGGAGAAGATGGCATGGCAAGCATCAGGCTTCATACACGTATTTTCCCCAATACTTACTGTTAATAAAGCCATTAAATGTTGAAAGGAAGCCCAGTAAACTTTTCGGCATATTAAAGTTGTAAATTTACCTGAATTAAAACTAACCTTGATTAAATTTTCAAAATCATTTCTAATACAGTATTTTTCTTTTGAAACCTTAAAACATTGGAGATGTTTTTTAATGCTATGTACGTGTCTCCTGAGTAGTGAATTATTTGAATTTGATACTTTTACTTCATGTTATCACGTTACGAACACTATCATCACTATATATCACGTTATGTCTTGAGGTCTGTGATTTGTCATTATTTGAAGTCTGTAATAAATAATTTTACAAAGTAATAAAAGGAACTCCATTACCTGTTTATGTTTAATATATGTAAAGGTCTAATAGAATATTATGATCATTAATTTAATCTATGGTATTTATTGGAATTATTATATGGAATTTATGGTATTAATTTAATTTATGAAAAAAACTTTCTATTAATGGTATTTGAAGTATGTGGTAATAAAAAACACACCTTTTTCCCATATTTCTGTACTTTCAACTCAGATTTGTATTATATATATGTCAGGTTTATCAATCTTTTATTATATCAAAACTTTAACCCCTGGTTCTTATTTTTTAACAACTTTGCTGTTTTGGTTACATAGTTCTGACTTAAAGGAATCAATAAATGGTGTGGAATCAATAAATTTTAGTTTGAAGTGTTAGTTGGAATGTTCTATTGTAACTCATTTAATTTAATTCAGTTTTACAATATACCATTTGTGTGCATGTTTTTCTTCTGAAAATGGTGCATCTGAATTGCATCAAACATGTGATGTGCAATGTCACAGTACCATTGCCCCATTATCTTGATATTAAATTCAGTGTTTAATTAAATGTTACAAGTGTCTTTGATGCTAGTTGTCATCAGTACAAAATTCTTGGAACTGTGTTGGACCCTTCTTGTAAATTCTATTTAATACAGAAATAGGTTCTTTTACATAATAGTAAAGTTTCCTTGTGTCTCATTTCTCCTAAAATTTTTTAAGACATTGAGATTGATATTTGAATTTTTCAAATATATAAGATATGTTTTTTTCTATTTCACATGAGAGTGTACATCGACTTCTGTGAAAGATCACTTATTTGATTAGTAAACTACATGATGAGGCACAGTCATCCTTCTAACCACATAATTGATGTGTAGTAAGTATTGTATATTGGATAATGGTTGGGCTTTATTGAACAAAGGCATTTACTTGAAGTAGATTCTGTGAAGTAAGTCTGTTTTCTCAATAATTTAATTTCACCAAGAAGCAACATGAAAATTAAGTTAAAAATAAAATTTACCAATTTAAAAACAATTACTAGATCTAGGCCGTTTTTTAATTGGGCAAACATAATATTTTATTTTAAAACTTAATCTCATAGACAAAATATTCTCACGTTACTCTGTTCTAAAAAATCATGCATAATCTAGAAATTGGTTTTAGTGAATAAGTTTAAGATTATCCTTGCCATCTTCTTACATAAACAATTTGGGCTGCAGAAAAACAAGTTTGGATACCTCTGATCGACATTAAATCTATCTAGTAGGTCTGATTTTCACTTGACACAAATGACACAAAAATAAGGCAGGTGCATTGACCTTTTGTGATTAAAACACATCATTAAATTTAAAGAACACTTCAAAGTCACAGGCAAGAAGAGTTGTATGATGTAGGACCCCGAATTTCGGTGTATTGTAATGTACAAAATATGTTATCAATTTAGTTTTATTATATTTGTTATTCTGGATAATAAATAGGCTTTTGAGGATAGATGGGCGGGAAGTTATAGTTATGAATAGGGAGCAGATTTCTATGATTGTGCATATTTTTGTTCATTGCTTCAACACATATCTAAATGTAATTTTGTGATGTTTGGTTAAAATAATATGCAATATAGATTATTATGATTGTGCATATTTCATTAAAATATGAAGTTATCTATAAAAGTTTGATCTTTTCATAGAATCTATTTATTTGTGAGCGTTCATTGATTCGAAAAAGCTTGTCACAGTTAATTTTCCTATAGATGATAAAATTCTTGTTCAAACATAGGATATTTCTTGATAACATATTTTTAAACCAGACGGAAGAAGTAGATCAAGACACACAATGTACTTCACTGAGGTGCATATTTAAATTAATTATTTCTCCCACAAAGTAAGGTAAATTATATTATGTTTCCACTAAAAATATATCTTTTCACTCCAAGCATAGTTAAAAACATATTTCAAGATATTTTAGGGCATAAAAATCCTCTCCCTATTCATTATATTTGATATTGTGGATAATAGATAGCCTTGTGAGGCTAACTGAAGTGGATCTTGTAGTGCTGAAGAAAGCGGAGCTGTGTGTTTTGCTTTGTGCTTGAATGTGGTTTGTGACGTGAGAGCTGTGTGCCGCTTCTGTCGCAGTGGTGAATGACCCCTGGAGAGCCATTTCCCCCCAGCCACAGGCTGAGCCTCTGCCTGAGCCTCGGCTCCCTGCACGGCCGCCCCAGGATCCCTGGTCTCCCAGCACAAACACTGACCACTCGAGCCCCGGCGCCACCAGCCCCAGCGGGGATCTCGACGACTTTGATATCATCACCAACCGACAAAGGCCACCCGCCAGCCAGCAGCTCATCAACAATGCCAACACACTTAATAATAATGGTAGTGTCTTGGTTTTTGTGTTATGTGTGTGGCTTCTCTTTTTTTGTGTTCTTCGTTATGTTAGTTTTGTGTGGAGTAGAATTGGATCTAATTTTTAGAAATTCATCTTGTTTGGAGGGATTTTAAATGTAATTTGTAGCATGCTTTTCTTTTCAGTACTAACAATTCAATTGTGTTTGTAATTATATTATTTTCTTATTTTGTAGTTTTGTCTTCAATTTTATATTACTTACAAATGGTGGTTTCAAGGCTAAAAGATGTTATTTCTTTGGTTTTCTATGTGTAGCTGTAGCCTTTGTACTGACTTGAAAAATAGCTAATGTTTCTTTTAATCATATGTCTACAATTTTTTTAGAATATATAAACTCTTGCTCTTAGAATTGTTCAACAACATTGTTGTGAGCTAATATATTAAACATGATAATATTTCTATGATTTGCAGGTGGCACTTTGTCACCAGATCCGTTTGATTTGAGTGTCTTGGATGACACACTGTCAGACAGCAAACAGTCGGTAAACAAGAAAACTCCCCACAGTTTTCTGGGAGAAAATTCATCATTGGTGAATTTGGACAACCTGGTTGCCAGACCTGCTTCTGCATCACCTTCCACAGGTTTGTTACGCAATGTGATAGTCAACCAGAGAAATAATTGACTTGGTTGAAGTAATAGTAGAATTGCAAAACATAGGCAAAGTATAGTGTTTTTTTATCATATTGGTTAAAGTTTACTGTGTACCTATCAATTGTTATTGAAAAAATTGCATATTGAAGTGTGAATACCAGAATATTTATTGCTTATGTTTGTGAGATTTTTGGGCAACATAACCTGATAGTTGGAGTATTAATATATGTGTTATTCACTTGTTATATTAGTTATATCAAATATTTTCATATATTGGCATTGGTAAGCTCACTTCTCAGGTTCACTGTTTGCATGCCTTTGACTAAAATGCACTTTGATAATAACAACAAAGAATACAAAGTACATTGTACCTATGCTCGGTAAACAAATTTTGATAGTTTGAGAATCTACCCGGTTATTTATTTTGCTGGCCAACTGATGCACTGAAGCTTTCATTCTACAAAATAAAACTGGGAGGAAATATCAAATGTCAATCTGGGTGTCCATGATCAAAGGTCAATCTTGACTAAAACTGAGGTTAGGTTAAGGTTAGGAGTGGCTAACATCAATAGTCACAGGAATAAGTACTTATAACCAAATACCCTAATTAACCTGCGGTAGGGTGGTCTGTAGATAGAGTGTAATTTTATGGAGATTTTCTTCGGAAAAATCTTTGTGTGTCTGTAGATAAAGTGTGCAACCTACTTTTTTGTAGCTATATATTATTTGAGGATTGTGATCATTTGGTAAGGAAAATTTATCCCTTTGACCACTTATATTGAGTGGGATGAGACATTGCAGAATCCACAATTATTCCAAGTCACTTTTCACATACATTTTTCATCTCTTTCAGAGCTCACAAGTTGTACAAAGTGTAAGAGAGTGTGCGTTCATGGTTGTAAAATTTCAGTTTGTTAGACAGTTTATTAGGCTTTTAACTGATTGAAGGTGTGTTGATATAAATGAAATGGATGCCTTTCCCACTGGGTTACAATTGCGCGGTGGCTACAGCTCAGGTGAGGGGCAGTGGAAAACCAAGTTCACTATCAAGCTCCTCCAAATGTTTGTTGATTGTGGAAAGTGCAATCCAATAAAGATCATTGGTGTAAGCAATGCAAAAGTCAACCATGTTTGTTGTGATATTTCAGTGTTTTAGTAAATTGTAAAGACTGCCAGACTAAAAGGTGTATTGTGAACAAAACATGTGCGTGCATTCTATAATAGCAATATTAACGACAGTTTTCCTTGCAAGAAATCATCCAAAAAATTGATTTTATGGAACAGATTATTTCATGTGGACCTGGCAATGGTTTGCTATTGTAGTATTACACATCACCCGCTACTGGACTCGTGATTGTTAACGATGCAGTAGGCTATACTGCACAAATTCTAATAGATAAAATATTTTTTTCCACTCACAAGTATATGTTTGTTCTATCTCCTGATGTGGACATAGTTGTCAAAGTATCATTTTGTTGAAATGTTCTCCGTCAAATACAGGTATGAATTCACTATGATTCTTAGAGAGATTTGATTTACTTGTCCAAGATTCAGGTAATAATTCCGGCCGATATTTCACAAACGCAGGGGCAGAATATAGCTTAATCCTTAATTGTGCGGCGGGTTGCATAGATTTCAGGGGCGCATGAGTCGTCGGAAACGAATAAATCAACAACGCCCCACATGTTCGATTACATTCAAACCACTCGTTAAACTCTCACTCATTACTACTATGAACAAAGTATTAAAATTTCAACGAAATTGGTCGAGTAGTTATTGCGTCTATGGGCGACACATATATGTACATTCCCTGTTATTTATATATAGTTTAGCCGTTTCACGGTACTAGTAATTTCATCCTCACACACAAACATAGCGAATGCCATGGGAAGTGCTGGTAAGCTCCATAGCAGCCAGTATTTTTTAGCATAAATGTCAAACATGACATCCATATTGCCTATTACAAAACTTTGCTTTCTTTGATTGTTTTATAAATATATAAATCTGTTGTACAAAAAATAGGGTATGCAACCAATTTATAATCTTGCTTTCAAACAAATTGGAAAACTTACTCCTAAAGACACTCCTTTTTAAATCATGCACGTATCTAATAAAGATTGTCTTTATATAGACTAGTTACATAATAGAGCACTATTTTATTGGTTTTTAACCAATTAAACCCATTAAACCCAACCCATTTCTTTTATGCTCTAAAATTTAAAAACTGTCATAGCATTGCAAGCTCATCATGGAGGCTTGTCTGCAAATTAAATAAAGGTCTGACAGGAACACGGTACAAAAGGTTATCAGAGAAAGTTTGTAGTCTTCCTCTGATAACTATGTGGTATTTAAAGGTGTCAGATTGAGTGGCTTAAGTAATGTAATGAGTTCGGAAATTTTCAAAATATTCTGATATTACGTACACATTGGTGTAAAAAGAAAATACGGTGGAATCCCGTTAGCACTTTCCCCAATTATCACCTTTTTTCCGCTTAGTATGTTCATATTTTCAAGTCTTGTCCCAATTCCATCAGATTATTCGTTTACACGTTTAACAATCCCGCGTAGCACGTTCAAAGTTTGTGTAGGTACCTTGCTTCGTGAGAAAGAAGCGTTTTCCGGTGTACCAGCGCCATCTTCAATGTGTATTATTTTTATGGTACTTTTGGGCACCTTTCACTTTCAATCTGATTTCAGAGCTATCATAACATGCGTTGTAGATTAAAACTGTATTTTATACACAACGGCACACGGGCGCAGTTGGCGACGTGCGTTATGCCCACAGCTCAAGGTACAACACAAGTTAAGATAGATTCAATGTTAATGTACAACGCGCGGTAAATGTCTAATATACGCAGGTATCGATGCAGTTGACGTCATCAGCGTTAGGGCGCAGGAACGCGCGTCGTCATAGCTGTCATCATCAGCATTAGGTGACGCGCGTTAAAGCTAAGTCCGTGTGACAGAGGCCTTTATGTACATTACTTTGAGCCCTCTTTTGTGTGTATTTTAATTTTCTTCAATGTCATTTATGAATAATTTAGTTCATCCCGTGGATGTTACCGCGTTATTAACATATTCATTAGCTTTATCTATAGTGGTTTGCAGATGATAATGTGAGAAGTATAAATTGAGCATTTTTTCTTAGCACGTTTTCCCGCTGACGACGTTTAAAATTTTCAGTTCCTTGAACAAGTTACTGACGAGATTTCACTGTGTATGATTGAGAGAACAATGTGAACTTTTTTTCTGGGGGAAATCACTTCTGATAAAGTGAGAACGTCAAGTTATGGTGTGTATAATGTTTGGTGTTTGTTTGCACTGCTCCGCAGTTCCTGCAGTGCCTGTCGCAAGTGCCAACCCCTTTGCAGGGGTGGGGTCTGCCCAGCAGCCGAGCGTTTTCCCGCAGCCAGCGCCTCCTGCGGTGAGACCGTGCATGAACCAGATCCGACAGCAGCCGTTCGGCAGCCCTGCCCTGCCCGCGGTGCCCGCAGCAGAGAGTGCGTGGGCAGCAGCGCCGGCGGTGCCCCTGCGGCCGCCCGTTCTGCCCGCTCCTCTGCTGCCTTCCAACCAGCCCAACCCCTTCCTCTCCTAACACCCTCTCTTCCCTCGAGCGACTCCAACCCTCTCTACTTTCTCCACCTGGGTCCTCCAGACTTGAGTCTGTTTCGCTGTTTCTGTGTATATGCTTAAATGTATCATATTGCAGTGGTTTAGTGCTGCTTTTGCTAAGTTGTATATTTTGTCATTTGCAGAGGCATGTGTGACGATAAAATAGTTCTTGTGAAACTGACTTCTATTACACACAACAATAAGTCACCTGAATTGGTTTTGTAAAATGCAAGCAGTTGATACAGTGTGATTTGTATTATGTTCTCAAAGAAATATGATTGATATTATGAAATGGTGAGGTATCAGGACATCTTAAAAGTGCCACTCCCTAATTAAGTGTTGATGGATTTGGTATTAGAACTTGATAAAAAGGGACAATTCTTATGGTGATTTACTGAAGGAGAAGTTTTACTGAATGTACCTTATTACTACTGGTATGTTTATTTTAGAAGTGCTGCTAACCATGGTTACTTGTGACCTGCCATGTTTGGTGCTGGTTCTGTGAAGAAGCTAACACTTTTCCTTGGTATTGTGTAAAGAGTACTGATGAGATATGATGAGACTGCTCACTGGTTGTTCCCAGTGTAAGAATGAAGATTTATATACATTGCATTTTTTACAAAAAAAAGAAAAAAACAGTAAATGACAATCTTGTGTCTGCAAAACTTGACTATTGCAGTCGCTAGATCAATTTCATGAGAGCAATTTTTTGAAGCCAGTTATTGGAGGTTCCTCTTTTATGAAATTTTGCTGCGTGTACATTGCTTTTTTAGCTGTTGTTTGTGAAAAGAAGTTCCTGGCCTGGCAAAGGTGCACATCGTCTTAGAAAAAGTTTGTCAGAATGCTAGAACGGTATTTCTCATTGATTCTTGATTAACTCAAACTAAATAAGGCTTTAAAGAGTAATTTTGCAATAATTAGTTGTTTTCTTTTATGAAGTTGTGTATGGGAGACTGATTCTTAGAGATTCAGTTTAGTTTCTTACAGTGCAGCTATGGGCTTGACAATTGTGATGAAACATCACTTATACAATGGAACAGTATTGAAATTTAGATATGATATTTTTCTATTCCATTTAATAGTATTGACTATCAGGTAATTGTAAATATTCAAATATGCTCTTTGCTCTTTGTTGTTATAAAACTTCTCAATTATGAGCAGTTTTGAGGACACTAGCAATCAATCACAAGAACTCTTGTGTAATCGTTAGCTCAGGTAAAGAGTAGGAAGTTACAAATAAGAGAAATTGTGGAGGAAGTAGGGCAGGGCAGGGTGCATTGCAATAGAAGTATATTTGACAGAGAGAATGCAAGTGTCTTTATTTACAACTTGGTTACTCAACAACCAAAGTTAGACTGGAAAATTATATTCAAATTACATCTTAACCTGTAGCTGTGGATGTCAGAAATTTCGTCCAAAACTTAGTTTTATTTGTATGCTTATCACTTTGATACAATGCAAATAGGCAAACATGAGCACCGAGTGCTTTTTGTAGCTTGATTAATTTTCTTACTCTTGTAATTTTGTAAGAGGAAATTGTCAAGAAGTTACAGTTAGCTATTGAAACTTACCCATTTTAACGTGGCACAGTTTCCAGCACTGTTTGTATTATATCTTGCCTTCACATGGCAAAGTTTTATGTCTTAATATTACTGCTCCATTCCACATTTGAAATACTGTTATGTTGTACATGACACCATCTGTATGTAAATTAAGGAAGTACAGATGGTGCCCACATTACATTGCAATCAATTATATTATGTAAGTTTATTTTATATTGTGTATATTTCTTTTACTGTATTATACATTACAATTTAGTATTGTAAATGCAAGAGATAATTTGATAAAAATGAATCTACTCTACACCCATCTGAAGAATAAACTGAACATTTTAAAGATTTTTTTCCCCTAATTTTGTATCTCTTACCAATGCTAGGATCTGCTCATCCAATTTGTAATTATGGTTGGGGGAAGTAGTTGGATATAATTGGTTACAGGTTTTAGTTGCATGTATTGTATTGTTTTCTCTGTGTAACTTTTGTACTAATGCTAATACATGTGAAGAGGCATTCATATTATCGTGTAATAATTCATTTATTTCTTTGTCTTATTGTAAAGTTTTATGAAAACCCTATTTTGAAGGCAGCTTGTATTTAGCATTCTGTCAGAAATTATTAAAAAAAATTTATTTTAGTCATTGTTACATTTATGTTATGTGTATAGGTAATTATGGTTTATGATATAGTTGTGCTAACTTAATGCTATTTATATTATGTAAATATGAAATGTCTGAGCTTTCCTGTTGTGTTGGACATTCTGATTTAAGTGAAAATAAAGATTATTCACTGGATGAAATTTGCAATTTTCATCTCAATGTTTAAATTTGGTAATATTTCATTTCATGTATGCATCATTATGCCCGTTATGATGAGTATATTCTCAAGACAGAATGGTTTATTTGCTGAGTGTTATTTACAATGCTAATACATGTGCATACTAATCATTTTTTTTAAACTAGTGAAAGCTTAATACTCTGTGATCTAAATCAGGAGTGGCAAACCCTTTTTTATGCAAGTGCCATACTTTACCATTGTTTCTGTCCAATCATTGGTGCCAGAAAATTGTTAATAGGAAATAAACAGTAAAAATTAAATTGTTACAAAATTTTATTTATTTAAAGAGTTGACTTAAAAATTCACAAAATAATTGTATACATTTTCCCATTAAAAAGTCAACCCTAATATCTTTTATTAATGAGATTTTTGTTGTATTTCAGATGACAAATGTTACACAGTTACTCACAAAACTATTTGCATATTCGAAATTTAGCAGAATAATTATGGATTAGAAAAATTAAAAGAAGAAAATAAATGTATTAAAGTAAATGATCAGATTACATTCATAATCAGTTACTAGGTATTTAAGGAAGTCATGAAAATCACAATAATCAACTGATACTTTTACATTTGAATTTGTTGTAATAGAAATATAAAGAAATATGTCTAGTAAATAATGTTCAAACAGAAAAACATGTAAAAAAGGCAGTAAGAGAGTTTAATATGTTGAAGCCATCCCCTTTTGCTGCAACACTTTCTTCAGTCTATTTGGTAAACTTAGTACAAAGTTTTTGGGTACGTACAAGAAAGCTAATTTTTTTTCTCCATTCAAGTTGAATTATTTTCTGTAATTCTTGTTTGGAATGAATTTGGTGTTTTGTTACCTTGTTTTCCAATATTTCCCAAAGATATGTTAACAGAACAGTAAGGTCTGGTGACAGGGAGTGGATGAAGTACTTTTGAGCAGTTGTGCAGCAGCTAAAGTTGAACAACCTGTGACTAGTGTAAGGGATCATTTTAGCGATAAAAATAAAATATATCGAGAATACTAAGATTTTCAGCTCTTTGTTTTAATTTTTTTTAAGAAGGTCAAGATAGCTGAACCTGTTCCATGTTCGCTCTACGAGCACAGATTCACTACCACCGTTGACTGACATGCAGCTCCCCACCTAAATTTCCTCCGTGCTTCACTGTTGCTTGTTTTCTCCTTTCAGCTCTTAATTTAGTCTCATCCATACCCGAATTCTTCCATAGGCTCCACAGATGTTCTTTTTCGATTTGCCAACGAAAATTACTCCATTCCACTAATCTTCATATTTTTCTGCGTGTATTTGGCAAACTCCTACCGTTTCCGTTGGTTCATAAAATTAATTTCTTCTGGTAACGCGGCTATGGAAATTGGACCTCCTTAGTACTTTTCGCGCGGTTTCAAGATTTATTTTCTTGCTAGTGTAAATTTCTAACTGTGGAGTAATTTTGGGTGCACTACTACTACTACTATCCTTTATAATCCTCAATAGGAGAATCTCTTCTCGATCAGAAAACATCTTCAAACGCCCTCATCCGGGTTGCAGTTCAATCCTCTCTTCATTGATGTACCATATTATTATGCCACATAGTCCGTCACGTCTCGTCTCGGTCAGTTGTAAAGAGCACCGCCCGATAGCATCTCCGCGTACGCGCCTCTCTTACGCGCTCCTGCGTCACCACCCAGCAGCCAGAATGGGGAAGGAGAATAAGGATAGGGGAAATTAGGGTTAGGACGCTTTATAGGGGTTGGACTAGCCCCAAACAAACTCGTTTTATACTAACAAATTTCACATGGGGTTCTAAGGTAATTGAACCCGGAATTTCAGTGGTGAACGGCAAGCGACGTCGCCACTGAGCCACAAAACTTTGTTTTTCTTCTTCATTAATCGCATTTTGCAAATTTTTTGGCATGATTTCCCCTCTGCGTGATGTAATATGACGGTGTTCTTTCCTCGGCATGTTAAGGTTCATACGAATCTCGTTCATCGACTGACAGATAACCTGAATGTGCAGCAAGAGTTGGAGGTTTCAACATTCTTTTCGGAGATCAAAAGATCCGTTACCACGCTGCCCCAACGTCCGTCTGAATAGATTTGTTGAAGTGAAGTCTGCATTGGCGATTCAGTTTTCTTTTAATCAATCAAATACTTATATTTGAAAGTATTTAAAATGTTTATGTATATGAGAACATTCTATTCTTTCAAATTTGTGCGCTAACTAATGGTGATTTGGTTTTCTGAGGAAAATTTAAGCAATGTCCGAATAGTTTTGTGAGCCACTGTAATATAAGTAAGTTTCATGAATGGAATTCCAAGGTCTTATTTCATAATCTGCATTCTTTTTAATTGTGTCCAATAACTGATCATTTTCAATTGCTTCCAAGTTCGTATTTCAATTGACAATTGTTTTGTTTCCATAAGGAACCAGACTGAATAATAAACAACATTTCTAAATCTTCGAAGTTCAGCCACTAAAAAATCTCTACTTGAGTTTATTCACCCCAGTGACAGCAGAAGGTAAAATGATTTTTAAAACTTCTGCAAATTGCCTGAAATTTTGAAACATGAACAATAATTGCTAATCTGAATTACTGGAAGATTTTTTGTTGTTATTTAAGGTCTCATCAATTTCTAGGTCATTAGCGACCACTATTTCTTGTAACGGTATGGTAATTGTGAATATGACACGATGTGATGATGATAGGGGGTGAAAGGACGAACACAATACAACCATGCCGGAGGCGGAACTCGAACCTGCGATCCTTCGGTCCGAGAACGCTACAGTACTACTGCCTTAGGGATCTCGGCCATCCGGAGCGGCACTGGAGAAAATTGTTTTGTTATTTTAACCCAATCTGGTTTATTCATGAGTTTTTAATTCTACGGTTTTTCTTAAAGTTGAGAAACACTTAAAAGTGGAAATGGTCTTATCTGTCCGAGTGACTCGGTGTCAAAAGCTGTGGTTCCGGTGGTTCGGCCTTCTTGTCGTCGTCTTGCGCAGGGCTAACATGAAATCTTGAAACCTGAATTGACCAGTTAGGGTTGAGTGGTAAAAATAATATCACAGTTGAAAATTTGTAATTTAACTGCAAATGCTTCAGATACATCGAGCATTACAATAATTGTCTTAATAATCCATCGCAACGTAACATTTAATTTCTCCAAATGTGAGCAAAAGTCAGTATTTACCAGAGGCAGGATTTCGGATATTATATTGGAAGGGGGGGCAAAGCCCCCTCACGCATAAGATGCTAAAAAGTTCCCCAATACCAAATGGCATACAAGTAGTTACACAATAATTTTAACATAAATATAATATTCATGAAAGATTTCTTAGCCCCCGTCCCACCGCCCACGCCATACCTCGACAGCCAGAAACATGATATTTTTTTCTCATCTTAGTATTTTATCCGATTGAAAAAAAAATTATTTATCCTTATACTGTCAGAAACAACTTTGTTGATATTTTCTCAACGCCAAATTCAAACGCAAGGTATTTTATGAAAAAACTATCAACAAATTATTACTGCCCTAGAAGCCTGGAACAGGCTTGAAAAAATCTCAAAAGGGCATCTTAAAACACAAAACATTGGGCATTTGTTTCTTCAGATTTCTACTTTCCCGTATACGTACGTATATGTGGAGAATTATATGAAGTATAGGGAAAGTTATGTAATGTTGCGGAAAATTGATTTCGAGATTTCAAAGGAAACCGTACGTTTTGAAGTCCCCTGATACCGAAAACGTGTTTTTGTTTTCTTAAAACGTCTGTCTGTTTCCGTTGAAATCTCGAAAACTATTCTCCGGAGCATTACATAACTTTCCCTATACTATATATATATATATATATATATATATAGAGCCAAGTTGTGGCGGTGAATGACTGTGTGGACCTGAATAAATTGAATCTGTTGTATCTTCCTGGTAAACATTGTTTCGGCGAAAACGCGGGACGCTTTTGAGTACGCCCCTCGAGTACTTAATAACGTAATACTATTTCATGGTCACTGTGCTCCAGCCATTACAAGTTATTAATCTAGATATATATATACTAGTACTGATACCCGGGATCAGTTACCTCCTGTTCCTATCTTAAAGTCTAATTTGATTCCGCTCCGTCACTAGTAGGCCAGTAATCACTGCGGGTCGAGTAGAGAACTGTTGTAATGGGGATGGACAAATTTTATGACGGAGCGGCGGCTATGTTTTATCATCAATAATAACACGTAGGGTTTCCTCCGGATCGTTACACGATACTATGGTACAATAAAATAAAATATGGTTTTGTTAGACTATTACATTCACAGTTAGGGGTATGGGCAGGTATGAATGGTGGCGAATAATTAGAATTTAGTAACAGTTCCTATTTTGGTACGGCTTTTTTGTGCTAATATTAACAAAAATGCACATAAAATATCACCCGTAAGCTGTTTTCAGAAGTTTTTTCTCTATAAGGTATAATTTGGCTATTGGTTCCGGAACATTCTGTCTAAAAGTCTCACACTCACTTTCCAATGATTCTCTTCTCCATAGAGCATTGTGCTCGCTATTATCTCAACACTTTTGTCATAATTTTTCAAACCACAAATCTATTAATTCTCGGGCTATTTGAAATCTTTCTCTACGGTTTGTCTAGGGGTCAGAGATTTGTCTCAGTTTTAGAGCTGTTTTGTGATGTGATATCACTAATACATAGAGCGGGAGATAACCTCCTATCTCCTATATCAAACGCGCCACACAGAATAGGTTCCTGACTTTTGTATGATAAAACACTATCGGCCACCACCATGCACTTTTTTCGTATTGTATTATGGCTATGAATTTCGCAACAGCGGGTTTATGCTGAGAGCCGTTGCTTGCATCTGGTGGGGTCAGGTAAAGTCGGAGTTTTCTTTTAAAAGATCTAGGCGCAGCTCCAGGCATCTTCAGGGTGCGGAGAAGAAGGGAGTTGTCGCAACTCCTGTAGACCGCTATAAATCAAATAGCGCGAGATATTGTCAATCTCACTCAATTTTACGTGAGCGTAGTAATCGGTTACCCTAATACGTCTTTGTAGATTAGGGCAGTGACAGGGTGACAATTGACAGAACGACCAACGCACTTATTGGAAACTGACTCTGCGTCGCTCGTTGGGAGCTCGCATCCTGACGCAATAATAATCAAGACACATTTAGTTAGTAGAAGAACCTTTAATCAGACCACCATCAATAGACAGTGAGTGACGAAGCGACGCATAATTAGGCTTCAAGATCTGATATAAGCTACTGGAAATAATTCACCCTCCTCGCAGCTGCGGTCGCGGGCGTCCTGCTTTGTTTTCTAATTCAACACTCTGGGATATTCGTCTAGCGTAATAATTTTCACAATTTATGCTCTAAGGAAGTTCTGTTTGGCGTATACTCGCGTATAAATATATAATACTCAATTGCACGTTAGAATATTCAAAAATTTTACAAATTTATAAATCTATACTATCGGCTATTACTGACATATTAGAATATATTAATCATGATAAATGAATCAATATGTTTGTAAGTGACTATAATACTTACTCTGCTAGATGTACTAGATGTTTATACTGGTGTCGGTGGTAGAGAATGTAAGTGATAATTAATAAATATGGTCTAAGGTAGAATGTTATTTTAGTCTCAAGAGCAATAGCGGGGCGATCAAGAGAGTCTTCCTCAAATTTATTCGTCGTAGGTGAGTTTCTTGCTCTCAGGCACATTTGAGCGCACGGCTCATAGTCGAAATATTATACAACTATATCTGT